TATGTATTAACAAATTAACATTTACATTTTGTTTGCAACATTATTTGTTGCTATTAATAAAATGGCAGAAAAATGATTAATTACCGACAATTAGTTCTGGTTTACAAAATATCGGAAAAATATTTCAATCTAATTAATATTATTAAAAATCGTTTTTGTATTGACTCTGACCTTATATTAAAGTAAACCTTGTGTTAAATTTTGCACTGCACATATAATATAATTATTATACCAATCCAATCGTTTTACAATAACTAAATAAATTAATTTAATACATTAATTTAATAAATTAATTTAGAACTCATTTAGTTTTAATTTTTATTTAAATTTTCCATTTTGGAGTGATTTTTTTGTACTTTTTTTTGTTATTTTCCTTACTTTACAGGGTTATTAACAAATTTTTACAATTTGCTATAACCTTGTCATTTTACATTTGTACATAATGTACATTTTGTTTGAAAATTTTCCGAATTGTCTCATTTAAAAGACTTCACTGTTACAATTATTAGTTCAAGTTTGAGCGCAATCTATTATTTATCGGCTTTTAGTAATTAGTACCTAATTATCCCCATTACCCCCCTTATCGACGCGCTTGTATGTATGTACTAGGTACGAGGTGTGTTCAGTAAATATCGGGAATTTTCGTTTTTTGTTACAAATATTTATTTATTCGTCTACATTAATGTTGTCGCCTTCAAAATAGTCCCCATTGGATATTATGCACATGTGCCAGCTCTTCTTCCAATACTCGAAACACTTCTAAAATTCGATCTTTGGGATAGCCTTTAGTTCTTTCAGCGATGCGGTTTTAATGTCATCTATGCTTGCAAAACGACGGCCCTTTAAGGTTCTCTTTATTTTTGGGAATAGAAAAAAGTCAGACAGAGGCATGTCTGGCGAATATGGAGGCTGGGGCATCATTACAGTATTGTTTTTGGCCAAAAATGTTGTTCAAAATTTAACAATTTTAGAACAAATTTTGCTGCCACGCGTTTCATACCCAAAACATTCGAAAAAATTTCATGGGATGAGCCAATCGATATACCAACATCATCAGCGACTTCTCTGATGGTTTATAACCATTTCTTCTACTTTTTCCATGTTTTTATCGGTTGTTAATGCGCTTGTGCGTTCGGGGCGTTCGTCATCTTCAACGTCTTCACGGCCATCTTGGAAACTTTTATACCACTTGTAAACTCTTGTTTTACTTATAGCAGACTCACTATAGGCCTTTGTTAACATTTCATAGAATTTATTTTATTTTTTAAGCAAAATTGGATACAAATTCTTTGATCCATTTCTTTTAACGAACGAAAAATCGTAGAGCTCATAAAACACGTCTAACCTTAGCGGCTGCCACAGACAAAGTAAACAATGAAAACAGCTAAAGTTTTTATCATACTTCGGGGGCATATATACCAACATAATAAAGAAGAATTTTATGGCAACCGGACCCTCCGAACCCGCGAAATTTAACAATTCCCGTTATTTTCTGAACACACCTCGTATTATTTAAATTAGTATGAACGTCCGGAACCCACATACATATGTGGAAGTATGTGCCGGAACCAGGCAAATCCGAAAACACTTCTCGGCCCTTTTAAAATGATTTATATCTGGCATTCTCTATGATCTAAGAATATTTATAAATAAATAACTAGGTAGGGAAAAATGTGGATATATTTTTAATTAAAATCCATTAGAAATTAAAGATAATATAAACAATTAAAAATGAGAATAGTAGTGTTATTTTTGTTGCAATTTTCCAATAAAAAGTTAAAGAAAAATGTTAATTGAAGGCTTTTAAAAGCCATATATTAACCTATCTAGAAGATATTAACAGGTATGTGATAAATAAATAGATATTATACGAAGTATTTTTTTTAACATTTGTTAAACTAAGCTTTTAATTAACATATTTTAAATTTGTACACCTAGCAGAGAAATGATTATATATATGCAATTAGGTAATAAATCTTTCTATAGGTAAGTGCACATTTACGCATTTGGAATTTTTTATACACACGTAAAGGTAGTTAAGTATTTAAGTGGAGGTTTGGGAAACACCAGATTACTTTAAAAAGAAGTAAACTTACGAAACCATTATCTGGAAATTAAATAAACCCGATTTCCAACTAGTTTGAAGAATTCTGTTGTAAATTTTACTTGTAACTTGCGAAGAAATGCTAAACAAGAAATACCAAAAACCACAACATTGTGGTATCTGCCCAATTTTTTTTTTTTGCAAGTCATCTTGCATGTATCAGTATATAAAAATTGTTTTACTTCATAAAACGTAATTTTTTATATTAGGCAATTAAATTAATATTATCATCCACTTTAGATAGTAGGTAATTGTTATGTACTGATAAAAATTTTATCTAATAATTAAAATGACGATATTTTTATTAAATATTTTTGTAACAGATATGTTTTGTGCATTTCTATGTGAAAGTAAGATACTTTTTTAACATAAAACTTAGAAGGTACTATTGTTTTTAATAAAAACTTTTTATTAGTTAATATAGGGGTAATCTCATACCAATCATATATATATTAGTTTATAAATACGTTAAAAATTTGTTTCAAAATTGGAGTTTATTAAAAAAAATTATTTATTTATTTCCAAATTAGTTCAAGTTAAATAAAATTAAGGAACTTAGGGAAAAGGAATGACATCTCCAATAACATTTTTCATAAAATGTTTTTAGAAATCAACAAAATCGATTTAGGTACTCTTATAATTTTTGGTACAGGTTGTATGAAAAATTTGTATCAAAAAAAGTAAAATAAATATACAGAGCCTAATAATACTGTTTTTCTACTCGCGTGCGCAAAATCGTGCGCAAAGTTGTACTTTTCCGCACGCTTACTTTGCGCACGCAAATGCGTTAATACAGGAATAAGATTAATAAATCATAAAGCCTTTAATAGTAATTTTAATTAAAAACAAAAAAATATTGCTCATTTAATGTTGCATAGGGTTTTAAAGTGTAAAAAACAGAAAAATTGGGGGGAAAACTGTTTTTTTCAGGCCTTGGAAAAATTGAATTTTTTGGGAAAAATAGATTTTTTTTGGGAAATATACACATTTACAACAAGAGGCAATCAACAACTTAACATTATTTTAATTTAAAAAAATATCCTTAAAGAAAAAAAGATAAAACCAAACATTGAAATAAATTAAATTGATTTAAGAAAATACACGTAAATGTTCGGGTTCTTTTTGCGAAAAGAGTCCATTGAAAATATCTAATTACAAAATAATGAATGATTTATAAAGTTACCTTACAAAATTATAATTTTATAAATCCAAGTGTCAGATAAAACGAAAGTTATGATAATACAGCACCAAATATGTTTTTTATGCGACCCGATAGAATATTCTTAGTAAGAATTTCTTACTGAATTAAAATAAAAGGAATAATTATATAATATATGTATACAGTGTGACCCATTTGTTTTCGATTCACCCCTGTAAAATTTTTATTTATTGTGCGATTTTAACCGGATTTGTTTTAGAGTGTAGATCTTAATAAACTGTATTTTTGGAGCAAAAGACACCATATTAGTACAAATTACACCGCCTACTATGTCAGTTTTTAAGAGTAAATTTTTAAGAATTCATATTAGCGAATAAATTTTTGCAGTTATAATTGTGCATTTTTTTTTCTTAAAATTTTTGAATTTAATTTTGTATTAGATTTATCACAGAGAGAATTAATAATGTTAAATTGCGATTAGCTTGAGATACTCTAGCCCAAGAAGTCTTTCAGTGAATGTGTAAAAGCCTTTTTTTCTTTGAGGTTTTTATAATAACCTATAGTGAGTTATATTTGTTTAATTCATAGTAGCGATTTTTTAAACAAAATCTAAGCACGGCACTGGATTCACCACCCCTCAAAACGACCCTATACTAAATTTTATTGAAAAAATTTAAGAAAAAAAATGCACAATAATAACTACAAAAATTTATTTTGTCAAGTTATCCATGAAAAAAAAACATTGAAATAAAATTGAACGTATAGTAACCATGTTACTATTTGTTTAATTTTATTTCAATGTTTTTTTTCATGGATAACTTGACAAAATAAATTTTTGTAGTTATAATTGTGCATTTTTTTTCTTAAAATTTTTGAATTTAATTTTGTAACCATGTTACTATTAGTTTAATTTAATTACAATGTTTTTTTCATGGATAACTTGACAAAATAAATTTTTGTAGTTATAATTGTGCATTTTTTTTCTTAAAATTTTTGAATTTAATTTTGTATAGATTTTGTTTAAAAAAATCGCTAATTTACTGACATAGTAGGCCTTGTATGTTTTAAAAATGTGGCGTTTTTTGCTTCAAAAATACAATTTATCAAGATCGACTGTAACAGTTTAAAACAAATCCGGTTAAAATCGCACAATAAATAAATGGGTCACACTGTATATAATATGTTATAATCATAATAATATATTTTTGATATCAGTGTACGGATATATGTAAATTTTTTTAAAAATTGACTTTTGCATTTTTTCGCATTACCCTTTGAATAAAATGAAAAAAATGTTATTATTTTGAAAATTTCACAATTTTTCCGTTTTTCCGCCGGCTCAATTGTTCCGAAAATTCTAAAACGACGTTATATAATGATAAAATATTCAAGGATTATAAATTTAATTGTATTACAGTTGTACAAGTCAATATTATTAATTATGTTATTTTCAATTAAAATCAATTATAATTATTCTTTATTTATTCCCTTGCAATTTTATTGATTGTTTTGGTATAGCAAAATAACATTTTGTGTTTTTATTTTGAATTATTTTTGATAAATAATAAACTGTTTAAAACTCGATGCTTATTATTTTTCTTTTACAAAAATTTTGAATTTTCAGGCACTTGCCATTTTCACTGTATGGTTACGAAAAATTATATATTAAATATTAAATTAAATTAAATTATAATTTAAATTTTAAAATTTTAATTATAATTTAAATTTTAAAATTTTAGTGTTACACAGATAAGGCTTTATAGATACCAATGAATAATCAAAGAATCCTCAAACCCCTTTACCAACTAACCAACCACCAATCAAAATCCAAGTTCACCCCTCTGCTACCATTCAACACCAAAGGAGACAGGCAAGGCTCTCACGTGACCGCGGCTTACTTAAGCAGACGCTGCCTCTCAAATCACGGCATTTGCATCAACGATTCAGTCGTGGCGACACGAGGAATCACCAAAAAAATCACCAACTCTCGAAAATCAACCACAATGCCTGCCAACGGCGAACTGGACAACTTCTACGAGGTGCTGGAAGAGCCGGCGTCTTACAGCGACGCCGTAGCGTCATCTAGCGACGACGAGCAAGTGGTGTGTTCGAAGAACGAAGAAACAACGAAAAAGATAAGTCAGTATACCGCCAAAGCTACATTCGAAAGCATGCCGAACAGAAGGGACCACGAGGACTTCATCAGGAAGGCGGTGGAAATCATCCTGAAAGATGCCGTTTTCGAAGGAACCAACCGCAAAAATCCAGTTTTGAACTTCGTCAACCCAGAGGAGTTGGAATCGCTGATCAACTTCAAGCTAAAATCAACTCCAGGCAGTCACGAAGAACTTCTCGGCATCGTCAAAGACACAATCCAGTACTCCGTGAAGACCGGCCATCCCTACTTCGTCAACCAGTTATTCTCTTCGTTGGACCCCTATGGATTAATTGGGCAATGGTTGACAGACTCCCTTAACCCGACAGTTTACACCTACGAAGTCTCCCCTGTTTTTACGCTTATGGAGGAAACTGTCCTGAAGGAAATGAGACAAATTGTCGGTTTCAAAAATGGCGATGGTGATGGTATTTTTTGTCCCGGTGGTTCTATGGCCAATGGGTATGCCATCAGTTGTGCCAGATACAAGTTCATGCCAGAAATTAAGGTTAGTGTGGCCAAAAAAAGTCTCCTTTAAAAATTTGTTAGTTAATCATACACTGCGCGTCAAAATTAACGCATAATAAAAAAAATCTAACTCTAAAACGCCTTTACTAATCTTTATGAAATTTTGTATAAAAATACTTCAACTTATATCTCAGTTTACGTGTTCGAGGGTTTTCGAGAAAATATTTTTAAAGCCCTTTTATTTAATAATAAAAAACGTTTGAAAAATAACTTTTAGGGAATTTTGTTTAAGTAAATAAAAAATATGCTGTATGCTGTATTTTTGTTAGTATACCCTGAAAGTTTTGTACAAATCAAACGAAAAGTAACGAAGATACAGTTCTTCAAAGTCGGTAATTTTTTATTATTTTGATAAAAAGTGGTCATTTTTGACGACTTTAAAGCGCTGTATTTTCGTTAATGTTCGTTTGATTTGTACAACATTTTCAGGGTATACTTACAAAAATACGGTATTTCACAGCATATTTTTTATTTACTTAAAAAAAATTCCCTATAGGGAAAAACGCTCAAAAAAACTTTTACATATAAAAGTTTTTTTAGCGTTTTTTATTATTAAATAAAAGGACCTTTTCTCGAAAAAGCCTTGAATACGTAAACTGAGATATGAGTTAAAGTATTTTTATTCAAAATTTTATCAAGATTGGTAAAGGCGTTTTAGAGTTAGAATTTTTTTACCTTTTATGCGTTAATTTTGATGGGGAGTGTATTTTAAGCACTCTGAATTGAAAATTCCAAAAATAGTTAAAATTCTATTTTTTTTAGTTTAATTTTTCTGCTCCCTACGATAAATTTTTGTACACGGAAAATAATTAAGGTCTCTCAAAGTTTCAGCTCAAACATGATTTTTTAAAAGTCGATCATAAATTTTGATCATTTTGATGTATTTGAGCCAATTTTAAATAAAATTTGTAGGTAACTTAATTCGTAAGAAAATCATGTTTTTTATTTTTATACAGGGTGTTTCTACTTAAAAGGAACAACGTAATAGAGATTGTAGATCTTGAAATATTTTTAATTTGAGCTTTTGTTTTTAAATTATCGATCTTTTGTTTTTACATAATCTCCGTTATTTATAATTTAATATATTTAAATTTTTTGAAATTATCATTTTAATATCCACAATTTTTTTTATCAAAAATATCTACCAACAAAGTATCGAAAAAAAAACTGAAAAAATTGGGAAAAAACTGTTTTTTTTCAGGCCTTGTAAAAATGTACTTTTTTAGGAAAAAATAATTTTTTTGGAAAATATACTCAACAACATTATTTTAATTTTTAGAAAAATATCCCTTTTTACAAAAAAAAAACAAATAAAACTAATCATTGAATTTAATTGATTTAAGAAAATAAACGTACATAAATATACTGCCGGTCATTGAAAATATACATTTACAAAATAATGAATAATTTATAAAGTTAAACACAAAATTATAATTTTATAAATTGATGTGTCAAATAAAACGATAGTTACCTACAAAATTTAATGTTAAAACAGCACCGAAAAATTTTTTTTGCAGCCCGGTAGAATATTTTTACTGAATTAAAATAATAGTAATAATTATTATTATAATAATATTATATGATTATAATCAGAGTCGAAAATTCACTTTTTTCTCGATATCAGTGTACTGATATAATCCGTAAATATTTGGAAATTTTAAGAAAAATCGAATTTTACTTTTTTTTATTACCCTTGAAATAAAATGAAAGACGCAAAATTCATTTTTTTTTAAATTTTCGAATTTTTCCGTTTTTTCCGGATTTCCACTGGCACAATTTTTCGGGAAAGAAACACCCTGTATAAAAATAACGTAACACCCCAAAATTTTATTGTTTTGTAACTGTAATGAATTTTATTTTTTTATATTTTCATGAAATTAAGGGTTGCTAAAAGTTTTTCAGTATTTTATCGCACTTGCCATTTACCCTGTATAATTACAAAGTGAATAGGTTTTTGTTAAAGTGGAAAAATAAGGCTGCAAATACTGAAAAATGCATCAAAATCCATTAAGAATTAAAGAAGATTTGACCATTATAATAATATATTGCAATATTTTGTTATTTATGTCATTAGGTCAAGAAGTGAGTCTTTTTGTGGTTAATATAACAATATTTATATTATCGAATTTTCAGTGCGTACCTATTAATTAATTTTAACTGATATCTATGCAGTAATTAACTGTTGCCAATTATTTTAAAATGTAGTTACTTGAGTAATTAGGTGATACTATACTTTTAACAATGGGTTATTAAGTTTAATTATTATTAAAGTTGTAACAAAATTGATAGGAATTTAGTTACAGGTAGATATTATAAATAATTGCAATTATCTCCTATTTATTGGTTTTTTTTCATAATAATTGCACATGTATAAATTCTTTATTTGTGACAATTAACGAATTGAAATTGCAAAACATGTTTCTTGGATTTTATATGGTTTCTTAATTTTGTTTGTAAAATAATTACTTTTTTCTACTCCCACCTTTAAAACGTCTTTTATCGTACATGTTTCCATGACACTAAGTGACCTTTTAAATACACATTGACAAGTTGTGGCTTTTTGGCGCTTTAGTCACGGGCTGAAGTTAGTTTTAAGTTAGTTGACAGTTGTCAAATGTCATACAATCGTTAAAATAAAGTTCCTTGCTTGTAAAATAATACTAAATGTGAAAATTATTTTATTATCTCAATACAAAAATACAAAAGTATTAAATAATTTCTCAACGCCAATATTTAAAGTTTATATGAACATTGTACTGACCTTAACTATAACTTAAATTCGGACACGGACTCCACTGTAAAGTGCTCATAAAACATTTTCTTTACTTTCGCTGTGAAAAACTGTCAATTTTCAAGAAATACATTTCGATTTCGAACCTTTATAATCTGTGTTTATAAAATAAAAAAAATTGACATTTGACGGTGACACACAGATTCCCCTATTGTTTCATAGATGGCGCTCTATACAATTTTTTGATTTAAATCATTTTAAGATAATAATAAGTATTTGTCGTAGAAAAAGTATAGCATGCACCTCGTTTATAAACTTTTCTATACACTCATTAATTTAAGAACTCGCTCGCAAGCTCGCTCGTGCCTAGATTAAATTCGTGTATAAAATGGCGTTTATCAAACTTTATACATAATATAGCAATTCAAAGTTTAATATAGGCAGCCATAACATACCCTTTATTTAAAATTAAATTAAATCTTCATTTCTCATTTCAGCAAAAAGGCCTCCACGCTCTTCCCAGATTAGTCCTATTCACTTCCCGAGATGCTCACTATTCCATCAAAAAATTATCCTCATTCCTCGGCATCGGTACTGATAACGTTTACGCCATCAACACAGACGAAAAAGGAAAAATGGACATGAAACATTTAGAGGAAGAAGTCGAAAGATCTATTAAAGAAGGTAAGAAATAGCTGACTTTGAATGGAAATAACTAAAAAAGTATTAGAGTTGTTGGGTTTTTAGTATGTTGTAGTATAAGGTTATAAATAAAATAAAAGTTATAAACAAAAGAATGTCAACATGTCAAACTACACTCACGTGCAAAATAATCGATCCACACAAATTTTCGATGAATTTCAATCGCAAATAACTTTTTTATTTGATGTCGGATTTAAACGAATATTAAAGAATATTGTAGATAAATTAATGGACAATCGCTCACATTTTAAATAAATACTAAAAAATAGACGTATGTTTATAATATACAGGTTTAAACAAAAAGATGTTTTTTACCATAAGTTTAAGACACTCTGTAGAGTGGCAAAACCGTATATTGTTTTAAATTAAGTTTTATTTATCAAGTCAAATCTATTCTTAACAGTTTTGTTTTTGGTTCACCTCGATATATTTATTTTTGTGGAAAATATGGATTTTTTTAAAAAACATTGCAATTTCCAATATTTTTTCTGTTGAATCATCCCATACTTGGACATGTCATATACAGCTTTCAAAAGATATCAAATTGTTTTTTGTAAATCATTGTGTTAATTTTGAGGTGTCTTCTTACTTTTAAAAATGTCTCCGACTGATGTTTCCCTTTGTACTTTACTTCTTATGACGTTTAAAACACTTGCCACGTAATACTGTGACCGTCCATCCTGGATTAAATTAATAGCTCTGGTAACATCAGTCGGAGACATATCCATTTTATAAAGTAAGAAGACACCTCAAAATTTAAACATTAATTTGCAAAAAACAATTTGATAGCTTTTGAAAGCCGTGTATGACATGTCCAAGTATGGGATGATTCAACCAAACTGTCACTGTCATTCTCCATAGCCTATGGATGGACCATAGCAACCTTAGTTCTTCATACAGAAAAATATTGGAAATTGCAATGTTTTTTTAAAAAATCCATATTTTCCACAAAAATAAATATATCGAGGTGAACCAAAAACAAATCTGTTAAGAATAGATGTGACTTGTTAAATAAAACTTAATTTAGAACAATATACGGTTTTGCCACTCTACAGAGTGTCTTAAACTTATGGTAAAAAACATCTTTTTGTTTAAACTTGTATATTATAAACGTACGTCCATTCTTTAGTATTATTAAAATGTGAGCGATTGTCCATTAATTTATCTACAATATTCTTTAATATTCCTTTAAATCCGACATCAAATAAAAAAGTTATTTCCGATTGAAATTCATCGAAAATTTGTGTGGATCGATTATTTTGCACGTGAGTGTATATGTCAAACCAATTTATTGTTATCTTAAAAAATAGCTTAGTCTAACCCAACTTTTTTTCCAAGGTGGCGCCCCCTTTATGGTGAGCGCAACATCAGGGACGACCGTCATCGGTGCCTTCGATCCTTTAGAAAAAATCCACGAAATCTGTCAAAAATACGGTATGTGGATGCACGTGGACGCCGCGTGGGGTGGAGGGGCTTTGATGTCGAAAAAGCACAGATATCTCTTGAAAGGAATCGAAAAGTAAGTTTTTGATTATTCTGGTGGCACCCTTAAGTTTTGTGAGTATAACCCCTTAAGTTTTGTCGGAATGCCTCCTTAAGTAATTCTTTTTAATAAAAAAGTTTTTATATGGGTTGATGGTTTCAAGGCTATTCAATAAAACCTATTAATTGCAATTATTATTTCGACACCGTCATTCAAGGTTTTTATTTATTTTAATGGGATTTGATTTTTTTTATTTATAGGGTACTATTATGCAAATTGTTGCAAAATTAAAATTATTGCATTAATTTTATTAACTGCTTATTAACATTTTTTAACCTAGGTAAATTAATTTATAAATATATACACCGTAGTTATTATTCATTTTAATAATATATTATGAGGACAATTTTTAATAATTTATCAATGATTATACAGGGTCATTTAACTTGAAACTACGAAAAAATGTTTAAAATAAAAATTAAATGATTCGAGGGGGGAAATCATTCAGTACTTAAATTGGTCCTCATACTCTCCTTATAGGGGGAACAGGGGGGTAACTTTAAAATGTCCTATTTTTTATTGCAGATTCAGATCATTCGACTAAAAATAGTTAGGTTTTGTCTAAAATATGTTTTCATATTTGTAAGAGATAGCGCTGTAATGAAAAAAAATCTATTTTGTTCGATTGTTCTTCTGTATACGATTCTTCAATCATTTTTCTATAAAAATATAACTTTTTTTGTAATAATTATTTTATTAAATTAAATCTAAAGTATCCACGATTTTTTTACTAATATTTAAGTTTCCTTTGGTTTAAGTTTTATATATTATTTCATTCAGTGATAATTATCAATTGCGCACCATGGTCACTTTTTACCTGCCAGCATTAAATCATCTAATTTAAAGGACTATTGTACTATTTTTAATAAAAATACCTCATCTAAGGTAACATTATTTTGTCAATTAATTAATTTAATCCTAATTGAGGTATAAAGAAACTATTTATTTAATCAATTTAGTTCGAAGATTAATTTGCAAACAAACACAAATAAAACGCAGTTATTCATAATGAATTTTTTAACAGTGGAAGAAAAAATAGAAATGATTTTGATTTATGGAGAAGCAGGCAGGAATCTTGATGATGCTGTTAATATCTACGCTCAGCGTTTTCCGGATAAAATTCGATCACGTACTTCATTTCACCGTACAGTCAAGCAGTTTACTACAAACGGGAGTGTTTAACCGAAAAAAGAGTTCGTCGAGCAACAGTCACAGGTGAAAATAATGAAATTAATGGATTAGCTAATCCTGCTAGCAGCAACGGCCGCTAATCCTCATGCAAGCACACAAGAATTATCTAGAGATTTGGGAATATCCCAGAGCAATGTTAGCAGAATATTAAAACGTAATGCGAATTAATAAATGCATTGAAGTCGAAGGCCACCATTTTGAGCACCTACTTAAAATTTAAAAAATAAATTTAATTAATAAAACTAAGTATTTTATTCAAAAATTATTGGAGAATCGTATACAGAAGAAAAATCGAACAAAATTGATTCTTTTTTATTACAGCGCCATCTATTACAAATATGAAAAAATTTACCTATTTTTAGTCGAATGCAATAAAAAATAGGGTGTTCCATTGGAAATTTTAAAGTTACCCCCTGTTCCCCCTATGAGGACCAATTGATACTGATTGATTTTCCCACTCGAATAATTTAATTTTTATTTTAAACATTTTTTCGTAAAATGCATATACTGTATAATAGGTTAGAGAGTACAAATCCCATATATCTTTGGAATGTTTTAAAATTCTCTATACAGGGTGTTCCAAAATCACAGGAAAAAACAAAATGGCTCGATTCCTTGCGAAAATCCAAGACTAAATTTCCCTTACCATTTTTAGAATTCACAAAAATTCTAAAGAAAATTTTGTCCTTGATTTTCGCAAGGAATCTACCCCCTTTCTTTTGTCCGGTTATTTTGGGACACCCTGTAGATATATATTTTGCTTTATTATATCTTAAAAAAGTCAAAGAATTCTGAAATATTGTTTAAAGTAAGTGCTCTTATCAGGATAATATTAATTTTGTTTACTTTTTAGAGCTGATTCAGTGACATGGAATCCACACAAATTGTTAACAGCTCCACAACAATGTTCGACATTACTTTTAAAACAAGACGGAATTTTATCTGCAATGAATTCAGCTAATGCGACATATCTTTTCCAGAAGGACAAATTTTATGATACAAAATATGACATTGGTAAGAACATGTTTTAAAAAAATATATTTTTTTAAATTTGAACAATAGAGTAGAATATCCGTTTTTTTCGAAGTTACTTTGTAATAGCAAAAATATCAATCTTGAAGGTGAAAAAAAATTATATTCAATTGCACTTAAAACTAAAAGTAAAAAATTATTTTTTTTGGGTAATTTTATTTTAATTATCTACAGAAAATGTCTTTTTTAATTATCGGATAAATATTGTGGTTTCAGAGATAATTGAAAAAATTGCGACTTTCTCCTAAAATTTCCATTTTTATAAATGAAATCGCAATTGTCTCTGACGATAACTAAAAAGGATGTTTTTTGTAGACAATTAAATTTACTACTTTAATTTATTATTTTTTTTCGCCTCAATAATAATCATAATCAAATATTTTTGCTATTACCAAATTAATTTCGAAAAAGGCGGATGTTCAACCCACTCTATGAACCGTTCAGATTCAAAGATATTCAACTACAACCGTAAAGGTTCTATAATGGTCCTATAAAGGATAACTCTTATGGCACTGTGCATACCTATTATGTCGCGTTCGCCTTTAATGTGCATGTAACGGCAGTCAATAAAAGCACAAAAAAAACATTTTTTGATATGGCGTGATAAATGTTCTGATATGGCCATATCTCTGGATATGGCAGATTAAAGGTACAAATGTGGTAAGCTAAAGTTTCTGATATATTGTGTTAAAGATTCTATTATGGTTATTTAAATAATTATAATACATAAGTGAAGTAGGTATCTATTATGGTGGATTAAATGTGGTAGGTATATTTATTAGATAAAGATATTCCACGATAATAAGAAATTGTTACCGTCACAATGCAATTTCTGACTGTCGGGATATAATTTTTTGATTATCGTGTCATATCCGACCCAATAAATATAAACAAACTACATTGAATCCACCATAATAAATACTTTACTTATCAATTACATTAATTAATTTATTATCGTGAAATGTAATACTGATACATTAATAAATTTACAAGAAAAATACAAAGCAGTGTGTCATAAATTTACAAGAAAAAATACAAAGCAATGTATATATACAGTTGTATTCATTAAAAAAGCGTACAAGAATTAGAATGAGAGAAAACTGTCAACATTATTGCGTAAAACCGGCTTTCCACTGACTTAAGTCACTATAACTGACAGTAGAAAATAAAAATGCCTCGTCAGTTTAAAAGGCTTAAATAGTATCAAGAATCGAAGAAGAATGGTCAATTCGTATTGTGGTATAATAGAAATAAAAAATCTATATTAAAAATTAAGCAACGCTGGGAACAGGAAGATTTAATAAACCAAAAAGTTGGTTCAGGTCGTCCCAAAATGTCCACCAATGAACAGGATGCTGCTTTTTTGAGATATCTGAGGATTTATGGGAAACTATACACAGGGCCGAGCCTAGGGTATCTGCCGCCCGGGTGCAAGAATTAAATTTGCCGCCCCCATTAATGTAAAAAATCTACTTTTCTCGATTATTTAATAGCAAATTCCCTAATCAAGTCGCCTACATCCAAGTTGTTAGAAATATCTTCTTCAATATGTACTTATAATTGCTTAATTTGAAAGCCTGAATTGACTCAGATTGGATCCTAATTAGTTTTAATTTCGAAAATGACCGCTCTTGATGGGCAACAGTAACTGGCATCGTCAAAAATATTCTTAAAGCTACAAATAAATTCGGAAAGATGCCTTTTAAATCATTAACTAGTTTTTAACTTAAACGCATTAAACAAAAGAAACTACTATGTTTGCATCCTATTTGCCTCACGTTAATAGAAAAACTAAAAATTGCTGAAATACGCAGCCGTCAAATCGGAAGAAATTATGCTTTAACTTAACAGTTCAGCTTGTAAACAATATCACGTGGTACACAGCGCGCGATTTGATTGGTTTCCCGTAAGCCCGCTTCCGTAAACCATGAAACTTGAAACTCGAAGCGGACGGACGGAAAGCGAAGCGGGCGGGCGGCAATCTATAAAACGGGCTTTAAGAAAATTGTCATCATCATTTTTTGTGGCTATCGCGCGTTCGGTTGTGTCTTTTTTATCATTGCCGCCTGACAGCACAATTTTGGTATTGTTTTTATGCGTAGAATAAAAACGATGATTCCTTGAAACGCCGACATCAATAAACCGCAAGTGATTTTTAGAAAGTTTTTTGCATATTGCAAGGTGGCTTTTTTATTCTTGATAATATGATACAATTTTTTTGATGATATTTTGCCGCCCTGTGTTAGTGCCGCCCGGGTGCCATGCACCCCTTGCACCCCCGGCACGGCTCGGCCCTGACTATACAACAATACTATACCTACCTACTATACTGCTGGGAAGATATTAATCCAAATATTGTATTAAATTTAATTCAGTTCATCCCAAATAGATTGGCTCAAGTAATAGAAAATCAGGGATGCATGACTAAATATTAAATTTTTTTTATGTTTGTTTTTTTCATTATTAAAAGGTAATAATTTTTGTAATATTATTTAATTAACCTACGACGTCAATAACCTATAATAATTATTTTAATGACTTAAGTTATAATTATGTCAGTGATAAGCCGGTTTTAAGCAATAATATTATTTTGACAGTTTTCTCTCATTCTAATTCTTGTACGCTTTTTTATTAAATACAACTGTACATAGTAACAAAGAAATGTAAATCATACTAATTTTATTTTAAAAACGGTTTATTAGTTAATTAATGGAATCCATAATATTTAAATAATTTAAAAAAATCCTTAAACTAAATGTGCTCAGAAAATAACGGGAATTGTTAAATTTCGCGGGTTCAGAGGGTCCGGTTGTCATAAAATTTTCTTTATTATGTTGGTATACATGTCCCCGAAGTATGAGAAAAACTTTAGCTGTTTTCATTGTTTACCTACTTTGTCTGTGGCAGCCGTTAAGGTTAGACGTGTTTTATGAGCTCGGTGATTTTTCGTTCGTTAAAAGAAATGGATCAAAGAATTTCTATCCAATTTTGCTTAAAAAATGAAATAAATTCTGTGAAATGTTAACAAAGGCCTATAGTGAGTCTGCTATTAGTAAAACAAGAGTTTACAAGTGGTATAAGAGTTTCCAAGATGGCCGTGAAGACGTTGAAGATGACGAAAGCCCCGAATGCACAAGCACATTAACAACCGATAAAAACATGGAAAAAGTGGAAGAAATGGTTATAAACCATCAGAGAAGTCGCTGATGATGTTGGTATATCGATTGGCTCATCCCATGAAATTTTTTCGAATGTTTTGGGTATGAAACGCGTGGCAGCAAATTTTATTCTAAAATTGTTAAATTTTGAACAACATTTTTGGCCAAAAACAATACTGTAATGATGCCCCAGCCTCCATATTCGCCAGACATGCCTCTGTCTGACTTTTTCATATTCCCAAAAATAAAGAGAACCTTAAAGGGCCGTCGTTTTGCAAGCTTAGATGACATTAAAAGCGCATCGCTGAAAGAACTAAAGGCTATCCCAAAGATCGAGTTTTAGAAGTGTTTCGAGTATTGGAAGAAGAGCTGGCACATGTGCATAATATCCAATGGGGACTATTTTAAAGGCGACAACATTAATGTACACGAATAAATAAATATTTGTTTCAAAAAACGAAAATTCCCGATATTTTCTGAACACACCTCGTATATTTGCAAATAAGTTCATTTGTTGATTTTGTTGGTAGATTGTCCTCTATATTATAGACTATAATGAAAAAAAAAACAGTTTTTCAATAAAATTTAGTAAAGGGTCGTTTTGAGGGGCGGTAAATCCAGTGCCGTGCTTAGATTTTGTTTAAAAAAAATCGCTTATATGAATTCTTAAAAATTTACTCTTAAAAACTGACATAGCTATGTAGGCCTTGTATTTTGTAAAAATATGGCATTTTTGCTTCAAAAATACAGTTTGTCAAGAACTACACTTTAAAACACGTTAAAATCGCTCAATAAATAAAGATTTTACAGGGGTGAGTCGCAAACAAATGGGTCACACTGTATAATTTTGTGGGGCTTCAGACACATTCATAAATAATTTCGGATCCAAGCCACATTTGGTTTCATACGCCATTTTTTTATTTTGTATCTCACGAGCTCGCTCATGAGATTTCTATACAAAATATACCAAATATTCATGAATATTTGTTTATCGAGTTTGGAAACGAATTTTTGAAATAATCTACCTTTCCTATAATCGGTGGAAAATAACACTTTTGCCCAAGTTTTATTTTCCATACATTTAAAAAAAATCGTTTTTAATTAAAATCGATAATCTAAAAAAAAAATGTTTTTAATCGTCATTTCAAATTTTGTGCTGCCAACTAAAGAAACACAAAAATATGACAGTTTTAAACTTTAATTTTGCCACTATAGGAACAAATTAACAATTTATATTGTTACTTACTTACTTTTTATATGTTTTAGCGTTTAATGATACTTTAATTTGTAATAAAGTATTAATTTGTTAATTAAAATACAACGTTTAATTTTTACTGCATTGGCACTGCGGAATTTGCTGTTATATATTTATTAAACTCTTCAAATGGAGATACTACCTTAATAAATTTATTATAGACCTTTAAAGGTCTACACATTTTTTAAACACAATTGTGTGCAATGTTTAAAAAATGTGTGTTATCAATTTTTAATATAATTCCCCTTATTCTAGGTGACAAACACATTCAGTGCGGCCGCAGACCGGACGTGATTAAATTCTGGTTCATGTGGAAAGCCAAGGGTACTTCCGGTTTCGAGCAGCATATCGACAAAGTCTTTGAAAACGCCAAGTTCTTCACCGATACAATCCGCGAGCGGGAAGGCTTCGAAATGGTCATCCCGGAACCGGAATGCACCAACATTTGTTTCTGGTACGTCCCCCCCTCCCTGCGAAACCGGAAATCCGACCCGGACTACCAAGACAAATTGCACAAGGTCGCGCCGAAGATTAAGGAGAAAATGATGCGCGAAGGAACCATGATGGTCACCTACCAACCTCTAAGGGAAACGCCCAACTTCTTCAGGATTGTCTTCCAAAGTTCCGGTCTCAACAAGTCGGACATGACGTATTTGATCGAAGAGTTCGAGAGATTAGGACGTGATTTGTAAAATTTAGTTTTAGTCGCTTCTATCTGTAGATATGTATATTTATTATTAATTATTTATAAAGTTATTGCACGTTATCAATTTAGTTTTATTCAGCATCACGAAATCTCCCTAAAAATTCATTAAAAAGGGCTTTATTATGCTAATTGGATGGGTGAGTCACAGATAGATGGATTAGGATGAAAACAGCGTTGCCAAATGTACCACAGTCGTAAAAATCGCTACCAAAGGCATTAATAACGGACATGTTATTTTGGCCCAATTGGGACATTTTTGCTGTATTTTTATCACATATCAGCCTTCTATTTATTAAAATAAAAATAAAAACTAAAATATAATACCAGGTATTATAATATACCTATGTATGTATAGGTATATAGCACAGAATACACACATTATAATAAAATAACCAAAACCCAATGACATTTTTAAATTATTAAAAAAAAATAATTTGAAATTGTTTATAAAAACTAAATAATCTATACCTACCTATACAAAATATATGCCTACTGTAAATGTTGTTCATACATTAGCAAATTTGCTGCTTAATTTAATTTAAAATCAAAATAAATAAATAATCTGTCAAATACCATCTGAAGTGAAAATGGCAAACGTCAAAACAAATAACCATGCGTTGCAATATCTTTATCGAAATAATCACTTTCTATCGAGTATTTTAATCATATATACATTTTTCTTAATCAATTCGGTTAAAATTTACATAGGAATCTCGTTGCTATCGAATTTTAAGTAATCCGATATCTTCTTTTATGATTTTCCGAGAATAATGAGTGCAGATGTGGCAACCGTGTCTCGTGTCAAAATACAGTGAAAAATGTTTGGGTTGTGGTATTTGAGAACTCGTTTTTTGTGATAATTAGCCCAATTTTGCTGGGCTTTTGGGCGATCCAGCGTTTTATCTTAAAAAACCCAACGATTTGTAGTAAAATTAACCTGTTCAGATTGATGTAGTGTTTATAGATAGTCCTATAAATATGGTAAGTGTACTTAACCCCACTTTCTTTGTAAATAAATCGATTTTTTGCGTAATTTTTTAAATCAACAACAATAAACATGTTTTATGATGAGTAATTAGTTGTGTCGTGTTTTTTAAAGGATTTGTACACGGACGCCGTTAATATTAAAAATGCCTTACCATGGATTACTTCTACAGAAGAAATTATGTCATTTCTACTTAAAATACCTCTAGATAACAGTTATTTACGTAATCACCTCGCTTTACATCACTTTATCCAGACCAGGGACGCACAGCAAACGGATAATTTCCAGAATGTGATAGAAAATGAGAAAAATGAGATATTGAATTTGTTACGAGAGGCAAACCCAGACGAAGTTAAAGAACGTTTAAGTTTGCTTGGGCTGGTGCCCGATAGGAAAGAAATAGTTATTAGGCAATTATTAAATAAACATAAGGTTAAGTTAGATTCAAAATTGAAGGAAATACCCTTGGAAGTACCTTTTAAACGAAGGATTTGCTTTGAGACTGACGATCAGGAATTGTGTGTTAAATTTAGGAAAACTGGAGGAAAGTTGGAAGTTGTGCATACTTTTTCACAAGAAAATATACCAGTTGTAAGTATACAGTAGCTTAAGTTTGTTTACTTTTATTTTGACAGTCCTAAAAATTTGGTAAATGGAACTGTAACCTAAAATTGATTAAAAGTTGTCCTGGAGTAGAGGCTCTTCATAAAGTTTAGTAGGGGTCTCTATCCTGGAGCAAGTTTTAGTTTTTCATGCAATTCTATATAGTTTGAACCTTTGACGTTATCCACAAGAAGATTCTTGGTTTTCCACTTTAAAATTAAGTTAATTGTTCTATTACATGTTAGTACTGCCAACTTGATCCTTAAATCAATCAAGGGCCTTAGATAAAATTATGGATTATTGTCTATTTACATGTAAAATTTACTTTGTTTCAAAATTCCCAGGAATAACAAAGATAATAATTTTTGGTTTTGAAAGGTTTTTAGTTTGTTTATAAATTTCATGTTAATAGGCTTGTAATTACGCAACTCTTTTCTAATTTTACCGACCTTGTAGCTCTTAAAAAAAAATACCAATTAGTAAGTGTATAATTATTATACACCTAGAAGGATACTTGGCGCACCCTGTAGATTATTGGTACTCTCTACAATAAAAAAATAAAATTTTATTCAGACAAAATCATAAATTTTGGTTGAACATAGGAGATTACAACTTTTAATCAAAACTAATGGTTATATATAACTTTAAGAGTATTTAAGGTTTGTTCACACTCTTTTAATAATAAGATTCAGTAATGTTATGTTTAACCATTAGTTTAGATTTCAGTTTTTCCAGGGAAAGTAAATTTCTTTTTTTCTACATGCAATAACCATTAAACTGAAAATTCTCTCGCTAATCATAGAACCATTTTCTTTTTCAATGAAAATGTCCAGTTTGTTCCTTTAGCTCAAGTACCATGGCGGAAATAAGGCAAACGCAAAAATGTTTCCTACAGAACAAAGTTTATAAAGTCGTCAATAGAGTCCTCTAGCATAGGTATTTTTTACATACTTCCACACATATACTGCTTATTCGGTATATTTTGTATAGATGACCTTGTTTCCTTTTTTGAACGGAAATTTGTTGATTTGCCGTATTATTTTACCTTATGCGCATAGTGAGTTCATAAGTGGGGGATTAAAAATATATGATGCCATAGACATATTAAACGTCCACGTGTGATACGAATTGTCAACTAAATAAAATTTACGTTGTATTAAATTTTTCTAAATCATTTGCTTACATCACCTAGGTTAAGCTTAAATAAATTTCTGTGGTTTGACTTAATAAAAAGCAAAACGTCGCATAATGTGTATTTTATGTAAAATCCACTAAAAATCTCGTAAACACAATGAAAAAAAACAATGCCAAAACAATTGGTAAAAAAAAGAAAACAAACAAAATGGTGATTTATAAAAACCATCTACATTTAATATGTCCATGATAAAAACCTTTTGGGTATCGTGGAAGAAATACGACGTTGCCAAACTCTTGCTGTAATATCATGCCATTATAAAATATCATTTTGTGTATATTGTTAAATGCTTTTTTTATATAATTTATTAAAAAGTATTTATTATATTTCCCAAATAGGGACAAAAATATGGTATTTTTTTGAACGGCAATGCCATGCCACGCATGCGCATGCGCCGTGTGATTCTCACTTTCCCTACTTTAACCTCCGAAAAGAAAACAGTCTCAGTTAGAAATGATTTGTATATGTATGTGGTATTTGTAGTACAAATATATTTAAATAACTATGCTAGCACACTCTATTGACAACTTTATAAATAATGTTGTATAAAATAACGGGAAATTACGGGAGGTTTTTAAGGAAGTCAAGAGCTTTAAGACGTCTTTAAAAATCGGGAGGCTTGGTGTAAAACAAGGAGACTCCTGCCTAAATCGGGAGGGCTGGCAGCCCTATATGGCGCGCCGTTTGATTTTTTATTCAGAAATTATTTATTTCTCCATTGAATTTCACATTTCTCTAAATCAATGTCAGATATCTCAAATTGCAAGTGTGATATATATTTATAAATAAAAGATACTGAGTCAAAAATTTAATTCATTGCATTAAAAATATCATAGGATAAATTAAAAAATGTAAAAAAATTTAGTGTTAAAGTGATATTTTTATTTCATTGAATAAAAAATATGGGACAAATTTATAATTCATATTAGCAACATCATAGGAGAAATTTATAATTCAAGTTCAAAATATTATAGTAGAAATTCCTCAACAATTTATAATTTGAATTAAAAATATCATAAGAGAAATTTTTAAATGAATTAAAAATATCATAGCATGCATGCATATCTGCAGATATATTTAATATATTTTTATTAACTCGAATTAAAAAAATATAGGAGATATTTGTAATAATAATTTCAAAAATCATAGGAGAAATTAAAAATATCATAAAATATAATAATAATTTGATTAATTAATAAAGGGCCATTCCACGCGTAACGGATAGGACAGTTGCCGTGTTTTTATTTACAAAATAATGTTCTATTATATTACCAATGTAAAATTTTTATAAATAGTTCTAAACTAAAGCTGTTTAACAAGGTTTTTATTTGGCAAAATTAGGTATCGTGGTTGACTGTTTAATTCCTTAAAAACTAATAATTTAAAGCGTAACGGACGGGACTTTGTAATAGTCCCGCCCGTTACGCTTTAAATTATTAATTTTTAAGGAATTAAACAGTCAATCATGATACTGTCTGTCCACTCTAAGTTGGCTGAACTAAGGAATTTTGTTGTTTAGATATTAAAGAATTGTCGTACTGTGTGCTTTTAAAACAGATTTTATATTATTAATAATACTAGTATATAATATGTACTAGTATTATTTATAATATAAAATCTGTTTTAAAAGCACACAGTTCGACAATTCTTTAATATCTAAACTGCAAAATTCCTTAGTTCCGCCAACTTAGAGTGGACAGACAGTACCTAATTTTGCCAAATAAAAACCTTGTTAAACAGCTTTTGTTTAGAACTATTTATAAAAATTTGACATTGGTAATATAATAGAACAATATAATTTTGTAAATAAAAACACGGCAACTGTCCTATCCGTTAAGCGTGGAATGGCCCTAAAGTAACAAAATAAAACGGATTTTTTTAATCCAGCGTCATACTTTTACTGAACGACGTATAAACAAAGCACTATATGCGGTGTTGGTTCATTCGAACTACAGTTGCCAGTAACTGGCAATTGTTGCGCTTCAAATATAAACGAAGTCCTGCTATAAATTTATCACTAAGTACATACTCATTTACCTATATTTTTTTATTATAATAATTATTACACATTACTGTTATTAGTGCATTTATTTTAATTATAAATATTTTTGTAACTGGTAGTTCAAATATCTTTACCAGTTTTTGAAAACGCGGGAGAAAAAGCCGCGTTAACCTACCTAATTGATTGTTGAATGTCTTCTTCTACAAGTAGGGCGGATTTACGGCTATTCCCACGCCCTTATGGCCCAAGACAAAAGTCCTAACCAGGTACTAGTATTAACGTCCAATGATTTTCATTTTATACATTTATTACATATTACATTATTCATTGATATTTGAAGCTTAACCTGTTAATTAACACTGTTAATTAACAGGTTAAGCTTCAAAGTTAACGATTATAATTATAAATTTCTTTTAAGACACTAATAATCCCAATTATAAATTTGTCCTATGATATTTTTTATTCAACAAATTAAAAATATCACTTTAACATTACGATTTATTTATTTTTTCTATGATATTTTTAATACAATAAATTAAAGTTTTCATTCGATATTTTTAAATAATTTAGAGATATGTGGAATAGAGAAATAAATAATTCATGAATAAAAAATCAAACGGCGCGCCCTAAAGGGGGACCCAACAAGTTATGTGTCACCTGTCAAAGTGTTGCTTGACCACGGTCTTATATACAGGTCCTGCAACTTTAAGCTTCGAGGTGGCTTCCTTAACGTGCCAAGCCGCTAGGTGGCGCTAAGATCGAAGGGGTAAAGTCAATTAAACTACTACTTAGTTAAATGTGGAACTACTGCATAACCATAACCTAACTTTAAATTCTTTTTCTATGTTTTGTTTACATTTTCAAAAATTTAATATTTGTGAATTTGTTTCGGATAATTTACGTTAACAAAATAGGACAACAAAGTCTATACTCTATGCACAAAGTCCTCGGCCGTCACATGCCCAGACCAAACATGTACATAAGTAAAACATGTTAATGTATAAAATACATACGTATATCATATATATATATATGTTACGGCTAATGTGTAAACATGGATAGTTTATAAAGTAGCTGGGTAGTTTATAAACTAGCCAAACTGTCAGCTATTTTAATTGAAAACGTATTTTTAACTAAATTAGCGGCTAGTTTGTAAACCAACCAAGGGTCTTGGCTAATTTACTTGAAATTATTTAGGAATAGCTGGATAATTTGTAAACTATCCAATTCAATTTGGCTAATATGAAAACCAAAATTTCTAGTAACACAACTTAGCCAAGCTTTAGATAGTTTACAAACTAACCAACCAATATTCTGGCTAATTTATTAATAACCGATTTTTTTATTGTCTTGGCGGGGATGGGTTGATTGTTTATTTAAAATAATATATATTTCACCAACACGATGTGCTTAATTATAAATTAATCATACAAAATGTGAAGGTTTCAATAGTATGTTTTTTATTGCACATTGCCATGTTTTTAACTGCTCCTTATTTGTTGGCACTTTAAACATGGACCGCTTAATTTTAATGCCGGAACGATGGCTTTGCTGGTTACATTTTGGCACAACACAGGACTTCATGTCTATTAAAAAGCACAAATACAAATGTATAACAAGAACAAATATAACAAAAACAAATATAACAAGAACAAATATAACAAGAACAAATATAACAAGAAAAAATAGAACAATATAATATAACAATAACGAATATCACAATAACAATAAGTAAAAACTCCCTGTAACAAAACACACAAGCTTGTTTATAAAAATGTAGGTTATGTTTCTTAACACAGCTGTGAACATAAGTAGGTAGTTCATTTGACTTTTATCCCATAGACTTTAAGGACTTAGAGCCAGTTTTACAATCGTTAGATTAAGTTAGCTTATTTGGCGGATAACTTTCATAGAAACCTTATATCCAAGAAAATTATCCACCAGAGAGCTTATCTAACGATTGTAAAACCCAAAGATAAAGAAGGTAAAAACGACCTTTAAACATCTATGGTTTACCACCCAACTCGATGCGCCATCTGGTGGGTGTCTCATTAGAGAGGTCACTTTTCCTATTGAAATTGGGCGAAGTTGCAGGACCTGTATATAAGACCGTGTGCTTGACATTTTGTTGGGTCTCCCTGTGTATACATAATAATTTTAGGTTGACAAATGTTGTCAATTTTAATGTATAAAATACTATAAATTTCCTATACCTATTTTACATTATATATGGAGTATACATTACTCTTTTTTATTGTCAAATATTTGGGGGGGTTTTGTTGTCAAATTCTAGGGACCCTAAATTTATAATAGGCTACATTGAGTAGAACAAACTAGTTTAGTAGGGAGTATAAGTGTGGTTATGTTATAATTATAAGAATGTGTTTGTAAATTTTGAAATGTCAAATACAAGTTGTTATCAATGCAATAACTGTACCTTTGATGAAATATAGATAAGTTTATGGCCCCAAAGAGGCAAATTTCATTCCCAGAGAACAAATTTTTTATAATTCTGACAGTAAGAATACACTTTAAAGTGTATTAACATAGAATACCAACATAATCAAATGTGTCAAATTTCGAATAAAAACAAACAAAATTTGTACAGACAAACTCAAGAAAGCATGTTAATAAAAACGTTTTAAAATGACCACCTGTTTGCTTAATTAGCTCTTGTTTTTGCGATATAAAATACCCCGGAAACATTAAAATTCTTATAGGTATATTGTTTTTATTATGCTTTAATTAATGAATTATACACATTCTTATTTCTATAAAAATCATCAAAAATTTTAAATGTAACGTTTTTTTAAATTATTTTTACACTGGGTGGGGGTTTGTTATAAAATTGCTAGGCGCATCTGCTGTTGTGTCCTGAAACAAAACCTTTTCCATTTCCTTCTAAAAACTTCAAACTGGATAATTATTTAATATAAATAATTTTCAACAACATTCCAAATATTTGTGCATTTTTGTGACACCCTGTGTATTTTAGGTACACGAAGAGAGCGTGGAAGATTGCGGAAATCTTCCGGACAGTTCGTCGGAAAAATCCGACGTCTCGCGTTTATTGGCGAAAGATCCATACCTTAACCCAGTACCGTCCTGTTCAAAAGCGGATTCTCAAGAATTAATGGACTCAGATGATACGATTATCATTGAAGAAAGCCAACAACCAAATACTAAGTGAGTACAAATACGTCGTGTCAAAAAAGTGCCAGAACTATATTTTTTCAATCGTTTTTTGCAGCCCTTCTCAATCGAGAAGTTCTGTGATAGAGGCTAGTCCCCCAGCCTCAAAAATCGTCGATCCTACCGAATTTATCAAAAACGACCACATCGACGATTATTTGGCGCGGCTTCTTAACATGTATAACAACGACGACTGTGACATGACCACTGACCGTAAGTAACACGTATATAACCTTAAAATTCTATATTTATCTGTCAAATTTTGACATTTCTAAGCAAGTACTTCGGTTACGCCTTCCCCCTCGTCCTTACTCAAACACCAAATTAATAATTTTTAGAAACTGAAAAACCAGAAACTACCTCAAATACTCAGGTGATGTTAAAGAATAGTCCACATAAAAGAAAAGCATTAAACTTACCCATGTTGGAAGAAACTGGTAAATAAATAAAAAAACATTTTCCAAATAATTATTTTTTAATTTGAATTTTTTTAGAATTCATGTCTCCCAATAAAATTAAAAGAGATGAACCAACCAGTATACAACCGTCAACTTCCCAAATAGACAATAAACCACCAAAATACGTTGAAAAAAGAAGAGCTCAGGATTTACTATTAGATGATACAGGTAAGGTCATATTTTATTTGGACTTTGACATTTCCGAATTGTCAAAAAATTGTCTAAATATTTTAACTGCCTTTAAACAGGTTTATAATAATAAATAAGTCCAATTAAGAAAACGTTTTCCCAAGCTAAAAGTCATATTTTTTTCAGATAATTCTTGTAGATATATTTTACCTTCAAAAATAAAAAGAGGTGAGTACTATTGTTAACTTTAAAACTAATTTTAGCCAACATTAATTTTGCTTGTTTTTTGATTTAGAAGAAGAAAATCCGCCAGCATTAGAAATGCTACATGAAATGGGTAAGTACTTTTTTACATTGAAATGTAATATTATTGAAATTAATTTTATTATAGTGGAATCTCCTCAAAAAAGCCTAATTCCATCTCCACCAAAAGGTAGATATGAATTTAATTTAAAACTAAGATTTTACCTAATTTATTATTTTTTAGACAAAGTGTTATCTTTAGAAGAATTTATAAGGCCCTCTACGTCCAAAACAAGAACTAAAGTTCTAGCACCAAAGAAAGGTAAGATGAAATCATTTTAAAATATACTTTGCCATTTTAAATTACATCCTACAAAAATGTATTTGCAAGACCTTACTAGAACTTTTAAGCCATAAATCTGACGATGCAACTTTTTTGTTGCGTCATATTAAAAATATTATAAAAATAAAATACAAATACCTACAGTTAATTTTTTTATTTGGACTTTTTTATTAATATTTGGTAAATGGTACTTCTGCTGAAGACCTTTATTAAATACTCTGACACTGTCAAATTGAATATTTATTATTCATAATTTACTTGTTAATAATTAACAATTATTATTATATAATATTGACTGTGCCAAAAATAATATCAGATTCTAAACTAAAAGAACTTTTGAGGGCAAAACTTCATTTCGATGAAGTTATGCCAAATGCCTCAATGGCAGAAAAAGTACATCGCCTTATGGATATTTTTGGAGTAAAAAAGTAACGTTTTTGGTTTTACAAATATTAAATCACACATTATTTTCAGCTAAGCAGATCAAAAATGTTTGAAATTTTAAAAAAATATGGGGGAAATAAAAAAACAAAAAATAAAAGCTATTTGCTGATAGGTTCAACCTTTTGTGAAAAATCTAGTAGTTAATTTTCCTGCCTTTGAAAATAGAATCCATTTCGATTGAAAAAGATAAGCAATAATCACGAAACTTTATTTTTTCAATTTGCAAGTTACTTTAATAGTCCTTGACAATATATACATTATAATTATTATTAAGCCACTACAAGTATTAACGTCCAGTGTCTTTAACAAAATACCCATTCACCATTGGAGTCCAATGATTGGACAACATTCTCATGTGTTCACATAAAATTTTAATTTCTTTTATATAAATTCTTTTCAAAGCGAAGATTATTATCCGCTAGGAATACTTTGTCTCTTCTGGGCCGTAAAGCAACCTATATTTAACTACTTTTTTTATATGATTTTACTCATCCAAGCACCACCAAAGCCAAATTAATTGCATTTTTAACTACGAATTTTAACAACTCAACTTGACAACCGTTCAATGTAACCTACAATAATTTAATCATAATCACAATTACATTATAATTACATTTAAAACAAGTTTAGTTTGTTTTAATCAGTGCAAACAATTTTGGTTCCGTATTTACCAACCAAACCCCTAAATTTGCAACGCTGCAGCAGTCCAGATAACCAAAATTTATTTCAGGATTTAAATTTACGTTTTTGTTTTGCTTTTGAGAGCTGGATTGACTCATTTTCAACTTATATTCATAGGCTTGTTCACAATCCACACATAGCTGGGTCTGTTCTAACTAAACTAATCGAATAAAGTTAAGCATATTAAGATATTTTGACCAAAACATAAATTTAACGATACAATTTTATACGCCCTGTATACTTTATTTTATTATTTGGTAATAAAAACGTAAAAATAAAAGAATCTTAGATAAAAAAAAACGAAGTCGAAAAAACGCATTATAGGTCTCTATTCGATTTCATTTCAACTTTGTTCAAAAATATGCTTAACTTTTTTCGATCAGTTTATACTAAAAATCACTGCAACACTGCACAGACTTAAACGGCGGTCATTGTTGTTGTGGGCTTGCTAATTAAGGAAAATACTTTAAAATATAATTGTAATCTGTCATTCCACAGCTGATAAATATTAAGTACCATCCAAAATTATTAATGGAAAATTCGTAAATCCCTATAAAAGTTACTAAGCGCCTCAACTTTATTGCATGAAAATAAGACAAGTCTATTTTTGGTGCCTAACATCTTTCTCTCCATTTAAACTTCCCGCCTTCTAACAACTCGACCAATCGCATCGATATTCCCTCTCTTTTTATTTGTATGCGGGCAAAACAAAAATCACGCGGAATTTTTTCTAAAAACAAAAAAAGATCGGCATGTGTTGCCGGTGACCGGCAGCCCGTCAACTGTTATTCTTGTGTGTCACTTAATTTTATTTGTATTCATATTTTTGTTAGTTTGGTGTCTCTTTACAATAATTATTGGTGGCAAATTCAAATACCTACGGAAAATTGTGCTTTTTTTTGTCAGTTTGTTGTGTTTTTTTTGTATAATATGGAGGAGGCACTTTTGGATTGTTTACGTTATTTAGAATCATTGGGTAAATAAAATTTATTTATTAACAAATTTGACATTATAAATATAGTGTCAAAAAATAATTGAATTTGTTGTATTTTTAAAGGTATACTTGTATTTTTATGGTTATACTCTATTTTTAGTGCTTTTGTACTGATATCAGTAGTATTTTTCAAAGTCTGTCAGTAAGAACTAAAAAATGTCATGATTCCTGCAAGGTATAAGTTATATTCTACATCTTAAAAATGAACGTAAAGTAAAATCATATTGTCCATTGGATAAGGGCCTATTATATTATAATATTACACTACTCCGTTTTTTGCGTGTGCTTTAAAGACAAATTTTTGGTATAAAATACAATTTCAATTAATTTTGTATTGGCATGTCAAAATGATTTTGAAAAAATCCAGCTGTGTCTAGATGATATGAGCACCAAGACAAAAAAATAAAAAGCGATGATTGTGCAAGTTGCCAAATATAATCATTTGAGCAAACACCTTAGACAGGCAGTGATGTAGGATTTAAATGCTAGGAAATATATTGGTATATTTTAATTGTGTGACACTGCAGAGTCAAGTTTGTTGAATACAAGAACTAACATTAAATTGGTACCTTCAAGCAATACAATCAAAATATTAACAAAATCTTCTTTTTACCTACCTTTTCATTAAAATCAGATCAGAACAGAATTTTTTGTGGTTTGGCAACAAATAAAAAAAACTGTTTTATTTGTTTTTATTGCCCTATATACAATTTTTATAAATTATGTTATGATGCGTTTTCTACAAATTGTGATAATATCTGTCAATGAACTGTCAAATTTTTAATAACTAGCATTGCGTTTTTAGATGTCAGACGAGAGACGCAAATCATCTGAGTGAATAATGCGCATATTCTCGATTGTAATACTATACTTCATCTACTTCATTTAGTAGATAATTAAATTATTTTCATAAATAACCAATTTGGGTACCCGCAAAAATAAATCTGCCGTTTAGATTTAAAGTCAATCACACTGTAGCGTCGTCATGGTAGCGAAAGGGAATATAACATTTCCTCCGATTTTCAGTACCTGTAGATCGGGTTAAAACCATATACTTACCACACATATACAGATCATTTTGGATTCAGGCTGTTTCCTTTTCGTGGGGTTAAAGTAGGAGCTAGCTACTTATGCAGTTTTACACATGCGTGGGGCCGTGTTGTCAGATGTAATTATATTCTAATATTATTTTCGTTATTATAAAGCTTACTAAAATATTTTATATTGCATAATTTATAAAGAATTAATAAATTATGTTTTTAAGTATTAATTATAAAAAGAAGTATTATTTTTTCAATTTTATAAAAATGTTTTTAGCATTAGAAATTTGGCTACGTCTTATTTTATTACCCAAGGACTTATTGCCAAGGAGATTATAATCGAACATTTTGGTCACAGTACAAACCATTTTTGGTTTATTGTTTACAGCAAAACAGTTCGCATTTTAAAACTAGTTTTCTAATATTTTTTTAATATAACCTAAATTCTTAAACTGACATTTGGATTTATTCATACCCAACAAACATTATCGATTTTTTAATCTCCCACTTTTGAACTGCACGTGCGCAAAAGGTAGAGGGTAGCCACCCTCCCCTTAAAAACGGGAACAAGGTCATCTATTCAAAATATAGGGAATAAGCGGTATATGTGTGGTAAGTATATGGCTAAAACAGAGTTGCAACCCTAACTTACACCTAACCTTACATTATTAAACAACAAATGTCAAATATGTCAGATTGAATTTCTAATAAGGTTGCTATGAAAAATAATATGCATGACAATAAGGAGTCATTTCAACATAAAACCAATCCACAAACTAAATTTTATTTAGATCAGTTTACCAATAAAAGTGATTTTAAGAAAAATAAAAAATTCTAAAAAAAGTGCCCTATACGCTAAAGAAGCATCGCTAGTAGCGCCACCACGTGGCCGTTATCATTGTCAACAATTTAGCTCTTAATAAGCAGCTCTCAAACGCGTATATTACAAACGAGTGTTTTTAATAATAAAGCCGAAAAATGTTAAAAGTATCGAAAAAAAACCGTGGCACGATTTGTTGTGTTGTTTTGGTGGTTTTCGAAAGGAAATCCTGGGTTGGTTTTTACCGGTTTCCCAATAAACAGTGGAAATCCGAATAAAGAAATAAATTGCTTATAAATTGTAAACATTTTAATTCAGTAAAAATCATAAAACACATAGGTCGTCTAAACGTAAACAGCATTTAGCATTATTAAAAGCGTTGATTAAGAAAGTCTCCACTCAACAGTTAAATACCAAGAACCGGTATTATATTATTATATATTATATTATATATACATAAGTATATTATAATATTATGTTGCCATGCATTCGTATGCATATTTTTTAGACGAATCAAATATAAAAATATTCGATTTTAAGGTTATGTTCGAACAACAGTTATTTTTAGTTAGATTTCATAAAAATGTCCAAACTTTTATATAATTTATATTAGGTAAAGTTATCATTAGTTAATTCTGCATCAACAAATATACACACCGTATTGGATCCTTTGGCAAAACATGAAAATGCAACGATTTAGTTCTTAAATTATACAGGGTATTATGTAATTCATGTAATAAATTAAAATACTGAATACCTTTTGACATAAGGTGTAATGAAAAAATAATTAAAAAATATTTTCCCAAAGATAAAGAAAAAATATGCATGGTTTTTTATATTTTTTGTGATACGCCACTGGTTACACACTTGTGTTCTGTGGGTACATAGATACCAACCAACAAAGAAGCTGCGCGTTGCCAGTTGTAAAAAATTGTTACTAAAATTTTTTCTTGCAAAAAATAATAAATAATCAATAAATACAAAAGTTGTATACCCTTAAAGCTCTAATACCCTTCTGTATTTATTTACTCATCCAGCTATTAGCTTAAGCAATTTTAGTACCTATTTTAAAAACTCCATAACCAAAAAATTAATTTTTTCATCGGATTTTTCTTTCTGGTTACTCAGATGGAATTAGGACAAGTTCACAGGTTAAACTTTAAACGTTTAATTTGTGTAAATAAATCCAAAAGCACTTCCCTTAGGATATTTACAATTTGAGCACATAACCTAACATTTGAAAGAAATACACTAGATTCTGTCATAAAAATTGACAGATTGTTTAAATTTACCTTTATTACAAAAATGGCATAATAAACAATTAATAAAAACGCCAAATTAACAATTTGTCTTGTTGATTTTGTCATTTTTGTAATTAAGCTAAATTTAAACAAAATTTGGAAACTTTTTTGACAGAATCTGGAAACTCTGGTTGTTATCCACCATATCATAATAAATAAAATTAGTCAACCAGATTAGCCTAGTTTCTAGTCGATCAGTGGTGTACTTTTTGGTAGGATAAAGGTTATTATACATTATTTTTAGTCTTAGAATTTAGAAAAAAAAGTTGCAGGTGCTTCTTTATGGACCCTAAGGAACTACTCATTTTAATATATTAAATTAATTACATAACACCCTGTTTAAGCATATAAGCGTTAAGTTTCTTAAATAATGATATAAGGAATATTTTTTTTTTAGTTTTAGCAACGCAAAACACCAATAACGTGCGCGATTTAACTGTGCAATTAATTTGTCGAGTAAAACTTCTATCTTCCTCTCTTTGTAAAAAAAAGTACTTATTTGTTTAAAAATGATGTACAGTTTGTATGCTTAATTGACAATTCTTGAATGGGGTAGTTAAATTTTTTCTGACCTATACTTTTTATGGTTTTATTCAAGGCGTTTTGTAATATTAAACATTTCTGTAAAATCAGAATTGAGTTTACCGTTTTCGAGATATTTACAAAAAATATAAATTTTTATGACGTCACAAACCTCGCCATGTGACCAACATTCTAAGATTTCTATTGGTTGAAAATTACCCTGTTGTCAAGTTGTCTTGTTAATGATTTCATTCGGTTATGTCAGAAAATACCCGAAGAGGTTATGTACAAATACTGTCACTGTCAGTTGAGTGAAAGATGGTCACCAAATTCATTAAGTACATAGATAAGCAGGGCCGAGCCTAGGGTATCTGCCGCCCGGGTGCAAGAATTAAATTTGCCGCCCCCATTAATGTAAAAAATTAGGTTGTCGGTAGGGAAGGAGTTCATAATTTATCATTCTCAATAAACATATAACAAATTTTATAGTAAAATAACAAAGTATTTATTAACAAATACATAAAAGAATAAAATAGAAATACATTCAGGAAAAAAAAACAAAAATAATTAAACTAAACTAAAAAACTAAAATCTACTTTTCTCGCTTTTTTAATAGCAAATTCCCTAATCAAGTCGCCTACATCCAAGTTGTTAGAAATATCTTCTTCAATACTTATAATTGCTAAATTTGAAAGCCTGAATTGACTCATATTGGATCTTAAATAGGTCTTAATTAGTTTTAATTTCGAAAATGACCGCTCTCCATGGGCAACAGTAACTGGCACCGTCAAAAATATTCTTAAAGCTACAAATAAATTCGGCAAGATGCCTTTTAAATCATTAACTCGTTTTTAACTTAAACGCATTAAAAGAAAAAAGAAACTACTATGTTTGCATCCTATTTGCCTCACGTTAATAGAAGAACTAAAAATTGCTGAAATACGCAGCCGTCAAATCGGAAGAAATTATGCTTTAACTTAACAGTTCAGCTTGTAAACAATATCACGTGGTACACAGCGCGCGATTTGATTGGTTTCCAGTAAGCCCGCTTCCGTAAAACATGAAACTTGAAGAACTCGAAGCGGACGGACGGAAAGCGAAGCGGGCGGGCGGCAATCTATAAACCGGGCTTTAAGAAAATTGTCATCATCATTTTTTGTGGCTATCGCGCGTTCGGTTATGACTTTTTTATCATTGCCGCCTGACAGCACAATTTTGGCATTGTTTTTATGTGTAGAATAAAAACGATGATTCATTAAAACGCCGACATCAATAAAAGGCAAGTGATTTGTTGAAAGTTTTTTGCATATTGCAAGGTGGCTTTTTTATTCTTGATAATATGATACAATTTTTTGATGATATTTTGCCGCCCTGTGTTAGTGCCGCCCGGGTGCCATGCACCCCCGGCACGGCTCGGCCCTGTAGATAAGGGATAAGTTGGGTGGGCGGGGGTTAGTACCTATCTTCCTTATTACGAGGTATCATATTACTGTTTGATATTTTAGAGTCCAAGATATATCTAAAAGAATATAAAGAACTAGGCATTATACTAATGAAATGCATTTACGACAAAATATGATTATAATTATAGGTACTTACTTTATTTGTTTAAAAGCTCCAATGTTCAATGTAACCAACCATTCCACAAGATTCCTCTGCTTTGGAGTCCGTTATCAATAATATCAATTACAAATAACATAACAATAACATTGATTTTCAATAATCTAAGGGTATGTTCCGTAAATCAACTTGGTTGGTTTGGTTTCGGTTAAGGTGTCCCGTAAATGAAAAATTCCTGAAAATTATGTAGTTAAGAAACGCGGTTCCTGAAAAATAGGTTATCCAATCGTTACCGAAACGACCGACGCTGTATGATCGGTTAAATCGGTTACCAGTGCTGCAAACCAAATGGAAACAGTGTTGCCCTAAACAAAATTACTGTTTTTTGTTGGTTATCTAACCTAAAAATTTAACACAGGAGCAGACTTCGCATACAAAATACGTTTTGTCCAAAAATAATTGAATTCAGTATATAGGGTGTTTTAGGTTTGTTTATGTAACTATAGAAATATTATTAAAAATATATGCAAGTTGTAGTTTTTGACACAAATAAAAGTTTCAATAAAAAATTTTAAAAACTTTGCAAGTCCTTTGGATTCAACAAAATGAACAAATTAATGGAAGTTGCATAGTCAAATGAGATATTTTAAAATACTGGCCCACGCAATACCAAATCATCATCACTATCAGATTCATCACTTGTTGCTAAAAGCTCATTAAAAAGAAATTTGCAGCTTCAAAGTTCATTTTGCACTAAGTCAAACTGGCATAAGCCACCAACCTAACAAAAAAACACGAGTCCAGATAAAAAAAGTAGGTCGGAAAAAGTAAGTTGGGTTATGTTTTTTCAAATAAAGGTGCCCCGTAAATATGAACTAACCGAGAAAACCAGGAATTTATTTCAGTAACCAGACCGGTAACTCGTGTGTATTTACGGAACATACCCTTAAAAAAAAACATAACCCGAAAAAAAGAAACGTCAAAAAATCTTCTTCTTCTCAATTAACATTATAGATCAAGTGGTTTTAAAACTAAAATATTATAACGTGGCGCCATCTATCGTAAGAATCTTAAACTAAACACACTGGCAACCATAGAAAAAGTTGGCAACGTTGTCAATAGCCTAGTGACGTAATTAGGAGATTTTTTTTTGTAAATATCTCGAAAACGGTAAACTCAATTGAAATTCCGATTTCACAGAAATGTTTAAAATTACAAAACGCCTTGAATAAAACCATAAAAAGTATAGGTCAGAAAAAATTTAACTACCCCATTGTCAACTATGCTATCGAACACCACCAGATAGCGCGCGCTGCGAAAACCCGATGCTTCTTTAGCCTATAACTGGTTCTCACTGCACTTTTTTCAGTATCTTTTCAACGATTTATCCTTATTTTTCTTATGCTTTATAATTTTAAAAGTTTATCAAATAAACTTTATTTTTATTTTCAATAAAAACCCTTAATATCCTTTTTTACGTTTTATATTTTAAAAATGTTTCAAGATTATTTTACAGTTTTGCTATTAAAATAGATTTGTAATCTTTATTATTTTTTTGTTTAATAAAAATATATACTTTAAACTTGACACATATTTTGCAACTTTTTTTTCAGAAAAATCTCCTTCAAAGTTCGACCTGGTGGGCCACCTGATGGAGATAACGCGCCGGCCGTCGTCCGCGATACGGGGCCTCTGCCTGAAGCGCAACATCAACGTGAACCGCATGCCGACCGACTTGCAAATGGACGAGCTGTGCACGCAGCTCTTCGACGCTGACAGCGACGAGGACGACGACGACGACGTCGATGCCGACGACGTCAGAGGCATTTCGAAGGTGAAGAACGAGCCCATCGAAGTCGACTTCATGCTCAATGACGATTCAGAGGGGGATGAGGTCACCGGTAAGAAAGAACCCACGACAAAACGCGGGGAAATTAAAAAAAAAAATTGAAACCTGTTGATTATCCTTCAGTTTTTTAGGATATACACTGAGCGTCAAAAATTAACGCATAAAAAGTAAAAAAAATCTAACTCTAAAGCCTAAATTATAGATTGCCTTTCTTCCTTCCTCCCGTAGTCGTGCCCGTACGATTTGTGCGTCTTGTAAAAAGTCAATTTATAGATTTCCGTGTAAAATTTCGTAACCATGCGCGATGACACCTAAAATGGTTGACATTTGTTTTTGTTTATATTCTTCGTTTTACCCATTGTGTGTAAATATGAAAGATAATCATTTACATATTAGTACAATTTTAATTGCCCAGGCAGCTTGTTGTATACTGCCCAACTATGGAGAAAGGCAGTAACTGCTTAGCAAGAAATTTGTGGGAAATTAGCATAAACTACAATTTTATAAAAAGCAGTAGGTATTTAACTGATTTATTTAACTTAAAAGATAGTTTACTGCATTTCTTTGTTGAATTAAGATACAAAATGTCCATAGCTTTATCATGGCACAAGAAAACGCATTTGTAGTTACGCCCTTTCTCCATAGTAGGGCAGTATAATGAAAAAAAAAACATCGAACAAGACGTTGGAAGACTTTACCAATACCGGGAAATTACAGGGTTTTACAAAGCAACGTTTCTAAAAATGAAAGACATTGATCATAAACAATATCTAAATATTCTATTTAGAGACACAAATTATTAATAAACTGAACACCTATCTTAAATAATACTAAACAATCATGTATTTTAAATATTTTGTGCCTACGCGCTGTCACCCTACAGCGCATGTCCATAACAAGCACTGTGATTGGTCATGTCAAAGACCTTTACGGTAAAAGATAAAACTTAAAAATTTCTACGGAAGGTAGGAATGCCGTCCTTACGGTACGGGAATCTATAACTGGCACTACGATTTAAATAAACATTTTTGACGTAATTGTCACCATTAACATTGCCCGTTATTAATTTTAATTAAACTTAACAATTATTGATACTTTAAAATATTAAAATAACTTCAAAATATGATTTTGTTAAGAAAATATTTTATTCTTTGATTTTTTTATTACTATAATTGCAAAATATTATCACAAAGTATTAAAAATTCTTACACGGTAAATGTTAATGGTGACAATTACGTAATGTTCATCTTCTACAGGAGAAAGGAAGGAAGGCAATCTATAATTCAGGCTTAAAACGTCTTTACCAATCTTTATAAAATTTTGAATAAAAATACTTTAACTTATATCTCAGTTTACGTGTTCAAAGGTTTTTCGAGAAAATATCCCTAAAGCCCTTTTATTTAATAATAAAAAACGCTTGAAAACAACTTTTAAAGGGAATTTTTTTTTTGAAGTAAATAAAAAATATGCTGTAAAAGACCGTATTTTTGTTAGTATACCCTGAAAATTTTGTACAAGTCAAACAAACAGTAACGAAAATACAGCGCTTCAAAGTCGTCAAAAATGACCACTTTTCAGCAAAATAATCAAAAAGGGGTAATTTTTACCGACTTTGAAGCGCTGTATCTTTGTTACAGTTCCTTTTATTTATACAAAATTTTCAGGGTACACTAACAAAAATACAGTCAACATATTTTTTATTTACTTAAAAAAAATCCGAAAAGTTATTTTTCGAATGTTTTTTTATTATTAAATAAAAGGGCTTTAAAAATATTTTCTCGAAAAACCCTCGAACACGTAAACTGAGATGTAAGTTGATGTATTTTTATACAAAATTACATAAAGATTGGTAAAGGCGTTTTAGAATTTAATTTTTTTACTTATTATGCGTTAATTTTGACGCGCAGTGTATAAAAGTTGATAATATCCTCGATACAAGGTGGTGGGTTTTTCAGGTTGGGAAAATTAACTTTCTCAAAAATCTTAATGTAGGTTGTAGAGGGCGCTTTGCATACGTTTAAATGGTCACATCTTTTTTGCGCTTTTTTGGTGTATTCACGTTTGAATAAAAATATTACATTCAAACGTATGCAGTCGCAGACAGCACTCTCTACAACCTACATATATTTTTTTAGAAATTTCATTTTTCGGTCCTGAAAAACCCAAATATCAAATTTTGTTCAAAAAAGTTTGTACTTTCCAAAGTTATTTAATAAAATCAAAAAAAACTTTTCAATTTGACACCCAGTATCTTGGTTATTATCAACTTTTGTATAGAGGTAAATTTTGTTATATCGCATTATTTTGATCTCAGAAATATACCAAATTTAAAAAAAAATTAATTTTTGGATTTAAAATTTTTAAAAGGAATGAAAAAATTATATTTTTAAAATATAGATTAAAAAACTTTTTCTACTCCTATTGCATATTATTGACATTATTTGTTTTTTTCCTTAAATAATGGTAACCAATATAACCGCCCGGCCTAACAACGTGAATATTGAACTCATTATTCACGTTGTTCGGCATCAGTGATTTCAATATTCACTGTTATTTGGACCAATCGGGTTTCAAATTGGCAAAAAGTAAGGTTAACAGATGTCAGATTTGTTTATATATACGAGGGGCGACTATAATGATCTTTAAAATCGGAAAAAGCGAGGTTATAATAAATTTTGTTATCAATGAAAATTACTTAATTGGAGTAGAAAAAGCATAGTATTACACTCGAAATAATGCGCATTATTTACTCGGATGATTTACGTCTCTCGCCTGACGGCTCTAAATGCAAACCTCATCCTTGTGAATATGCCAACAAAAAAGTTTATTTTTGGACACCTATTTTTCCATCTGGCCACATAATATTAATGACATTGACATTATTAAATCAAATTAAAATTTGACTTTTGAACTGTGTACTAGTCTTTCTAATAGGCTTATGACAATGGCAATTTTTATTTTACAACCTTTTAATAATTTTTTTTCAACAATTTTCAATTTCGTAATTGTAGTACCCTTTCAATTATGAAATGTAAATATCAAATGGATGCAGAGGTTAAGTACCACTTTTAATAATGAAGGATGAAAAATATTCTAATTGCACTACTAAATTTATTTTTAGTTGCAATAATGATATTCTCTGTTCTTTTCTTGTGTAACATGACACCTTTTAACCAAAATAAATTTTTAAATGAAATGCCATATTTTTTTGTCCTTTATTATTAAAAATGTTACCCTTTATCCACTTTCCCCGTCAATTATAAACCTGTAATTTGTTGTATTTTTAGTTTTTATCATAAATTTTGTTTTAAATTTACTTAACAAATTTATGAAAGTTATTTTAATACTATTCTTATTTTTCAGATGTTGATCAAGTCGTTTTAGATCTTCCAAAACTTGAAAGATTGTAAGTCAATTTAAAACCTTTAAAACCCGTATTGCATACCGAAACTCCAAAATATTGTTCAAAACATCGAAAAAAAATTCCCTCAAAGTTTAATTTTAATTCTAAGTAGGTACTTTCTTTTTCATTTAAAATTTTTCTTATTTTAAAAGCATCACTTTTTTTCATCATATTTTTATTCATTGTTACTTACAGAGTATTTAACGCGTTTTAAAAGAGTCTATAAGAATTTTTCTCTAACTCAATTGACCTATGAAATTCATTTTTTTTCTTTTTTCACATATTTTTAAAAATATTATTATTTGTCTTACCAAAAAAATTTGAAGAAAAAAGTTGTAGAAAATTTAATTCTCTACAAAAAAAGTTGTTATGTTTATAAGGTATTTGTGCAGTGCACAGTTTACAAGGTATTTAATAGTCGTGGAATCGAATTTAAGACATTAATCTCAAGAAAACACAAATTTTTAAATATTAATCTTCTTATTTCTTGTAAACTGAGCACTTTAGCGATATAAAGGTAAGAACTTTTTTGTAGAGAATTTTCTACAACTACAATTTTTTGTAAGACAATCCATTAACCTAATATTTTCAAAAATATGTGAAAAAAGTGACTTTTAGAGGTGAATCAAGTTAGAGAAAATTTCTTAAAGGCTCTTATAAAAAGCGTTAAATACTCTGTAAGTAACAATGAACCACAAGAAAATTAAAAAAAAGTGATTGAAAATACATGCTTTTTAATTGCGAAAATTCAAAATGAAAAAGAAAGTACTTAAAATCAAAATTAAGGGCTCAAACTTTGAAAGATTGTTTTTTTCGATGTTTTAAACAATATTTTCGAGTTTCGTTGAAAAACAAAAAATAGGCGTTTTAAATGAAACACCCTTATACAGAGTATGCACAAATTTTGTAGTTGACTAAATTTTAATGCATAAGACAAAATATATTATGGCAATGTTGTAAGAAATCTAAGATCTCTTAAAGTTAGTAAATACATTGTATTTTTAGGTAATTTTTCGTTTAAATTAATGTTATACAGTGTGACCCATTTGTTTGCAACTCACCCCTGTAAAATCTTTATTTATTGTGCGATTTTAACCGGATTTGTTTTAAAGTGTAGATCTTGATAAACTGTATTTTTGGAGCAAAAAATGCCATATTTGTACAAAATACAAGGCCTACTATGTCAGTTTAAATTTAGTATAGGATCGTTTTGAGGGGTGGTGAATCCGGTGCAGTGCTTAGATTTTGTTTAAAAAACGCTTATATGAATTCTTAAAACTTTACTCTTAAAAACTGAAATAGTAGGTCTTGTATTTTGTAAAACTATTTATTTAATTTATTAAATAATTTAAATTGATAAAATGTCGTTTTTTAAATCAATTGTTGATTAATTTTGGTTTTAGATGTCAAATTTAAAGGTTTTATTTGGTTTAACCTTTAAGGTAAACTTTTAGGGCCGGTTTTTCAATCGTTGGTTAAGTTTATCTTACGGTTAATTTCCTTAGATACTATTCTTAACACAATAGTATCTAAGAAAGTTATCCGTAAGATAAACTTAACCAACGATTGAAAAACCGGCCCTTAATCTAACATATTTTTTTCATAATACAATTAAGTTAATTTTATAAATCGTTAGTTAATTGAATTAACTAACGATTTATAAAATTCCAGACCTACAGTCATTGACCAAAAAGTTTTGTGCATACGGCAATAAAAGTTAAATAATTTTATTACGTTTTATTAATTAATTGATTTCAAAATATTCCAGGTTACCGTCAAGTTCCAGCGCGCCCCAGCTTCGGGTGGTAGACTTGACAACCACGCCTCAGGACACTAAACTCGATGCAAATGCCATACCCGTCGCGAATCGTCTCATGGAGATGTTTCCTGAGGCTTGCCCCAAATACATCAGGAAACTTTGCAATGGCAAAGCCATGATGAACCTAGACGACCTTGTTACAGAAATAATAACAACAGGTTAGTTAAATCTTTTGCTAATTTTATTTACAACGAGCTTTTATTTAATTTGCTTTTTATGTCACTTTCACAATGGAATTTTTTTTATTTAAATGCAATGAAATAATCAAGTAATTATTACAATTATTGTAACAAATTTGTTTCAAATAATTGAGGATATGTATCTATTAATTTAATATATAATTTTTCTGGCCTTGCAAGGAAATTTCATATTTTGTTCTAAAAGCTATTTAAGTTTAGCACTTACAAAGTTAAATATTTTTGTACTCAAAACAATGGGGTAGTTAAATTTTTTCTGACCTATACTTTTTATGGTTTTATTCAAGGCGTTTAGTAATTTTAAACATTTTTGTGAAATCGGAATTTCAATTGAGTTTACCGTTTTCGAGATATTTACAAAAAAAAGTCTCCTTATTACGTCACTAGGCTATTGACAACGTTGCCAGCTTTTTCTATGGTGTTTAGTTTAAGATTCTTACGATAGATGGCGCCACGTTATAATATTTTAGTTTTAAAACTACTTGATCTAAATTTTAGTTGAGGAGAAGAAGAAGAATTGATTTTTTGACGTTTCTTTTTTTCGGGTTATGTTTTTTTTTAAATTTAGATTATTGAAAATCAATGTTATTGTTATGTTATTTGTAATTGATATTAGGTAAGTGATTTATTAATAACGGACTCCAAAGCAGAGGAATCTTGTGGAATGGTTGGTTACATTGAACATTGGAGCTTTTAAACAAATAAAGTAAGTACCTATAATTATAATCATATTTTGTCGTAAATGCATTTCATTAGTATAATGCCTAGTTCTTTATATTCTTTTAGATATATCTTGGACTTTAAAATATCAAACAGTAATAAGAAAGATAGGTACTTAATGAATTTGGTGACCATCTGTTTGAATAATTTTAATAAAAATGTCTATTTGTAGACCCTGCAGTATCTTTACCTACCATGTACGTTATTGCAGCAATATTTAAACCAGAATTGTCGAAAAGTACAAAAATGTACTCTAGAGCATAGTATCTTCGAACAGTCCAAAAGTTTGTCATACATTTTTTAAATCTTACAAAAGGTTTTGATGCTCATCATCAGGGATGCAAGTTTTATAAAAACTATACACAAATATCATAAATACCATTGTTAACTTACATTTACTGTTATTTTTTGTAAATTTATTTCATTCATTTTCAGCTTTATTTTGCCACTTTTTTCTATGAAATATATTAAACTCTGCTTTAGACAGTTATTAGGTACCTATTTATTACATTTTATTAGGTTTCACACGGTGTTTCAATGTGTAAACCTATCAATAAAACTTTTACTTTCAGAATCTCTTCTTCTTCTTCTTTCACTCAACTGACAGTGACAGTATTTGTACATAACCTCTTCGGGTATTTTCTGACATAACCGAATGAAATCATTGACAAGACAACTTGACAACAGGGTAATTTTCAACCAATAGAAATCTTGGAATGTTGGTCACATGGTGGGGTTTGTGACGTCATAAAAATTTATATTTTTTGTAAATATCTCGAAAACGGTAAACTCAATTGAAATTCTGATTTCACAGAAATGTTTAATATTACAAAACGCCTTGAATAAAACCATAAAAAGTATAGGTCAGAAAAAATTTAACTACCCCATTGATGGTCAAAAAATATTTCAAATATAAAATGGAACTGTAAAAGTTTTTAAATTTGTAAACAGTAAATTTTTAGTACAAAAATTCTCACATTAGATTTAAATGTAAGTTTTAAATTTCAAAGTGATAATTTTTGGATTAAAAATTTATCGATCATTTAAATGACTACAAATTTAAACCAAAAGTTTTTATTTTTAACAATTTTATGTTAATACATTTTTAACACAAAATTTATAATTTTACATTTAAATGTAAGTTGATAATTTTTAATTAACAAAGTTAAATGCAGCATTGGCAGATGTACTCTGATCAATTATAAGCATAGTCCATAGTCGGTGAAACGTAATGTGAATATTTTTGTGGAAAAAAAATGAATTCAATTTAAAAATAAAAGTTATCAGTTTAAATTTCTCAAGAGTCATTTAAGTGATGGGCAATAAGTTTTTAATCAAAAAATTACCACTTGTAAAACTAACATTTAAATGTAATGTGAGAATTTTTGTATTACAAATTTATTGGCCATCTTTTAAATGAATATTTACAAATTTTGTAGGATAAAATATTGAAACTACAATTCCTAAAAATCAATATTTTTAAACTTTAACTTTTACAGTTGCAACATTAATTTATATGTACTCTTCACTCAGCAGTTGCATTTTATATTTAATATATTTGTTGATTATCAATTGTTTTGAGTTTAAAAGAATTTAACTTTTTAAACTTTGGTAGAAAATGTATATAACTCATATATGTGTTTTTATTTTAAATGACAATCCTATTTTTAAATACTTAAAAAATTAAATTTACCAATTTAATCTAAATAATTTTATAAAATATTTATTTAAGATTTACAAAAATCTGCCCAAATAAATTATAGGTACTTGAAATATTATTTTTATTAAAAAAATGATGGGTGGCATCTGTAAAGTAACATCTGTAAAGTAACAAAAATATTTTTTATAGCTTAGATAGGGTTTTTTATTCTCTTTTTTTTTAGCCTTTCTTCATTAAAATCGATTAACAAATAAAAAAGTTACGGGGGTGTTTCCATCTTAAATGGGCCACACTGTATACAGGGTGTATCACGGTCGATGGTAGGTTAGACGTTTATGGAGAACGGCAAAAGATATCGAAATAAAACTTATAGCAATTATAATATGATTTAAACTCTCTAAATTATTTTGACCAAAATTCCTCTTCCGGTTTTAACGGAAGCGATATCAACTTTGTTATTTTAAATGGATCACCACAATGTTTTACATTTTTAAATTCTTACCATGATTCCTTATAAAATGGCTATATCATGTCCTATACCTAAACTTAATACACTCACAGGCAAAATAATCAATCCACACAAATTTTCGATGAATTTTAATCGCAAATAACTTTTTTATTTGATGTCGGATTTAAAAAATATTAAAGAATATTGTTGATAAATTAATGGAAGTTTTGATAAACTGGTGAATTCTTCATGGACAATATGACAAACTTATTGCTAGAACATGCAGACACTTTTTGTATGTTGTACCTTTAATAATAATAAATATCGGAACAGTTTTGTTATTCACACCAAATTAATACATATGAGCAACATTTTGTCAGTTTTTCTTCATATTATTAAGGTAATTGTAAAATATCTTTGTTAATATAAACTTTAGGTATAGGGAATAGTATTATAATTTCATATTTAATTATGTAAAAATATACAGGGCGTTCCATAAGGAATAAAAAAGTTATTGCTGTTTTAAGTTAGCTACATTCATATTGCTTTTTTTTAAGCATCTTTTTAGAAATATTACAATACAAAACCAAAAACAAAACTGTTAAGAATAGATGTGACTTGATAAATAAAACTTAATTTAGAACAATATACGGTTTTGCCACTCTACAGAGTGTTTTAAACTTATGGTAAAAAACATCTGTTTGTTTAAACCTGTATATTATAAACGTACGTGAATTTTTTAGTAATTTTTAAAATGTGAGCGATTCTCCATTAATTTATCTACAATATTCTTTAATATTCGTTAAAATTCGACATCAAATAAAAAAGTCATTTGCGATTGAAATTCATCGAAAATTTGTGTGGATCGATTATTTTGCCTGTGAGTGTATTACAATAAATAACATAGAATCTTTAAAACCTAATATTAAAAAAGTTATAAGATTTTTTTCTTGACGGTGAATTTTACAAAAAAAATTAATAACTCAATAACTTTAGAATAGGGCATAGTATAGCCATTTTTTAAGGAATGATAGTAAGAATAAAAAATGTAAAAAAAATTGTGATAATCCATTTAAAATAACAAAGTTGATTTCGCTTCTGTTAAAACCGGAAGTGGAATTTTATTCAAAATAATTTAGAAAAATAGTTTTAATGATATCATATTTGCTATAAAAAAATCAATTTGATATCTTTTGCCGTTATCCATAAACGTCTAACCTACCATCGACCGTGATACACCCTGTATAATATAATATTTAGCATTAAAATTTGTTTACTAAACAAATTCGAATGCTAAAAAGTATACAATTATTCTTACTTTTGTAGGCGATGATTACCCGAAGAGACAAAGGAAACCGGCTAGTCCGGAGCCGGAGATCGACGCCGAACAACAGCTGGAAATTTTAAAGGAGGTCCTGCCCGACGCCGATCCCACTTTCCTGCAGATGCAGTGCGAAAGGTACCGCGGGAACGCGAACGGGCTCAAAGAGTTCATGGCCAACGCTTTGGAGAACAAAAACTATCCCACTTTGAAGGAGCACATCAGGAAGCAGCAGCTGTCGGCGCAGCAGAAGCAATACACGACGGACTTCAACGTGGAGAACTTCGTGAAGCTGTTTCCTGAACCGACCAAGTACTTCGGCGACGCGACGCGGCAGCCGCAGTACAGCTTCGTCGACATCCACTACATCACGATGTTCCTGCGCAACCACTTCGACCGCATCCCGGTCAAGGAGATCGGCAAGACGATGCAGCAGCACGGCAACCGGCCGGTGACGGCCTACTCGGTCCTGTCGAAGCGCATGCGCGACGGCAACGTGATGAAGTCGCGCAGGAAGCACGTCGAGCTGCCCGACAACCTGCAGAACATACCGCTGCTGCAGGAGCTGGCCTATCTTAACCACAGGTAAAGATTTAAAAAAAAATACTAAAAAAACGGGTTTTATGCAATTTTTTTTATGACATAAGGGCGTATCAATTAACAATCTTACAAAGAATTTTAAATAGTTTTTAGCTAATTTAAATTATTAATTGGAATAAAAATGTGCTACTAGGTATTACATTAAATGTACTACCTTGTAGCACATTTTGTTTCCAAAAAAATATTTTAAATTAGCTCAAAACTTTCTATGTTTAAAATGCTCTGTAAAATTGTTAAATATGAGATGCGCCTTTATGTGAATTGAGGACAATATAGGAAACTTAGATCCAAATTTTTGACCATCAACTCCTTGTAGCTTTTGCGACATCTTGGATTAAGGGGTGAATTCGCGAATAACAGCTGTATTTTTTATTATTATAAAAACCAATTACTTAAGAAATTTATACCACAGGTATGCATTTAAAACAAAAAACTAAAAAAAACGGGTTTTTAACGTTTTTTAGCAATTTTTTTCGATCGTTTGGGTACCATATAGTCCACATCATCACATAAGGGCGTATAAATTAACAATTTTACAAAGCATTTTAGATAGTTTTTACTAAAAAATTTTTTAGCTAATGTAAACTAATATTTGGAATAAAAATGTGCTACTGGGTATTACATTACATGTACTACCTTGTAGCACATTTTGTTTCAAAAAAATATTTTAAATTAGCTCAAAACTTCTATGTTTAAAATGCTCTGTAAAATTGTTAAATATGAGATGCGCCCTTATGTGATAATGGGGACAATATAGGAAGCTTAGATCCAAATTTTTGACCATCAACTCCTCGTAGCTTTTGCGACATCTTAGATTAAGGGGTGAATTCGCCAATATCAGCTGTATTTTTTATTGTTATAAAAACCAATTGCTTAAGAAATGTATACCACAGGTATGCATTTAAAACAAAAAACTAAAAAAAACGGATTTTTAACGTTTTTTAGCAATTTTTTTTCGATCGTTAGGGTACCATATCGTCCACATTATCACATAAGGGCATATCAATTAACAATATTACAAAGCATTTTAAATATTTTTTAGCTAATTTAAATTAATATTTGGAATAAAAAATTTGCTTCTATAGTAAATTTAAAAGTAAACTACGTACACGTCATCAATAAAACAAAAATTTTACGCATTGGTACCAACACTAAATGACTAAATCGAAGTCTGTAATTGAATATTTGAATGCATTTTAAACATCTAAAGTTGGCAACAATTAAGATGTTGTCATATTTACATTCAAATATTTCATATTTAAATGACACATAAAAAAGAATTTGACGTTTTAGAATTTCGAAGCTGTCGGTTGTGTTTTTGAATATTTCGTTTAATTCGTGTATTATTTCGTTTATTTTGTTTGTTGTTTGTGTTATTTTATATCGTTTAAGTTTTCATTGCCGTTTTTGTGTTTGTTATATATCGTTTTTTTGTGTTTCCTATATTTAAAATGCCGAAGCATTTAAATAGTCGGAGTCAAGAGTTGGTGTCATCCTTAATACGCTATTTTGAGGCAGAACGGGATAATAATGGACCTTTGTTACCTTTATCAGCTGTTAGAGAGGTAAATAGGATTATTATTAATTATATATTAGAATATTTAACAAAATATATGTTGGATACATAAAATAATAATATATATACCAGAGACTGACTAGATGGCAAAATTTTTGGGTTTTATATCAGAAAATGTCTTTAAAAATGGCTAAAAACATACTTTTGGCGGTGCATCATATAGGTTATAAAAACTCAGACTTTTGACATTTTGGTATTATTCATGTAAACGCCATCTATCGCCCTGTAGTTGCACTACCACTTTCCCTTGATGCAAGGATTTTAGCATCACATTGACAACCGTGCCCGATCAGCTGATTGATGACGTGTACGTAGTTTACTTTTAAATTTACTATAGGTATTCCATTAAATGTATAACCTTGTAGCACATTTTGTTTCGAAAAAATATTTTAAATTAGCTCAAAACTTTCTATGTTTAAAATGCTCTGTAAAATTGTTAAATATGTGATGCGCCCTTATGTGAAATGGGGACAATATAGGAAGCTTAGATCCAAATTTTTGACCATCAACTCCTTGTAGCTTTTGCGACATCTTGGATTAAGGGGTGAATTCGCGAATAACAGCGCTTTATTTTAATTTTATCGAAAAAATAGCCGATACCATTTTTGACAAAAAAAAGCTCTACAAATTTGTATACTTGATATTTTTGATTAATTTGCGTATTTAATTAACCACTTGTTATAAAAACTGATTACTTAAAAAAAGGTGGCGCTACGGTAAGTAAACAATTGCTCGCAAGATAAAAAATTTCCAATAACATTTATAGGTGGTTGAGATTTTGTGAAACGGATCACTATTTTTCCGACTTTGTTTGGTTTTGTAATACTAAATAAAACTATTTCTAAAATAGAAATTATTAAAAAAATTGTGTTTTTAACGATTTTTTTAATCATGGAAATAATCATGCTTTATTTCTGGGGTATTTTTTTTTAACAAAAAATCATCTGTAGTGTCAAATTGGATAAATAATGACCATAGGCGTGCGAAACAAGGGCTACTCGGAGAAAAAATTCTCTTAACTTTTTTTGTGGGGTTTTGTTGAATTCTCGATCTTGGAATACATTTCTCCAGATAATGTTTCTCGAAAACGGTTGGCTTCATGACTATGTAACAGGAGCAACTTGTTTTATCTGGAGAATTGTATTTTAAGATCAAGAACTCAAAAAACCCACAAAAAAAATTATAGATTTTTTCGCCGAGTAGCCCTTGTTTCGCACGCCTATGGTCATCATTTATCCAATTTGACATCACCAGATGATTTATTGCGCATAAATTATCGCTGAAATAAAGTATCATTATTTTAACACTAACCGTTTTTGAAATAATAAAAACCTGATTTTGCGAAACAGTTTAAATGTTTTAGCGCTTCCAGGAGGCAAAGTTGTTAATAATTTTTTGCGTGTAGAATATCCATTCGAAATATATTAAGGTTTCTTCGGGACACCCTGTATAAAATGACAAACATGTTCTAATTTTAAATACAATTAAGAAATTTTTTCCGATACATCCGAATTAGCGATATTTCCAGTGTTGCAAAAATCCTAATGTAAAAAATAATGCATTCGTCATTTTTTTTTAAATGTAATTCTAATCCTTTCCCCATTAAAAAAAATTTAATGTAAAACATTTTCAATTCTCATTAAACAATAATTGAATTATTATTAAACAATCATTGAATTATTCAATGAGTAGTGTAGCAATACATTACTCATTAAAAAGTTTGCAATAAGTAATGGAACATCTTACATTACTCATTAAACAAAATGTGTAATGGGTAATGACCCATTTTTTTTCGTCAACATAAAAAAATCAAATTTTGGAAAAACTTTTTTGTCGATTTGAAAAAATTCAAACTTTGACAATAATTCAAAATTCAAAAAAAATTCAAATTTTTAAAAAGATTAAAATAGAAAAATTAGATAAAAAAATTTTAATTTTCAAAAAAATAAAAAAAAGGCAAATTGAAAAAAAAATCTCTAAATATGCATTTTATAATTTTTAAACGATTAACAAATATTTTTTATCTTTATTCAATAAATAAATAAATAATTCACTCTGCAAAGTGAATTCTATTAATAATATCAAATAAATCCTTCTCGGAGTATATTTTAATCCTGGTTAGAGTGAATCAATTGAAAATAATCCACTCCGCATTTACTCCACAATTTTTTTTACAGTGTACTGAGACTGCGACTTTTGATTGTTATTCAAATAATAACACTGTAGGGAGGTGAAAATATCATAGCTAAACGCTCGGACACGTAAACTTAATTTTTGGTCGTAAATTACAAATCTGTGCTGGGTTTAGCTGTATCCGCCCTTTTGGCACAAAACCCTATCTAACTGCTGTAGTACGCCCTTTTGGCATTTAAAATGCGATATCTTTAGAAGAAATACATAGTTCCTTAACTACAACCTATTTTCGTTAAAAATATTTCGTATATTATTATGAAATCCAATGCAAATCGTGCGAAAAATAAAAAACAAATGTTATCTACAACAAAAAATAATTTCTGTACCTGTTAAAAATGAGCAATGAAATACTCATTTTTCCCCATTAAAAAAATGAGTAATGAAATAAATCCACATTACTCATTAAAATAAAAAATGTAATTTAAATTCTTACATTACTCACTAACAATTGAAAATGAGAAATGTACAAGTAATTCTCCATTAAACGAAAAAAAAATGAGTAATGTAAATTAATTTCATTACTCATTATGATTAAAATGAGCAATGAAATATCATTGCATTAAAAAAAATGCGTTTTCGCAACTCTGGATATTACGACACTAAAAAATATTCATTTTTCAAATGAGTTCTGTCCATAGACCACCAAAACAAATGGACGGATTTGTTTACGTTTAAAAAGCGTTACATGCCTTTTTGGACGTTCATCATAACATAATGAACATTAAAAATTACCAGCAATTCGTTTGAATAATAAAAAAATTGTAGAAAGGATTTGTTCATCATTTTCTCTAGATATTTTTCTCTATTTAAAGAAAGTAAATCATTTAATAATTATTAAAATTAAATATTAACAACGTTGGTAAATTCGTCATATTTGACAGCATAGAAAAAGGTTGACAGCTTGTTGTTTTGTGTTTTCGTTTTTGTATTTCTATCGTGTTTAAGTTAATTATGGAGTTATACATACATTATTTTTTACTAAAAATAACAATACATGGAAATATCGTTTGTACCTACCTACTTATTATTTTTCACTGAAAGAAAACATAAAATTCTATAGACAATTTAACGCTTAGACTGTGACCGTTCGTTGACGTCACTGGAAGAAAACATAAAATTCTATCTCCAATTTGACGCTTAGACTGTGACCGTTTGTTGACCGCAAAAAAAGCATTGTTATTGAATGGCAATGCGCCGTCCATTTGTTTTGGTGGTCTGTGGTTCTGTCGCATCCGATCAAAACCCTTTGGGAATATAATATTTTTCAAAATGAAATGTAATCTTCTTTCAGGGTGGAAATCGCCGAGTACCTGAAGAAAAAGAAGCTGCAAGAGGAGCAGGAACGCGCCGACGCCAAAGCCGGCGGCCTGATGCGCACTTGCAACTGCTGCTACGACGAGGAAGTGATGCCGAAGGACTCGTTCGAGTGCGCTAAGGGCTGCAACTTTTGCCGCGACTGCGTGAAGAAGAGCTGCGAGGTGGCGCTGGGCGACGGCAAGCTCGAGTTTCCCTGCTTGGCCGACTGCGGCGCGCACTTCGGCCTGCAGACGTTGCAGAACTGCCTGCCGCCGAAGATGTTCTCGAAGTTGGCGCAGAAGAAGGCGGTGGCCGAGGTGAAGGCGGCCGGCATCGAGGACTTGGAGATGTGCCCGTTCTGCGATTTCGCCACCATTCCCTACGAGGCGGACAAGATATTCCGCTGCCTGAACCCCGATTGCATGAAGGAATCTTGCCGCTTGTGCAAGGAGACCTCGCACGTTCCCCTTAAGTGCGAGGAGGTTGAAAAGGATGAAGATGTCAAAGCGAGGACCTATATCGAGGACAGGATGACTGAAGCATTGTTAAGGTAAGTGAAAGACTTTAAAAAAATAATTTTATTCAAAATAATTCCAAAATATCGTAAAAAAATTTAGAACATACAAAACACACTTTAAAGTGTTTTATAAATTCAAAATGGCAAAAATAAAAAAAAATATTTTAGGGTGTTCATCAATCATATTAAAAAATGTTAAACCTACAGTCTGTCCATTATAAATTGGCGGAGCGAAGGAAGTTTATAAGTTATAAATAATATTAAAAAATATACCTACTCAGTTATGTTTTTTATTATTATTTATACAGTGTGTCCCAAAAGTCAACGATATCCTTTGGAGGACTGATAGACCAACTCATGACTAAGCAGAAATTCAAAATATGACCCTAGTAAAAAATTGTTAGTTTTTTAGATATAGTCATTTTTTATGAATTTTGTAAAACTTGACACCCTAGATTAGATTTTCGATGCCACCGCTACAAATTACAGTGTGTATTAAAACGAATAGATACACTTAAATAAAACAAGTGCCAAACCGCCCACTGTGGTAGGGATTGAATTTGTTTGCTTGCCGTATCATTGTCGTTTGTTTTGTTTTAATGCATTTCTGCAAATAAAAACTAAGTATTGTTTAAAATCCATTAAATTCCAGTTAATGGCGAAAATGTATTTCTTAAAAACTATAAACATTTCCCTACGACAGCGTCGGAGCTACTGAACAAACACAGAGTGTGTTACACAGTAGATCAAACTGCATGCCCTTGCATCTGGCTGCATGCCGCGCTGTTGCCATATGCTATTATTGTTTCCTAAAAGGGTTGTTTTTCTTATAATTTGTCATCCTTGTCTCCAGCCTTACTTACTTGATTCTATACAGTCTGTATACTGTTAATTTAATTTTGAATTGTAATTAAGATCATTAAGATGCCGCTTAAATAACACAGAAAACTGACTGTTTTACCTTATTTATTCTTGCAACCTAGGAAGAAATTTTTTTTCCATAAAATCCATGACCAAATCTTACAAAGCATTAAATTTGGACGAAAAAATCTTATTGAGCCGAATTTCTATTTTCATTATTTGATTTTTTACAGAGCTTTAAATTTAAAATTTTACGTTTTTTGCCTTTTTCAGCTAAACTATTGAAGTTAGACGAAAAAGTCAAATGGCAATTTTTTAGCTTGTCTGATGGACCACAAAAAAGTTTTTGGCGAATTTTTTGTATCGTCAATATTGTAAAAGTTAAAATTCATCATTTTTGTATTATTAAGCTCTGTAAAAAATCAAATAATGAAAATAGAAATTTGGCTTAATAAGATTTTTTTGTCCAAATTTAATGCTTTGTAAGAATTAGTCATGGATTTTATGAAAAAAAAAATTTCTTCCTAGGTTGCAAGAATAAATAAGGTAAAAAAGTCAGGTTTCTGTGTTATTTAAGCGGCAAAACTTCAGATTCGATGAGGGACCTCTTAAAATTGAAATTATGAGCTCCGCTTTTAACAGAATATTTGTTCGGACATATTCTACGATATTTTGGGCGGAGAGCAAGAAAAAAAAATATCGAGTTTTTTTGGCACACCCTAATATGTATATAAAAAAAAAGAAACAATATTTAATGGACTTGAAAATCTAAGATAACTTTCCATAGGGTCTTCTTTGGGAATTTTCTTTTTTTTTTAGATTATTTTAACTATTTTATAAAATATAATAACCATATTTTGTACAATATTGTAATATTTAGTTGAAACATTCTCACAAAAATGCATTTTAAACTGTAAAAATAATTTTATAAAATAATTTGTCAAAATTTTAAATTTTGGATTTGTACCTATTGTTCTTGAAGTCACTGATTCAATTATATTAAGAATGAGATTTAAAAAAAAATATATTCCGAATATACAAAAGTATTAATAACTAATTTTGAAATGTTAAAATTATTAGTGTTCATTAACAAATTTTATATATTTAAGAATGACAAAATATTATTTAATAATAATAATAATAATAATTTATTGTACCAAAAATTTACAGATAATTTTGTTTCATACAAAAAATATGATTGTGACTAAAACCTTAAAAACTTTCGTTTAAACTTGACTATATAAAATCTATAGATACTATTGTTTCTTTATTTTTCTAGGGAATGTTGGAAGTGTAAAGCGCGCTTTTTCAAAGAAGAAGGTTGCAATAAAATGACATGTTACTGTGGAGCCCATATGTGTTACATTTGTGGCAAGCCTGTGAAGGATTACAGCCACTTTAACGGCATTGGAGGGGATAAGTACCATCTGTAAGTATATTAGGATTTATTTCATAGATTTTAATTAAAATATGCTTAAGTACCTACTAATTTTAAATTAATTAAAATACTATGTATAGTATACATGTTTATACATTTTTTGTATGGGAGTTTTGTCCATCTATAGATGCCAGTGCTTAAAGTAGACTATATCTATCACTCTGAAACTTTGTTTTAGGATTTTCAATTTTTTTTTTCAGTAAAACGTTACTATATAAAATGTCAAAGGGATTTTTTTATGCGCGATTTATTTGTTTATAAATTTTAAATAGGACTGCGCGGCATTTAAAACTGATGGGCCGAGAAAAATCTCCGCGCGGCCATCAAAAGTTGTTCTTGTAATAGGGTGAGAATTCGTGAAATCAGTACAATAAAAATGGCTATCATTGTTTTTTTGTTGAAATGCTAAAACACTGTTCCATTTGAAAATAATCGACCGAATCTTTTTAACAAATAAAATTTTCGGTAAATTTTTAAACAAAATGTAGTTAATCTAAAACCAATAAATCGATTTTGATGAAATCTTATTAAATGTAAGAAAATTTATAAAAAATTCATTTTTTCAATTATTTTATCATGTCTTCTGGACCTTTTAAAAATCTGAAAAAATGTCACTTTACTACAAAACTCTAAAGAATCTAAATCCGCCGAGATAAATTCCGAGCGGTAATTACTCTGGTTATGATAATGCTGCAGGGTTTTATACCGAATTTTTTATTACCTTTTTTAGATATTTTGGGAAGATTCTTCTTAACATGTTTGCTTCTAAAGTTTTTAATGATTTATTATTTTTTTGTCCAACAAGCTACTTGCTGTTTATGAAATCACAAAAAACATTTTTTAACCATTTGATTGTTATTGAATTATTGTGTATCAAGTAGATATCTATCAACACCAATGCACACCATTAAATAATGATGTTGATAGATATTTTACTTAAAAGACACTTTAATTCACTAAACAATAAAAACCAAATGGTTAAAAACTAAAAACTGTTTTTCCGTAATAAAAAAAAATCGTTTTATACGGTGAGATTAAGAACAGTACAAGTCCAAAACTTAAAATTAAATTTTGTAAAATGATTTAAATCTTCTGACAAAAATGCATTTTAAACTTTTAAATTGATTTTATAAAATGATTTGTTAAAATAAAAATTTTGGACTTGTACTTTTCTTAATCTCACCGATTCAATTAATGATTTAAAACTTATTTTTAAAGCAAAAAGGTAAAACACTTTTTTAAGAAAAAGATTTTTATTTTTCTTCATTACTGGATTAAGTAAAAGAAGGTCAAAAAATTCGCACTCTAAAAACGTGCGCGCCGTGAGGTGTCGTGCACACTGGTATACCACGTTGCATTTGAATTAGCATTACTCGGATTTTTTTTTGACGGATTTAGATTTAGAGTGTTTTTGTGAAGTGACATTTTTTACATTTATAAAAGGTCCAGGACATTAAACAAATAAATTGTTTATAACATTTTTTATAAATAATTTTTTGTAAATATTAGAATAATTTTCCATAATCAATTTCTTTATCTTAGATATGCCAAAGTTTCACACTGGTATACCATGTTGCACAGCATTATTTTAATTATAATTAGTTTGATTTTTTCTTGACGGATTTACATTCTTTAGAGTGTTTTTGTGAAGTGGCATTTTTCACATTTATAAAAGGTCCAGAACACAAAAAAAATTAATTGTTTATAATTTTCTTTATAAATCATTATACAAAAATGAATTTTTTGTAAATTTTATGACAATTTTTCAAAGTCAATCTCTTTACCTTATATATGCCAAAGTTTCACACTGGTATACCACATTCCACAGCATTATTTTAATTATAATTACTCGAATTTTTTCTTGACGTATTTAGATTCTTTAGAGTGTTTTTGTGAAGTGACTTTTTTACATTTATAAAAGGTCCAGAACACTAGAAAAATTAATTGTTGATAATTTTCTTTATAAATCATTTTACAAAAATGATTTTTTTGTAAATTTTTGAACAATTTTCCATAGCCAATTTATTTACCTTAGATATGCCAAAGTTTCACACTGGTATACCACGTTCCACAGCAATATTTTAGTTATAATTCCTAGGATTTTTTTTGACGGATTTAGATTTTTTAGAGTTTTTTGTGAAGTGAGTTTTTTCACATTTATAAAAGGTCCAGAACACTAGAAAAATTAATTGTTGATAATTTTCTTTATAAATCATTTTACAAAAATGATTGTTTTGTAAATTTTAGAACAATTTCCCATAGTCAATTTATTTACCTTAGATATGCCAAAGTTTCACACTGGTATACCACGTTCCACAGCAATATTTTAATTATAATTACTCGGATTTTTTTTGACGGATTTAGATTCTTTAGAGTTTTTTGTGAAGTGTCTTTTTTCACATTTATAAAAGGTCCAGAACACTAAACAAATTAATTGTTTATAAACAAATTGATAAATTATTATTAAAAAAAATAATTTGTTGTAAACAGAACAATTTTCCATAGTCAATTTCTTTACCTTAGATATGCCAAAGTTTTATTTGACAATAAATTAACTAAAAACAATATAAAATAAAATAAATACAAATTTGGTCGATTAATTTTTATCAAATAAAAAAAAGTTTTTTCAAAATTTCGACAATTTTTTTTATCGTGCCGTTTTTACTAATTCTGACCCAATAAAAACGCGATCTTTACCAGTAAAAGTATCCATACCAACTGTTTCCTTCTTAGAACAAAAAACAAATTTGTTTTTTGTTCTAAGGTTTCCTTAAGGATGACCTTCATTACGAGCACACACTTTTTAATGCTGCGCAGTCTCATTTCGAATTATTTCAAATTTAAAAACGAAATTCTTCTCCCCTAACAGGTGCCCATTGTACAGCGACACAAACGCCGTCAACGAACAAAACGTGGTCAAGGCCGCCCAAGAGGCGAAAAGCAGCGTGGACGCGAGCAAACTAAAAATCGACCCGACCGTCGACGTGAAGGCGCACTACAAGAAACGCGCGCGCGAGCTGCCCCGCGAACCGCACCTCGAACAGCTGGCGCGCGTGCCGCCCGCGCACGCCCATCCCCACCGCGGCCACCATCACAACGCGCACCGCCACCACCACCATCACCACCACCAGGTAGGGATCTTTTTTTTTTTAAACGGTTTTTTTCATATATGGGGCAAAATTTGCCAAGTGTACCAGGTGAAAAAATTTTTGTCACCAATTTTGTTTAAATTTTTTTGCTCTAGGATTGTTCATTCAAGAGTTACGGATTATTGAAATTTATCGATTTATTACTTTTTGGTGAAATCGCTTTTTATTTAAAAATTCATAACTTCTGTTTTTCTTTTTATTAAATATTTCAATTTTAACCACCTTAAATGATTTTTCCCGTACTTTTCAATGGGCTATACCGTTTTTGCAAAAAAAAAATGCAATTTTTTTTGAAATTTTGCAATATTTTGCATTTTTTTAAACAATGTATTTTTTAATTTTTTTTTAAATAGCATAAAATCGAAGTTTATTAAGTTACCTTTGACCAAAAAAAAAAAGAGTGGGCCCGACATGTAGAAGGGAAGTTTTTCATTGAATAGGTACTACACTGCCGTATGCGTTTATACCTAGTAGATGCGAGTAAACGAATACAAAATGATAATTTAAATTGTAAAATTATGTTTGAGTAGTCAATGATATATTTTAAATATTTACACTGCCGCACGATATAGTTTTTTAACTGTATTTTTTTGCACAAATTGTTTAAGCATGGGTCTACATAGATTTCGCAAGGAGGATCGATGATATTAAATAAAAAATTTATTGTTATAACCGTAACGGCTTGCCTATAAGCTGAATAGATCAATAGTGCTAATAATATATAATGTCTATAAACGGTTTTTGCTGTCATGACGAGCTCTAAACATTCGCCGTACGGACATTACTTACTTTTTAAACCTTAACTGTCAGTCAGAATATTTGTGTTGCCAATCGGCAGATTAAAATATGATTTTTTTAATTTAATTTAAAAGTATGGTAGGGCGAAAAATTGAAGAAAAACAACACCAACACTTTATTCTTTCTGTATTTTACTTTAGCCACAAAAATAAAAATTAACATAATTCTAGTAATATCCGCCAAAAATCCTCCGAATTACGAAATCTACAAATCATATTTTAATCTGCCGATTGGCAACATAATTTTACATTTTAAATTATCATTTTGTATTCGTTTACTCGCATCTACTAGGTATAAACGCATACGGCAGTGTAGTAGCTATTCGATGGCTAGACCCGCACGCATTCAAATATGAAAAACTTCCCTTCTACACGTCGGGCCCACTCTAAAAAAAAATTTTATTCAAAGGTAACATAATAAACTTCGATTTTATGCTATTTTAAAAAAAATTAAAAAATACACTTTGTTTAAATAAATGCAATATATTGCAAAATTTCAAAAAAAAATTGCAATTTTTTTTGCAAAAACGGTATAGCCCATTAAAAAGTACGGAAAAAATCATTTAAGGTGGTAAATTGAAATATTTAATAAAGAGATGAACAGAAGTTATGAATTTTTAAATAAAAAGCGATTTCACCAAAAAGTAATAAATCGATAAATTTCAATAATCCATAACTCTTAAATGAACAATCCTAGAGCAAAAAAATTTTATGCTAGGATTCTTCGTTATAAGAACAACAAATAAGTAAAGTTTAAAAAAAATCGGCGATTTTTTCACCTGGTACACTTGGCAAATTTTGCCCCATATTAGGATTTATTATTTTCAAGATTAGTTCCATTTGCCAATTTTTTTATGTTTCCAGTCCAGTTCATATACTAAAACTTAGCCACTAAATGACATTTAGTAATGTAAATACAGTTACGCGTCAGGGTTTATTTTTATTTTGCCTAAAAAAAGTAATTTTTTTATACCTACAGGGTGTTATCTAATTAATGTAATATATTAAAATGATTAGCTCCATATATATATATAGGTTAGGGAGCTGGTGGCAGAAATTTTTAAGTCATTTGCTCGCGTGGCAGAAGTTGAAAATAATGAAGTTTGGATTATAAAAGTCACTAATGACAACTTCTGCCATACCATTATTACATTATTAATTAGTAGGTAATTAAATATGTAAAAAAAATGTCCTTAAGTCATTTGCTCGCGTCTGGCATTTTTTTAACTTGAAGTTCCTAACAAGACTTTCAGATAAATATCATCGCCAGACGTGTATGTCTCTGCATTAATGAGTATTTAATTTTTTTTTTAATTATTCTATATAAAAATTTAAATGATTTGCTAGTCAATAAAATTTATACAAAATGTTAATTGGGTCATAAAAAAGCAAAAAATAAAAGTCTGCCATTTAATGTTTACTGCGATAATGAACGAAGAATTTTCAAAATTGTAAAAAAAAAATTAATATTAAGTTATTTGCTCGTGTCTGGCTCTTGGTTAAATTATTCTGTTGTATGTCAGAACTGTGAATATAACTATGCCAGACATGAGTATTGCTGATTTTTTATAGCCAGAACGCTTTTAGGTTAGGGTAGGTATTTTGAGAAAAGGCTATTACAAGCGGTTTTTTTTTTACTTATAACGTTAAAATTTGTAAGGTCATAAAATCATGTAATCTTTCGATTCCCCAAGTTTGGTGACCCTCAGTTACACTTCCGTATGGGGTCAGAGGTCAAACATATTTTTTTTTTTATTACTTATTATTATTTTATATTTTTTTACCTATTATGGGCAATTAAATACAGGCATTTTTTAAAATATAACCTTGAAATTTGAAATGAGGTCATGGGGTCATATGATCTTTTAACCCCTCAAGTTTGGTAACCCCCGTACAAACATGTTATTTTAATTGAAATTAAAAAAAAAATTAATTCGTAAAAGGTCTAATAAAGTGCGTAAGTTTTCAAATTTTAAGATAACATTGGAGAAGATATAAGAATGATAAATCCGGTTTTGCACCCTTTTCCGTTGACCAAATTATTGTTAACTTAATAAAAATTATTAATACCTAAAAGAAAATACGCAAACTTGAAAAAATGTATGCAAACTTTACAGAGTTTGCTTAATAACATAACACAAATTAATAATTAACAATTGAAGACTACAGGGAAAAACGTGCAAAGTCAATTTTGATATTTTTTGGTATGGTAGCTAAAAAAGCAAAGATAATGGTATTATTTTTTTTCACACTTAACATTACTGTTTACCATAATGTTGTTTTAATATAGTTCCTAAAAGCAGTTAGTTTTTTAAAAGGACCCAGAGATTACACAGTATTCAAGTTTAAAATTGCTCTTCTAAAGATTTAAGTTCTTTGACTTTGCACGTTTTTTCCTATACTCCTCAAACTGTTTTTTTTAGTATCTATATAGCCAATTTAACATAAAACCGAAATGGCAGACACGAGGAAAATGACTTAGGCTAGGTATTATTTTTTACAATTTTAAAAATTATTTGCTGCAAAAAGCAGATACATACATGTCTGGCATTATTTTTTTTGTATTTAGGGGACACAAATGAACAATTAAAAAAATAAGATAAAGACGAGCAAATCACTTAATAGAGCATTTGTTTTTTACATATTTAAAATTATTAAAAAAAAACGCGGCGTCCTAGACGCGAATGTTATTTTAGTATCAATATGGTCAATATAATATAAAACCTAAATGCCAGACACGAGCAAATGACTTAGGTTAGGTTTTATTTTTTACAATTTTAAAAATTACTTAAAAAAAGCAGCGATACCTAAGCCTGCCACCTTATTTACTCAGTTCACAAGCATCAAAACTCTATAACATCATTCCCAACGACGAGCAAATCATATACCGAAATTGCCACCAGCTCCCTAACTAATAAGGTTCATAAAGAACACCTGAAACCTTTTTTTCTAAATTCTAAAGACTAAAAATAATTTGTAATAACCTTTATCCTACCAAAAAGTACGCCACTGATCGACTAGGAACTTTGGGCTAATCTGGTTGCTTAATTTAATTTATTGTGTTATGGTTGGCAACAACCAGCGTTTCCAGATTCTGTCAAAAAAAGTTTCCAAATTTTGTTTAAATTTAGCCTAATTAAAAAAATGACAAAATCAACAATGCAAATTTTTAATTTGGCGTTTTTATTAATTGTTGATTATGTCATTTTTGTAATGAATGTAAATTCAAACAAAATCTGGCAACTTTTATGACAGAATCTAGTGCATTTCTTTCAAATTTTAGGCTTTGTGCTCAAATTGTATATATCTTAACTAAGGGAAGTGCTTTCGGATTTATTTACACAAATTGAATGTTTAAAGTTTAACCTGTCAACTTGTCCTAATTTCATCTGAGTAAACAGAAAGAAAAAAAACGATGAAAAAATTAATTTTGTGGTTATGAAGTTTTTAAAATAAGTACTAAATTTTCTGAGCATTGCTTAAGCTAATAGCTGGATGAGTAAATAAATACATAAGGGTATTAGAGCTTTAAGGGCATAAAACATAAGTTTTTGTTTATTTTTTGCAAGAAAAATTTTTAGTAGCAATTTTTTACAACAGGCAACGCGCAGCTACTTTGTTGGTTGGTATCTATGTACTCACAGAACACAAGTGTGTAACCAGTTGCGTATCACAAAAAATATAAAAAACTTCTAATGCATATTTTTTCTTTATCTTTATAAACCTTATGTCAAAAGGTATTCAGTATTTTAATATATTATATTAATTACATAACATCCTGTATAATAGACTAGAACTACCAAATAATAAGAAATCATTTTTTTTAGTCTCAGTAAAATTTTTTTTAAATGGAAAATGTAATAAATTCTAAATTCCACTTTATTATTAATATACATTTTCTTCAAAATTAGAGCTTTAAGGGCATACAATTTTTGTATTTATTAAGTTTTTATTTATTTTTTGCAAGAAAAATTTTTAGTAACAATTTTCTACAACTGGCAACGCGCAGCTACTTTTTTTGTTGGTATCTACAGTTCATTTTTTTTATCTGGTCTCGTGTTTTTTTTGTTAGGTTGGTGGCTTATATCAGTTTGACTTAGTATTTTTAGTATTTAAAAATGGTACTTCTGCTAAAGAATTTAATTAAATACTTTGACACTGTCAAATTGACAATAATATTTATTATGGGTAAATTACTTGTCAATTATAAATGAAAAGATAATTATGCCAAAAATAATAGCAACGAATTCGAATGTAAAAGCCCTTTAGAGGGCAAAACTTCATTTTGATGAAATTATGCCAAATGCCACAATGAAAGAAAAAGTACATCGCCTTATGGAAATTTTTGGAGTAAAAAAGTAACGAATTTTGTTTTATAAATATTACATCACACATTATTTTTACATTATTCACCATTAGACAACATTTGCGTTCACAACAAATTTTAATTTCTTTTATATAAATTCTTTTCAAAGCGAAGATTATTATCTGCCGGAATACTTTCTCTTCTAGGCCGTAAAGCAACCTATATTTAGCTACTTTTTTTACATGATTTTACTCATCCAAGCACCACCAAAGCCAAATTAATTGCATTTTTAACTACGAATTTCGACAACTCAACTTGACAACTGCACAATGTAATCTACAATAATTTATTCATAACCACAATTAGATTTATAACTAGCTGTTTGTTTTAATCAATGCGACCAACTTGACAACTGTATTTACCAACCAAAACCCTAAATTTGCAACGTTGCCGCAGTCCAGATAAAAAAATGAACTTTATGTACCCACAGAACACAAGTGTGTAACCAGTGGCGTATCACAAAAAATATAAAAAACTTCTAATGCATATTTTTTCTTTATCAATGGGAAAAGGTATTGTAATATATTATATTAACACCCTGTATAATAGACTAGAACTACCAAATAATTTTTTAGTCTTAGTAAAAATTTTTAATAATGGAAAATGTAATAAATATAATCTAAATTCCACTTTATTATTAATATACATTTCATATTGAAAAAATACTCAATTTTTTAAGATTGATGAAGAATATGCTTTATTGTAGCATATTTGAAAAAAAAACGAATAAAAACGTTTTTTTAATGTTTTTTTTTTTTCAAATCTGAAAAAAAACGTTTTTTTAAATCTCTTCCACCAGGTCCTCCGAGTGCCCCCCGTGCCGCCGTTCGTGAACGAGATGGCGGCGCCGCCCCACGACCCCTACATGCACGTGCAGTACAACTTTCCGGTCCAGTACAGGGGCGGGCAGAGGGTAGGCGCGGAGGTCGCGCAGGCCCCCGCCAGGTGGTACCGCGCCCCCGAGCCGCTGATTCATCCGAATCAGGCGCAGGGGGCGCAACAGCTGCCGGCGGTGCCGCCCGTTCCGCAGCCGCCCAACATTCAGCGACATCTTGAGGTGAGTGCGTGCACGAGCGCCCTAAACTCGCGGTTTTGGAATTCGATGTAGGTTGTAGTTAAATTTTTTTTGGATTGTCTTTTTCAGGATTTTGGTTTTAAAATTTCCGGAAAAACTGAGCCATCTAAAAAAAACTTGACTTTTTCATTCTTTAAATTTTATTCAAAAGAGGAAAAAATGTAAAAGTCATTTTTTTCTTAAAATTTCCAATTTTTTACAGGAAAAAAGTTAATTTCCGACGCTGATTATAATCATATAATATTATGGTTATAATAATTATTCCTTTTATTTTAATTCAGTAAGAATATTCTACCGGGCCGCAAAAACATATTTAGTGCTGTACACAGCAAACGGAAAATTATAGAAGTGTATAGGATGATGCCACGTTTGAATATAGTTTTCTAAATCTCCCCACGGTATAGATTTGTATTCGTCAGTCGAGCGTTTCAATACTCTCCACAGTATTAGGGGTCGTAATTTCACTTTTGAACTAGTATTAAAATGAAAACAATTTTATGCTTCAAAAAAAACTATATACGATATGATTTTTTTCATTTTATTAATTAATTAAACTGTGTTGAAAATTTTTCATAAAGGAATAATTGCCAATGGGCCATTAATTCATTTGTTTGTAGATGCTACAATAACCTGCACTGGTGTTTACTTTTTGATGAACCAGATTTAAATATTGCTGAACTAACATAAAACTAGGATCTACCAACAGACCTCATTACTAAATTATTAAAGTGTAATAGCATATCGATCATTTTTTCAACATAACCTAAATTTTTAATACAAATATAGGTAGTTTATATAATACATAAATATACTTTACATCATATCCTCTGTGCTTTACATACCTGAGTTGTAACGGTAAATAAAAATCAGACAAAGGAACCAAAGAAAGGAATTATTTTCAACAAAATCATATGCAGAAATGAGAATAATCAAACTACTTGCATCCATCAAAAGATCAAAACTTCTTGCAATATTACACCCTCTTTTTATACTCTCAGAAATATTGACTAGAATAGTATTAGAGAGACTCCAGTTTCTATAACTTGGTAGAGTAAAGAGAAGTCGAAACCGTTGCGATATTGCATTGCGCTGTTTTTGTATAATTCTCGGGGACATTAACGAAAATCATTGCCAGTAAAATTCGAAAAGCTTGAGTTTCTATGTCTCTGAAGAGAATAGGAATCCGAAGTTGCTGCACCATTGGACTGAACCCTTTTTTAATAATTTCTATAGACATAAATGTGCACTGCACCATTCGACAGGGTCAAGTTTCTACCTCTCTGTTGAATATAGAAAATCAAAATAATGTATCTTGTAAGACACCATTGAGTTTGACTTTAAATATAGTTGTGCATAGGTAAAGAGCCGAAAAATATAAAAACAAAGCACGATTCAATACAGTTCTGATAAAACTGTAAGATTTAGTATTTAAACGCGGAGTCATCCTATACAGTTCTATATTTTTCCGTTTGCTGTGTACACATAACTTTTATTTAACACTTTGATTTATAAAATTATAATTTTTAAATTTTTATATATATATTTATAAGTCGTACATTATTTTGTAGTTTTATATTTTTCATGGGCCCAACCAACAGTATATTTAACATTTACGTTTATTTTCTCAATCAATAATCAATTTAATTTAATTCAATGTTTAGTAGTGATGCCGCCGATACGAGAGATTCTCGCCTCTCGTCTCGTCTCGTCTCGTCTCGACGAGACGAGAGGGCGATTTTCTCTCGAAAAAATGCTAGAAACGAGACGAGAGAATGCCCTCTCTCGCTCGAGAATTTCTCGTTTCTCTCGATCTCTCTCGTTCTCTCGATTATAAAAAACAATTTTTTTACATAAAAATTATAATTTTGCACATAAATGACGATATTTATTTGGACCAATGAGAACATTATTCGCATTTCATAATAGACAAAATTTGTTCCTGGTTAACGTTGTATTATTTTATAACACAACTTAACGTTAACCAAGAAAAAATTACTTATAAAATAATAATAATTTTTAAAATTTACCCTGTATAAGCACATCTATGGCACTCCTTATACTATTAAAAAAACCCGTATGCTTAATAAGCATTTCTTATTTAATAAATCAACAACATGTGGTTTTTGAGGGCCTGATTACAAATTTGATATCCATTTTTTTTTTAAATAAAATGGCTGATCCAATATGACGAAAATTTGTCGTTCGGCTTTAATGGTTTGGGTAAAATTTATTATTCAGATATTTATGGGGTCCCTGATTCAGAATTTGATATCCATTAAAAAAAACAAAATTGCGGATTCAAAATGACGGACATGCGCAGTAGGTACAAGATGGTTGGATCTATGTGGAGTAGTTACATCATATATGCGCAGTAGTTTTCAGATGGATGGATCAAATGATTTGATCCATTGAAAACTACTGCGCAGATACAGGCTGTTTCTTTTAACTTGAGACAGCTCAATATCTCGAGAAATACGCATTTCACGGAAAAATGTTTTAAATAAAAGGTTAATGTGACCAAAGGGGACATTATTTGGTGCTACCTCTAGCCACCCCTACCCCTCCTTAAGGGTGAAACGGGGGGTAACTTTGGAGAGTCAAATGGGAAACCATTTTTTTTTACAGATTTTGGTAGTACATAAAAAAATGAATAACTTTTATTTAAAACTTTTTTTAATTTATCAACAGATGGCGCTGTAATTCAAAATTTAAGAAAAATGGGTTTTCCTGTAAAATGTATTATTTTAAACGTTAGAAAAACAAAAATTAACATTAAATCAACAATAGTCGGCTCTGAAAACAATTTATAACAAATGTTCGAAATGTCGTCCTTCCATTTGATCTTTTGATTTGATCTGTTGATAAATTGAAAAAAAGTTTCAAATAAAAGTTATTCATTTTTTTATGTACTACCAAAATCTGTGAAAAAATCGGGTCATTTCATTTGACTTTCTAAAGTTACCCCCCGTTTCACCCTTAAGGAGGGGTAGGGGGTGGCTAGCGGTAGCACCAAATAATGTCCCCTTTGGTCACATTAACCTTTTATTTAAGACATTTTTCTGTGAAATGTGTATTTCACGAGATATTGAGCTGTCTCAAGTTAAAAGAAACACCTATTACACCGTACAACACAAAATTGCCCGCATCGATAAAACTTGAAAAATCGGATAGAAGACGATAAAAAAAAAGACCCGTGTATCGGCGATTTTTTTGTACACGTCAAAAAAATTTTTTTTTTCACTTTAAAGTTTTTAATTACGAGCATTTAATATGTTTTGTTTTTAAACAAAATATACCAATTTTGCTGTGAACCATATTATTGGAAAGGTATTAAAAATTAGGAAAAATGTTATATAATGTACAGGGAATATGTAAAATTGGTAATTCAAAAGATTAAAGGAAAAATTAAAAAATAAATCTTAAAAATTCGTATGATAACTATTATTTTGAGCATTTATGTATTCTTGGTTAAAAACAACGTTTAAACGTAAAAACAATTTTGTTTTTTTGTATATACACTGTGGGTTTGTTAATCTAAAATTTAGATTCTAAATGATACGCATATAAAAGTACGATTTTTATTAAACTGCACCTTTTATAGTTTTGTTCGTTGAGAATTAAAATGGAGTGTCATAATCGCAATAAATTTTGTTATGTTTGTGGTTTATATGTAACTGTGAAACATGTTCGTAATATAACCAAAACCTTAGTTCTTTCGTTTCAGCGACAGTTTAAAACCAATTACGTTCCGTACTTATGGTACGCTCCCGAAGTGGTATGCACGTAGTGCTATAGGTCATTATGTAAAAATAATAACAAACAACCCGGTAGTAAATACCAAACACCTACTATTTGGTTACCCCGTACAGAGCATTCTCCGGAATTGTGTTACTTTTGTCTGAACGAAACAAGGAGCTTTGGTTATAAATATGAACACCGCGAAAAAATCGCCTACGTTGAAGTTGAATCTGTAATCCCATTGAAGTTGAATCTGTAAACCCAGTTGAAAAAGAAGCTTGGACATCTGCTGTTAATGTCTTTGAAAACTTTCTTGGTAACAATCGAGCTGAAAATTATATAGAAATTGTGCAAAAAATGATCTCTGCGTATGGCAATATGGGAGTATTAATGTCATTAAAAATTCATTTTTTGCATAATCTTCTAGATTTTTTCAAAAATAATATGGGTGATTACAGTGATGAACATGGAGAAAGATTCCACCAAGACATAGCTTTAATCGAAACTAGATTTAAAGGTAAAAATTTGGTGCACATGCTCGGTGAATACTGTTGGTCACTTTGTCGCGAAACGGCAACAAATTTACTAAAAAAAAAATAAAAGGACAAAATTTGAAAAATAATTGAGTTGTATCAAATATTTTTATTAAACTAAATAATATCAGACATTTTGTTTAATTGTATTCAGCGTTAAAACAATTTATAAGGTAGTATTGTTTTTTTTTTTTACTTTTGAGTATTAAAATTTTATGGACGTAATAATAAAGTAGTTACAGCCTTATGATTATGTAAGAGTTCTTTAAAATGCCCTTTAAGAACATTTGTAAGCTTGAATAAAAAAAAATAACATTAATATTTAGTATGGAAACTTTCTACGAATTATCTTTAAATTTTGTGTTTCAAAACCAAATAAAAAAAAAATTTGACGTGTACAAAAAAATCGCCGATACACGAGTCTTTTTTTTTATCGTCTTCTATCCGATTTTTCAAGTTTCATCGATGCGGGCAATTTTGTGTTGTACGGTGTTATAGGTGTATAATACTAGATGTAACTACTCCACATAGATCCAACCATTTGATTCAAATGCGCAACATTTTCGGCGTAAAAAGTCTTACTTTATTAGTGTGGACTTGGCACACATTTTTTTTTATTTCCAGTTTAAATTTCTATATAATAGTATATACTGTAACAAGTTTGGAATACAGCATATTCCGCTAGAGTGAAGAGTTTGTCACACGAGCCGAAGGCGAGTTTGACAGTTTCACGAGAGCGGAATATGCAATTCCAAACGTGTTTCAGACTATACTTTTTCTACGTTTCCAAAAAATACCATAAAAAAATAATTTAATTGGAAGAAAGTGAGGTTGGATCGGTCTAAAATTTGTTAGATATTAAAAACAGAGATGTCGCTACGAGTGTTTATTCTGTCATCCGATGATAGAATATTTCATTCTGTAACACTTTACGGAATATATATCATTCCTTAGATAAAAGTGATATTTGAACGGTCAAATTCCGTAATAGGAGTAGAAAAAAAAATATAAACGAATTCGTATTTCATTCCAAATAATTTTTGTATTCATACTTAGGTACTTTTACCACGAGAGAAACGAGACAAGACGAGAGAAAGGCACTCTCGAGCGAGAAAAGAGTATTCTCGACGAGACGAGAGACCCATTTTCTCTCGCTGCACGAGACGAGAGAAGGACTTTTCTCGTCTCGTCTCGTCTCGCGGCATCACTAATGTTTAGTTTTTTTCTAATAAAGGATATATTTTTTAAATTAAAGTATTGTTAAGTTGCTGATTGCTACTTTTTTTCAAATGTGTATATTTTCCAAACAAAAATTAAATGCTGTCAAAAAAACGACAAAAATTGTATATTATGTATCAAGTTTGATAAACGCCATTTTATACACGAATTTAATTTAGGCAGTGATAATTATTAAGGCGCTTGGGACGGTGCAATAATATTTTTTTCTACTCCCACCTTTAAAACGCCCTTTATCGTACATGTTTCCATGACACTAAGTGACCTTTTAAATACACATTGACAAGTTGTGGCTTTATGGTGCTTTAGTCACGGGCTGAAGTTAGCAACAGGTTTTTAGTCACGGGCTGAAGTTAGTTTTAAGTTAGTTGGCAGTTGTCAAATGTCCTACAATCGTTAAAATAAAGTGCCTTTCTTGTAAAATAATACTAAATGTGAAAATTATTTTATTATCTCAATACAAAAATACAAGAGTATTAAATAGTTTTTTGACGCCAATATTTGAAAAGTTTATATGAACATTGTACTGACCTTTTAATTTCGCCGACAGTAAACTATAACTTAAATTTGGGCACGGGCTCCACTGTAAAATGCCCATAATAGTATATTATGTATCAAGTTTGATAAACGCCATTTTATACACGAATTTAATTTAGGCACGAGCGAGCTTGCGAGCGAGTGCTTAAATTAAATTCGTGTATAGTAAAGTTTATAAACGAGGTGCATACTATACATTTTCTACGACAAATACTTATTATTATCTTAAAATGATTTAAATTAAAAATTTGTATAGAGCGCCATCTATGAAACAATAGGGGAATCTGTGTGTCACCGTCAAATGTCAAATTTTTAAATTTTATAAACGCAATTATAAAGGTTATAAATCTAAATGTATTTCTTGAAAAATGACAGTTTTTCACAGTGAAAGTAAAGAAAATGTTTTATGAGCACTTAACAGTGGAGTCCGTGCCCGAATTTAAGTTATAGTTTACTGCTGAATAATGGTAGATTTATCTTTTATTATTTTAATTAAGAAAAACCTTATTTGAATTTAATTTATTTAAGAAAATAAACATAAACGTTTGGGTCCTTTCTGCAAAAGGGAGTCCATTGATAATATTTAATTACAAAATAATGAATGATTTATATTTAAAGTTAAATTACAAATTTATAATTTTATAAATTGATGTGTCAAGTTACAGCACCGAATATGTTTTTTTGCGGCCCGGTAGAATATTCTTACACTAAAATAAAATGAAAAAAATAAGTCATTTTTTTTCCACCGGCTCAATTTTTCCGGAAATTTTAAAACCCTAGTCATCCTCAACTCCAATTCAAACCCCAATGTTCACTTTGTGGCACCCTTTTTACTTTTTTGTATTTATAATTTTACATGATTTTTTTTTAGTTTCTATAATTTATTTTTCTTAAACTCTCTACCATATAAGGGTAAAAACCAAAAAGGTGGGCATTTTTTAAATATTATTTTTTTATTTACAAATTACTATTTATTTCGTATGTGTAATGTTTATGTTTTAGCATTAAATCTTGCACGTAGTTCTAGAGTATTAGTATTTTTTACATGGGAAAAAGGTTGTTATTTAATTATGATTAACTTGCAACTGATTACAATATTTTTTAGCAGTAGATCCTTCATTAAATAACACTTCAAATAATGTAAAGGTAGGTGTATATTTAGTATTTTATTATGGGAAAAGTTTAAAACAATATTGTTTAATTTCCTGAACTTTTAAATATCATTTATTTATCATTTATGTCATCTAATCATACAGGGCCAGCCAAAATATAATATTATTTTGCCAAATTAGATGTTTTTATTTTGATTAATTATTTATTTGTTTTTTAAACAATACTTTTTAATTTTACTTCTAGTACAGTCAATCTGTATTTTGACATCGAAAAAATTCCTAACTGGCTGGCATTCATTCTAGAAGGAAGCGATTGAAGTTTACGAAAATCGGTTGAAAAATGCAATTTTTTTTCAATCAATATCAAATACAGGGGAACACGAAAAACCAGTTATAACGTATCTAAAATTTATCCAGTTCGGAATTTTTTCGACGGATTTGACTGTACTACTATTCCTTGGAGACAATTTTAAATAAATAACGAACTGTAGATGATTTTAAGTAAGGTGAGTTTTTTAAAATAGGGTTTGTAAATTAGTGTTTTGTTTTTTTGTAAAAGTACTTAATGTTTTTTGTAAAAGTACGTATTGCATGTAGATTTTTATTAGAGTTTTCCTGTAACACATGCCTGGCAATGATTGAAACCACAGTGGAGCTCCATAAAAACGTCCGACGTTGCCAAATCGAAAAAATAATCAATTCGCTTTTTCTTTGTTTTAGCGCTTGGACAACATTCAGCGTGTGCAGGAGGACAATTTGAGACGCTTGCAGATGATAATAGAGGAGAATGTAAACAGGCGTCGTTAGTAATTTAATTATTTATTTTTTGCAAGAAAATTGACCGATTTTCTCGCAAAAAAACATTTTTAAACGATTTTTAAAAAAAATTCTGACTCGAAAAAATCTTTTATATACTATCACTTCTGAAAACTTGTAAACATAAGCATAATAATTAGGTCGTATTCCTTAGGTTGTTTTTTGATGTTTCGTTTAATGCGCTTTTTATTCAAGTAAAAATAATTTTGGCAATAATAATCGAAAAATCTTGTAATAAAAACGCCGCGTTAATTTTTTGTTTGTTATTCGTTCGTAATTATAGTTCTAGTAGATTAAGAGAAAAATTTTAGGTTTTACTACTAAAAAAATTGAAATTCGTCATTTGCCTTTTTTTTGGTGTTTTTCGTTATTTGTTATTTTCTTCGATTTAACTGAATAGGCCACATACAGGGTGTCGCAAATTATCACAACGTTTGAGACGTACTGTACTTGTGGAGGTTTTGTTTATAAATGTGCCAATGGATTAATAAACTTAAATAATAAAAAATTCAATATTGTAAATAATTACCACATCCATCATTTTATTATTATGAAATTTAAAATATATATTTTTGCCAAGTCAAGTTATTAATGAAAATATTTGAACAACTTAAGAACAGACCCAATTTTAACCAATAAAATAAAACTTGACACTATGTCAATTTGCAATGCAAATTTTGCATTAACAACGACCAAAAAGACTAAATAAAGGAGAAGAGCCAAGCTGTCATGTTTGTCAGAGTTTGCGCACGAGAATTTTATATGCTTGACATCCAAAAGTCACATTTTGACATTTGAATACAAATGGTAATCTATCTGTTTGTTTAACGCTAATTTCCTCTTTTTTCTCATGAAAATAAAACGATAAATGTATTTTTTACACAAAAAATACATATATTGTATTTTTTTCAGAAAATAGAAATAAATTTGTGTTAAACTGACACATAGATAACCTCAATTATTATAGTATGTAGAGTCTGTTCAGGGAATGTTTTACCTTGCGTCACCAATTTACCTAGCAAGTTACTCCTCCTTTACTTAGTCTTCTTGAACTTGACAGAAATATGTTAAATTACAAAATACATAAATCTAAACCTTGAAAATTTAGGTTCAAAAAACGGACTTCGTTAAAAAAATCATAAACTTGGGTGTTTTATTATTTAAGTTGTATTTTTTCGTATTTCCAATAGCCATGTTAATTAAAATGTGCAGATTTTTCAAAAACGTTTAAGTAAAAAATCTTAAAATTAAATATTTTTTACAGGATTAAGTAAAATTTGTGTCTAAACATTTTAATTAAAAGGTTTAGTAAAGATGCATCCTGTGATAATTATAATAATTTATATTTTTCTAATGTTTAGTTTATATTTGTAATTAAAAAATTCAAAAAAATGTTGGTTTTATTTGTAAAAAAACAAAAATAGTTTAAAGAATTTTTATTATCTAAATAAATCACAAAAAACAGACTTCTTAACAATTTAAAAAAACTAACAATAATATTTATTTCATCTATTCATCTTTTCCTTTATTATTCTCAATAATTTTCTCGCTCTCCACATGAGTGATGGGAATTTGTTTTTCCTTAACCTCCTCGATCTTTCTAGGAGCTGTCACTGTCAAAACTCCATCTGAAGATAAACTTGACACCACTGCCTTCATATCGTGCCCATTTGGCAACACAAACCTCCTTACAAACTGCCTTGAAACAAATCCATGGCCATCCTCTTTTTCATCATGTTTTGCTTCAATTTGAATAGAATTTCCATCAATTGTTTTAACAGTGATTTCTTCGGGTTTAAAATCGGCAACATCGAGTTTTACTTGAAATTTTTCGTTTTTATTTGCTGAGTTTTCTTCATAGTCGACTGAGATTCTTGGGCAATTCATTCTATACACTGGGTGAAAAATTTCGTCGGCAAATCGCATTTGATTTTCCATCATTCTCAACGGCCTCATTATATCACGAAAAACTAGCGGAAATAGAGACATGTTTACTTCTTATTCAAAACTCAAAAACACTATTTCACTTCAAATCTGTTTGTTTCACTTATTAGTATTTTCTGCCAATTATTCCGAGCCGCCTAGCTTTTATATGCTCCCGCTTATCGAAACGCGCATGCGCAATATCTTGAATCTACGCTGCTCGATTGGTCTAGAAATTTCCAAGCCGTCTTTAAACCAATGAAAATAATTTCTAGAATATATTCGAAAATAAATAAGATATTTTGATTGGAATGTCTAGAAAACTTCCTAAAAAGTTGTGCAATATTGCGAAAGAAGTATTTTTATGAATTTTAGCTAAGTAAGTATTGTTTGAATATATTTCTTTAAGTATGTAGGTAGGTATTAAAATGTTTAATCTACTAAATTCAATTTAAAATCAACAATCTTGGTGGATATATTTTTGTTAGCTACCACCTCTGCTAAATAAAAAAAATCATGAAATTCATACATAACGCTTGAAAAGGTTTATTAAATTTTTAAAAACCAAAACCACAATAATAATTTAAGTTAAAAGATATCATTGAATTTTATAAAATAAACCTTTTGGTGTATAAAAAGGTTTGAAAGTAAAAATTCAATAACTGGTACTTTTAATTTATCCCAGTTGGTATGTTCTGTGGTTGGTACCTTGCCTGTTGGCAACAATGGCTTCATGACGTCATGCGTCATTCTATTTTTAGCATTTGTCAAAAGGCAGCGAACCTGTGTAAAGTGTACAGTGATTTGCGTTGAATTTCTTGTTAATAATTGTAATATGAACTGAATTTCTAGACTTTAGTGCCCCGTGTTTATTTATCTACTTTAATTAGCATATTAATTTTAATACAATTTGTAGGACCGCTGGCCCTGGATATTTCTTTTTATAGGTGAGTGTTGTATCATTAAATATGGCGGGTGTGGAATTTAATCATTAAATTATTATATTTTGGATAAAACTAATATTTCAAAGTAATATGATAATAGATATTATTTGGTTTAAGATTTGCTTAATTTTTTTGAAATAATGTTGGAAATTCTATTTTTAAATATTTAACGCCTTTTTAGAATCGGCATGATTTTTGTTTTATTTTTAGATAACAGCTTGTTTGTTGATTTGTTAATCAAAAAGTTTAAGAAGTTGTTTAATGTTTTTATTGTGTTTTTTGTGTTACTTTTGACCGTTGTTTTTTTAAAATTTAATACCTTCAATGCAGTTAAATTTAGTTGCAAATTTTGTTATTTATTATCAAATACTGACATAGGTATTTCGTTAATAAGTAGGTGGTGAATGTATTGAATAAGCATATACATACATTGCAATGAAGCAAAAGAATGTGATAAAAAAGAAGAAAGGTAATTTTTTTTAAATAAATTGGTTTTTGGAATAATTTTATCGTAATATAAAAAACAAGCATCATTGCAATGATATCTAAAATACTGCATATTAAGTAGGTATTAATAAAATTAACATTCCATATAAACTTTTCCTAGGTATAGATGTGGGTATTAATAAATTATTAAGTATTGACTAACTACTATTAGTTGAATTTACGAAATGATGCTGTCCAGTGGAAAGATTATTTATACCTATTTATTCAGTATTTTAAACTTTTTAAATAATCTACCTTCAGGAGTATTTCAAAATTTACCTTAAAGTTAAACCTTAACTCAACAATCTCACTAATAAAAATAACCATTGCAAAGAAAATTGTTGTTTTAAATTTGGTGTTTTTAATATGCCTTTGTATACAGGTTGTCCGGAAAATGACAGATCAATGGTAGGGTAGGCTATTTCAGGTGTACATTTTTTTCAAAAATACATCTTCCTTGATGCCTTTTGTGCATGACTCATGCAGCATGAGCTACACAAAATGTAGGCTTAATTGATGAGCATCATTGCAAAAGCCGATAAATCCGATTTATCAGTTTTGAGAAATGATCAAAAACATCTCTTGAGAGATCGCCTGTACATGTTAAAAAGTCAACAATGTCATATGATATCTTTAGGGTGAAAGTCAATATTGGCAAATTTAAAAGCAAACATTTTGGTTTGGATTTAAATGTAGAAAAAGTTATTTTAAGTTGAATTAAAAAAAGAAGTTTATTCTAAATTTGCTTATATAAAAATTAGATTTACTGTTTTTTAAACATTAATGTGTAACTCAAAACCAAGCAAACTTGGATTTTTCAACTTTTGCATCAATTGATCTTGGAAAATATTTCCATTTTGACCAGAAGCATAAGTCCATATGCTTTACAAAGCCATTCCCACAGATAAGAGCATGAAATTTTTTTAAATCTTAAAATTTGTTGTTTTGGGATGAAAACAAACTTTCACACTATTTCATAGAGCAGTCCAAACACCATCATTCCTCAAACTAAAAAAAACCTTGTTATGGAAACAAATATACAACGCATCCACAGCAATAACTTTGTTAATATTAACAAATTTTGAAAATCCTTTCATATAAATACATATTATGTGACGCGATCCAAATTAAAAAACCCAAGTTCTAAATAGTTATTTGTTTTACAAGTGTTGAAAAGCGACTTTTTCATGCGGGTGTTCAAGTTGCTCACGAGGCCGTCAGGCCGAGTGTGCACTAACCCGTTCTTGAAGAAAGCTTTTCTCACAAGTGAAACACAATTTTTTTTCTATGACCCTTTTATTTTTTATTATAATATTCAAATACAAAACAAAATAACCTAAAAACTTGTTTGACAGCTGTTAAAATTCTTTCATCTTATTCTTTTAATTTTTAAGGTACAAGTTACTTAAAAATTTTAAGTTTATTGATTTTAAGTTAAAATCAATAAACTTACCTTCTCAATTTAAATAAAGGCACTAAAAACTAGAATTTCTTATACAAACACAATTAATTGTGTTCTACACACAGACCTAGGTCTGTGGTTCTACATGATATTTAGACATATGTATGTATCTTGTATGTACTATCGCTAACAAAAAAAACTCATACAGCTTAAGAATCTAGTGTTCCTGATTTTCTATCATTTCGTTGGAGTAATTATGGCTTTTAACATGATACGTCACATTTGAAAGGTCTAAAATTAAATACAAAGTTAGGTTGAAGTTTAAAAAAAAATAATATTTCGTCATCCCTCTGTTTTTGTCAATTACTGCCCGCAAACGGCAAAGCATGGAAGTCGCCGTCTTGCTTTATCTCGTTCCAAATGGCTTCAATGGCTTGCCAGAGTTCGTCTGCATTGTTTGGTTGAAAATGTTGTTAAAAAAGTCATAATGGATGTGACAAAGCTCGATGTCAGCTTGACATTGACGGAAAAGTTTTATTCACACAGCCACAATATAGCTGTATGAGTTTTTTTTGTTAGCGATAGTACTATGCTCCACACCTCAAAGTCCCACCACGTGACCACGTACGGAACGCAGTCTTTTGAAAATTTGGCATTTAAGGCTTTTCAGGTTATGTATCTGTCAAAGTATAGTCAATGAAAGAAATAATATTATGTTTAGACGTTAAAAAGGTATAAATCTTTATAACATTACAATAACAATGGATGGTTTAAGAATATAAATACTGCATTTAATAAAATTCTAAAGTGTATGGTGCCAAATAAGTAATATTTTTGTGCATTTGGTCCAAATATCTCTCCATAAAATAATTTTAACTAAACAGCTTTTATTTAAAAAAATCTAGCTTCTCTATTATGGAATAAGAATATCTGTTTTAAAGGTAGGTTAATATATTATAACAAAAATAAGTATTTTGGATTATTTAAAAGACTGTATAATATGGTATTTAATAATGTAGTTTTTCTTATCCAGTTTAAAGTGAACCTACATAAAGTTTTGTCAATACAAATAGTTAAAAAGCTTCGACTGAATTTGATCTACATCGAAAAATCATTATAACTTTAAAAATTTTAATAAATCACAAGTCATGGGAGTATTAAATATTTTCACATTGCAAGTTTCTCTAAATATTGTTTGTTTTCTTATAATCTAACTTAAAGTAGGTATGCCGAGAGGTATGCACAAGTTTTGTCATTAGAAGTATAAAAGCTTCAACTTAATTTGAACCATATTCAACAATTATTTAGTATACCTATATTTATTTATGACCATATTAACACACTCTTCCAAATAATCCACCCATTTATTTTCGTCAAAATAGATTTTTCTAACCTTAAAATACAAAATTAGATTATATTTTTTGTTCTAATACATTAACCTACCTTTGATACAGATATTCTTATTTAATAATAGAGAAGTTTGATACAGATATTCTTATTTCATAATAGAGACGATTTTTTTTAATAAACGCTGTTAAGTTAAAACTATTTTATGGAGAAATGTAGACCCAATGCACAAAAATATCACTTATATTGCACCTTACACTTTGGAATTTCATTAAATGCAGTTTTTATATTCCTATATTCTTAAACCAACCATAACAACTATAAAGATTTATTAACTTTTAACGCTTAAACATAAGCGGTAACACTATAAATATTATTTATTTCATTGACTATACTTTGACAGATACATAACCTGAAAAGCCTTAAATGCCAAATTTTCAAAAGACTGCGTTCCGTACGTGGTCACGTGGTGGGACTTTGAGGTGTGGAGCATAGTACATATACAAATTTTGAAACGAATGTCAAACGATGCTGTCAATTTCTTTTCACACAGACCTGTCAATTTTAACACAGAAATGTCACTTTACATTCGTGTTTTGTCTTGCCAATGAAAAGATTCATTTTCTAAGCGACGATGCCAATACGAAATGTGACACATAGTGGTCGTATAAAAAATGATTTTCGAGATTATGATTGTTTTAAGTAGATTGGTGCACGATCTTTTAAAAAGTCCAAGAATAATTTGTTTATCTAAAAAATTGACAATTCGTTCCGAAGTCCAGCGTTACTGCACAAACGCCTAAACACCCTTATGACTCGAAAATAACAAATTAACAAATATTAGGTAGTATTTTTTAAATTAAAATAATCCCCCTTCAACGTGGTATACCGTTGGTCTGCCCTTTTCCGTATATGATAATGTTAGGTTTTTAAAATTTTATGACAAGTTTAAAAAACGGTGTGTTTATTTTATAATAGATAATACATATTTTCGTGTACCCTAGGTTTTAGGATGTCAGAAAATACCATGGTGTCAACGATACCGCCGCCCCCAGGAACCGAACTGAACGCCTCCACCGTAACCGCCCCCCTACCGAAAGGTGAGGCACCCCCTTTACCAAAACAACCGCCACCGCTGCCCCAGCAGCAACCGCCAACGATACCGCCTCAATGGCCGCCCCAACAGCAGTACTACAATTTTAACTACGGTCAGTACCAGCAGCAGCAGCAGCAGTTCTATAACGCGCAGTATTACATGATGAACCCTTACTATGCGGCGGCGGCTATGCATGCGCAGAACATGAAAAAAGACGATGATAATAAGATTAATAACATCAACCCGCCGTTGCCGCAAGGGCCGCCGCCTTTGTTGAATACCCCGAAATTCGGGCAAATTAGATTTCAGCTCAACGGTAAAAGATTACCGCAACAAAACGCTTTACAGCAACAGCAACAAAATTCATCGCCGAATAGCGGGGCGGCGAAGAAAAAGCGCAAGCGCAATAGGAACAATCAAATGAACCAACAACAACAACAACACAACTTTCAGCAGCAAAATTTGAATCAGTTTCAGTTTTTCCAAAACACGCCTCCCTTACCGCCCCCGGAATCTTCCGCCCCCAAGCCGGCCCCGCCGCCGGAAACCATGCCCCCCGAACCCCCTCTACCCCCGCTACCGGCCGACAGCGAACCCGCTCGCATCGAGCCGGACGTGTCGAAGATATCCCCCCCCAATTCGTCCAAGAACCCGACCGACGAATGGCCGCAGAGTTTGAAGGACTACGTGCACCAGAGCTACGCCAAGTGCAAAACCGCCATCGACAAGAACCAGGTCGAGATAATCTTGAAAGGAAAGATAACGCACGCTTTTAAAACGGGGCAGATGAACAAGGACTGGGCGAAGGAACCTCTGCCGAACATACACAGCGAAAGGACTTTGACGCCCGTCAAGCCGGTTCCGGGTCAGCTGAGTCAGTTTCAGAATAGCAACGGCGCTTCGCCCTTGTTGGGGAATGTTAATAATAATAATAATGGTAAGAGGGGCAGCGGCGGTTTGTCGGTGGCGCTTGGAGCGAGGTTGGGGGCGAGGAATGCGTTGCTTAGGGGCGGTAACAGTCGCTCGAGGTCGAGGAGTAGGTCAAGATCGAGATCAAGATCGCCATACAAGTCCAGGTCGAGAAGTCCCAGGAGACATCGGTCTACAAGGTGAGAATCTATACTTTTATTTTAATAATAATATTAATAAACTTTATTGCAAAAAAGAAAAACAATTTTTACAATTGGTCATTGACTGAAGACTTTCAGCCAGTAAACACATATTTTGTAATAAAAAAAAAAGAAACATAATTGTTATAAAATTAATTTAATTGATTACTGTAAATTTGCCCTTATTTGTAAAAGATATTCCCATAGAGTCTTTTCTGGGTACTTGACCTTTTTATTGCCATGAAATATTCGCTAAGAATATCGTTGTTAGCGTCCATGCTAAAAAAATTGGTTGCTAATTTGATGAATCTGTCCATAATTGGTGGGATATTAAAAGTCATGGGGTTTTCCCAAATTTTATATTGTTAATTGCTGGAAGTGATACAGATGCATATTCAGGCAGGGTTCTTTTTTTTGTATTAAAAAAAAAACAAAAAATCAGATTTTTTTTATTTAAATAGGATTTTTTTGACCTAATTTGTAATGTGGAGATTTTGTATAATTAAACCGTTTTTTTTATTTGAATTTAACAACGGACAAAAAATATTTATTATTTATTTAAAAAATATATCAATATAAAGTATAAAGTACTCAAAAAATTTTCTTAAAAGAAAACTTAAATAAATCTTTTTTTTACTTTTGACCACTTGTAAAACAACCCTCAACTCATGTACAAATTATTTAAACTTTTTTTTTAATTTTATAATCATGATTTAAATAAAAAAAATCAACTGATTTAAATCATAACAACCATGATATCAGGTTGGTTGCATATTAGGGTGTATATATATATATTTTTTTTCATCATTGATACCTTTATTGTTATGTATGTAAGTGGCTGGCTCTTGTTATTATCTTCTTGTTTGATTTTATTTTATTTAACATGGCTTTTTTTAATGTCAAATGTCTGTCAAAAAGGGTCATTTTGTATGAATCAACCTTAATTACAAAAATGACACAATCAACAATTTAGTAAAGTCAAATTTACAATTTGAATTGTATCATTGTGTAATTAAGGTAAATTCATTCAAAATATCCCCCTTTTTAACAGAATCTGGTCACTATTTAAACAAAACTTTAAAATGTACAGTATATGCTTCACATAAAAAAATCCACTTTGACATTTAAATAAGAAATGCAGTCAAATAATTGAGGCTATCAGTTTTACGTTAATTTCGTCTATAACTTTAATTTCGTCTATGTTCTGAAAATAAAAAAAAATTATATATTTTTTGTGTATACACGGATGGAGTTGTCAAAAGGAGACAAATCTTTATTTTTATCTTTATTTATTATTTTATCTTTATTTTCAGGCAAATTTTTTTATAAATTGAAAATGAAGATTTTTCTTCTCTTGTCAACTCCTCCGTGGACACACTGTATATAATTGAGGCTATGTATCTGTCAGTTTTACGTTAATATCGTATATGTGCTGAAAATAATACAATATACAAGGTGTTATGTAATTAATGTAATATATTAAAATACTGAATACCTTTTGAAAACATATTTTCCCAAAGATAAAGAAAAAATATTCATTAGTAGTTTTTTATATTTTTGTGATACGCCACTGGTTACACTGGTTTTGTGAGTACATAATATGTATATGTATATAATAGTATATTATATATACTCACAAAACACAAGTAGCTGCGCGTTGCCAATTGTAATTGTTAATAAATATTATTCTTGCAAAGAAATAAAAACTCAATAAATACAAAAGTTTTATGCACTTAAAGTTCTAATACCCTTCTGTATTTATTCAGTCATCCAGCTATTATACAGGGTGTCCGGGAAAAGGAGGTCAATCCGTTAACCATATATTCCTTGAGTTAAAACAATAGGACTTTCATAATACCATTTTTCAATTTAGAGCTTCATGTTCGATATACAGGGTGACAAAGTTTTAAATTTAAAACTGATTTTTTTTAATAATTCGAGTAATTGATAAGATATTAAGTTTAAATTCGGTACACTTCTTTAACATAAATAGTTACATTTTTGGAGACCAACAAAACAAAAAACAATTGTCAAATAATCAAAATAGGGCTGTCCAGTACTCACTGACTCCCCCTATTTTTTAGTACGTGCGCCAATGACTTCCAAACGGTATTTTTTCAGGTAATCATTTATTGTTGAACATTTTTAGTCTCTTATAAAATTTTGATAAAATGATTTGTTTTAGAGATAATTTGTTAAGTATGGGTCAGTCCATATCAAATTTTCGAAATTTAATTTTTTTTTTGAAAAAATTTAGGTCATGTGATATATCATAAAAAAGGTCTCTAAAAGGCCTTTAAAATAAGCCACCACTCACCTTTCTACTTTTAATAGTTTACGAGATATCGCTATTTTTGTAAGTACTTGCAAGACCCAAATTTATCGGAATTTTTTGATATTCAAAAATCAATAAAACAAAAGCCACCTATTGAAAAAAATTCATATATGGAAGTTTTTAAGTGAGGTAAACAAATTTACCAAAAATTATCAAAATCTGAGATGGTGGGGGAAGAACCTTTGGTTGATTTGATATGGACTGACCCATACTTTACAAATTATCTCTAAAACAAATCATTTTATCAAAATTTTATAAGAGACATAATTTTTTGAACAATAAATGATTACCTGAAAAAATACCGTTTGGAAGTCATTAGCGCTCGTACTAAAAAATAGGGGGGTCAGTGAGTACTGGACCCCCCCTATTTTGATTATTTGACAATTGTTTTTTGTTTTGTTGGTCTCAAAAAATGTAACTATTTATGTTGAAGTAGTGTACGGAATTTAAACTTAATATCTTATCAATTACTCGAATTATTAAAAAAAATCAGTTTTAAATTTCAAACTTTGTCGCCCTGTATATCGAACATGAAGCTTTAAATTGAAAAATGGTATTATGAAAGTCTTATTGTTTTAACTCAAGGAATATATGGTTAACGGATTGACCTCCTTTTCCCGGACACCCTGTATTAGCTTAAGCAATGATTAGAAAATTTAGTACCTATTTTAAAAACTCCATAACCACAAAATTAATTTTTTCATCGGTTTTTTTCTTTCTGTTTACTCATATGAAATTAGGACAAGTTCACAGGTTAAACTTTAAACATTCAATTTGTGTAAATAAATCCAAAAGCACTTTCCGTAGCTAAGATATTTACAATTTGAGCAAATAACCTAAAATTTGAAAGAAATGCTCATAAAAGTTGCCAGATTTTGTTTGAATTTACCTTTATTTTAAAAATGACATAATAAACAATTAATAAAAACGCCAAATTAACAATTTGCATAGTTGATTTTGTCATTTTTGTAATTAAGCTAAATTTAAACAAAATTTGGCAACTTTTTTGACAGAATCTGGAAACGCCGGTTGTTACCAACCATAACCTAATAAATTAAATTAGGCAACCAGATTAGCCTAAAGTTTCTAGTCGATCAGTGGCGTACTTTTTGGTAGGATAAATGTTATTATAAATTATTTTTAGTCTTTAAAATTTAGAAAAAAAAGTTTCAGGTGCTTCTTTATGGACCCTAAGGAACTACCCATTTTAATATATTACATTGATTAATAACACCCTGTATATTGTTGTATATATGTCTTATTCAGGTTAGTCAAAAAAAATTAAGAATACAAAAATCCCTTTTAGATTGTGAAAGCCATATTTTAGAATGACACGTTTACTGAAAAATGTCAAGAAAAAACATTTTCTCTTATTGTTTCAGCGATTCATCGGAAAGCGACGAAGGCTACAAACCCCTAACGATAAAACCGAAACAGAACAACACCCCTGGCGGCAAAAAAGGCAAACTGGCCGACCGGCTGGGCGCCATTAAAAATAACACGCCCAACGTCAAAACCCCGAACAGCGCTAAAAACGCAGCGAAAAACAAGAAGGCCGTGAAAGAAAAGAAAAACGCGGCCTTCTACTCGACGTTCGGATCGGAGTTGGAAGAAAACTCCGAACTATTGCAGCAAAGAGCTGCGCGGTTTAACGGCAGCGCGCAGAAAGTTGCGCAGCATCAACCCTCCTCGCAGGTATTCAAGAAACAAAAACAATCTTTCCAGGTCGACAGGTACGAGGATAATTCCAACGGCGAGATCGATTGGAGCGACTATCACATCGTTGGCACGTGCCAGGACGTTGAAAAATCGTTTTTGAGGTTAACCAAAGCACCGGAAAGTTATACGGTACGGCCCGTGGAAGTTTTAAGGCAATCGCTCAGTAATGTCAAAAACAGGTGGCTGGCGAAGCAGGACTATTACTACGCCTGCGACCAGCTCAAATCGATTAGACAGGATTTAACGGTAAATATATATTTTTCTACTCACACCTTTAACCCGTAACCGGTACGGTACGACTTTCAGGTCATAAACGGTACTAAGGGGTCTGAGAGACACCTGCCTTTTAAAATTATAATTTATATTATTTTTTTTATCTAAGGCTTTGGGGAAACTAGGAACTATATATAAAGTTAGAATATCACCAAAAATAATACCTAAATAAAAGAAAAATTTAAACAAATAGGTTTTAATCAAAACATGTACAAAAAGTGCAGTAGTGCAAACTTTGTGATTAAACTATAAAAAATATTAAACCAAACAAAATAAAACGATCTTTATTTCGAAGAATATACTTTAAAAAATAACATAAACAAAAAAATTCTAATAAATCTTTTTTTAACAGCAAAAATAACTGCTTCAAACTATAGCTTATTTTTACAATTATTTTTTCCATAGTAACTTTTTTGTTTTTTTTTTCAAATTTTTAAAAAATTTCAAATTCTTCACTATCTGACCCTATAAAATTATTTTCTATAGACTCTTCACAGACAAGTCCTGAATTGCTGCTGTGATTAGCTTCAACGACATAATCACTACAGTGTAGTATACTACAGTCATCTATATCACTTATATCGCTGTCGATTTCATAAAACCACTACATTACAGTTTCCTTAAAGCCCTCCTTATCACTTTGGACACTTTTAGAAGTCCCTTGTTGCGAATCCATAACGAATTAATTGTTTTATAAAAATTACGTAAACCGTACTCAGTGGTCTACTAGACACCTCAACACTTTGACTTGTAATAATTTGTCCGTTTGACAATCCAACTTGTTCAAAGTCTGAGAGCATATTGATAACTGCTCAACTTAAAAGTATTGGAAGCGACATATTTTTAAAACAAAAGGTGAGGGTGGGACAGGGCTTTATTTGTTGATGAGTGTCTCCCAGACACCACAGTACCGGTTACATGTTTCCATGACACTAAGTGACCTTTTAAATTGACACGCTTTATGGCGCTTTAGTCACGGGCTAAAGTTAGTTTTAAGTTAGTTGACAGTTATCAAATGTCACACAACTGTTAAAATAAAGTGCCTTTCTTGTAAAATAATACTAAATGTGAAAATTATTTTATTATCTTAATACAAAACAGGAAAAAATGTTTTTTTTTAGAAAAAACAAAGTAGTTCTTTTGCAAAAATTAACGCATAATAAGTAAAAAAAATTTAAATCTAAATATATATGTATATAAAAAATTTAATAAAATACTTCAACTTATATCTCAGTTTACGCGTTCGAGGGTTTTTCGAAAAATATTTTTAAATCCCTTTTATTTAATAATAAAAAAACGTTCCAAAAATAACTTTTAGGGAATTTTTTTAACTAAATAAAAAATATGCTGTTAAAAACCGTATTTTTGTTAGTATACCCTGAAAATTTTATACAAATCAAACGAACAGTAACGAAGATACAGCGCTTCAAAGTCGGCAAAAATTACCCTTTTGATTATATTGCTGAAAAATGGTCATTTTTGACGACTTTGAAGTGCTGTATTTTCGTTACTGTTCGTTTGATTTTTACATTTTCAGGGTATACTTACAAAAATACGGTCTCTCACAAAATACTTTTTATTTAGTAAAAAAAAATTTCCCTACAAAAGTTTTTTTTCGAGCGGTTTTTATTATAAAAGGGTAGAGATGTAAAAAAACCTAGAAAAATAAACGGTTTTTTTGTTTTTTTTCAAAATGAAATTTTGAGTAAAATATATATTAATAATAAAGTGAAATGTGGAATATATTAAATTTTTCATTATTGAAAATTTTGACCGAGACTAAAAAATCTTATTTCTTATTATTTGGTAGTTTCCACATTAGAAACCAGTAGCAATGTAAAACTTCTTCACCAATACAAAAAATTCGTTGTTCGTTGTTTTGCGATTCTTCGGATAGCTGTATCTTTGTTAAAAATGGTCGTATTGGAGCCGTAAAAAAAGCAATTTGAAGCTTGACGTTTCTAGATTTTTAGATGAAAAATGTGCAACGCTCAATCCTAACAAATACCGTAATAAAAAAAATCGATTTTTTTTGGCTTTCTGGTCCACGGAATGTTCTGACTTTACCACCAATGAATAAATGTTCTACAAGAATTTGCTATTGTTTTTTTGAAAAAAAAAATTCCATACTCTACATGAATTTGAAAAATCATGGAAAAAGTGCTTTTGGTAGCTTTTTGAAAAATCAAGCGCTGAATCAAAAATATTATATGTAGTTACTTTTTTTAGGACCAAATCAAAACAAGCGCGGCCCTTATTGGTCAATTCGGTGGTGGTGGCGCGTGCATAGCGCGAGACTGTATTTACATTTACTAATTGTCATTTAGTGGCTAATTTTAGTCCATGTAACCTAAAAATTTTGGCAAAGGGGACTAATCTTGAAAAAACACCTAAAATGTGAAAAAAACCATTTGAAAAAAAAAATGAAAAAAAAACAAAAAAACGGACCGTTTTTTTTTCAAGTCGCATCTCTATAAAAGGGCTTTAAGGATATTTTTTCGAAAAACCCTTGAACACGTAAACTGAGATATGTTGAAGTATTTTTATTCAAAATTTCATAAAAATTGGTAAAGGCGTTTTACTTATTATGCGTTAATTTTGACGGGCAGTATAAATATTATAAGAGAAAAGAGTAAACTTAAAGCAGAAAAATTTTGAAACTTTAAAATAGTCGTTATTTATAATTAAAACAAAAACACAACTTTTATTTATAAGAAAAAAATTGGCAGCATCTAAATCTTACATGTCAATGTAGGTACCTAATAAGTTAAAAAAACAAAAAAAAACGTTGCTGTTTTAATTGAATTGGTGAATAAGAACAGTCACAAGAATAAGCCCAAAAGTTAAAATTTTGACAAAATATTTCAAAATAGTACATTCTGTAACAAGTTTGGAATACAGCATATTCCGCTCGAGGAAAAATTTGACACATGAGCCGAAGGCGAGTGTGACGGTTTTACGAGAGTGGAATATGCTATTCCAAACGTGTTTCAGACATTATTTTCTCTACGACTACGTAAGAATAGTAACGCTTATATAATTTTAAACAGAGAAAAGAAACCAAGCAGTTTTTGACATTTAAGTTTTTTGTATTGTCAAACCATTTTGTGCTGTCACAATTTTATAATGTAAATTATAATAAATTTAAACAAATGGTATGCCTAAATCTTTATTATAATTAAAAATAGTTATTTACACTAACTAATAAAAAAAATAATCTATGTCAACATCTATTCTTTTTCTACATTTTAAAGGTCTTTTTTTTAACTTTTTGAATCTGTCAAAACTTCAAAGCCGGTATAGTAGGTAACTGGTTTATCATTTTAATATCAAATTTATTATAATTTTGATTTGTATATTTGAAAAACAATAAATATAACTAATTTTTTGTGCCTAAACCTTAATTATATACTTGCTATTATTTTTTAATTAATAAATAATACAGTAATATTTAAATATTTTTAAATTTTTTACGTTTAGTAAACAGCCAGGAGATGTCGTTACTTGTGACCATTCTTAAACAAGAGTAGGAATATTCTCGCACAGTATTGCAGAAAAACATCCTTTCTATGATCAAAAATTACACTAGAATGTTACTATTCTTAAGTAGTCGTAGAGAAAATCATTTTTATAGTTCTCAATGCATTTTGTAAGAATATTTTAACTATTTTATAAAATATAATATTCATATTCTGTAAAATGATTTATATCTTCTCACAAAAATGTATTTTGAACTTTGATTAAAAAAATTTCTTTTTGAATAAAATACAAAATTATTATATAGTATCTTGACGCCAATATTTGAAAGGATTATTGAGAATTTGTAATACTTTGTGATAATATTTTGCAATTATAGTAATCAAAGGATAAAATATTTTCTTAGCACAATCAATAATTAAAATAATGTTAATTATGAAAATTACGTCAAAAATGTGTATTGGGATGGTTACTTTATTTTTGTATAGATGTCGCTTCATACAAATATTAAATTTAAATAATTTTTTTGAATAATAAATATTTGTCATAGAAAAATTATAGTATGCAACTCGTTTATAAACTTTTCTAGGCACTCTTTTTATTAAAATCTACATCTACAACTAAATTAAATTCGTGACTAAAATGGCTTTTATCAAAGTTGATACATAATATTATTATTTTTTGCGTTGCGGAACATTATTATGCTTTGTTGTTTTAGGTACAAGGTGTTCGTAACGAGTTCACGGTGGAAGTGTACGAGACGCATGCGCGCATCGCTTTGGAAAAAGGCGACCACGAGGAGTTCAATCAGTGCCAGACCCAACTGAAAATGTTGTACACCGAAGTGGGAGGCGGCTCGAACAAGAACGAATTTACCGCGTACCGTATCCTCTACTACGTTTTCACCAAGAACACCTTAGGTAAGAAAATAATAATAAGATATAGTAAAGTAAAAAAGTGCTGCGCAAATTTGAAGTTTGCTGCGCAAGTTATGCATTTTTCTGCGCAGTTTCTTTAAACTACAATATGTCCACAGATAGGTTTACAAAGAAGAAAAACATTTCATTAATTTTGCTTAATTTTAAACCCCCAGAATATTTTAATTTTTCTGAAATTTTTTTATAAAAATCATTTTGGTCAGTCTTTGTTCATTTGTAATTTCTCAAAATTTTAATTTTTTAATTTATTGCCATACATTTTTATCTTCATTTTTTACTTTTTCGTTACTTGACATCCATCTTGGGGTTAATTTGCAATTTTGAGTTTTCTGAAAATTTTGGACTGAAATTTAAAAAAAAATCATTTTTGATCAGTTTTTGTTCATTTGTATTTTCTCAAAAGTAATTGTTTCTATTATAATAATAATAATAATAATAATAATAACTTTATTGTGAAAAACAGTACAATACATGTATCACAAAAGGAATGAGTTCAGCTTCACTGATCTTCCACTCACCCAGCAAACAAAAATAATTTTAAATTGTAAATAAACAATAAGTATATAAAAACTAACAAATATCAACAACATATTATAATTATAAGATTACAAAATTTCTTTGGCTTGGATCTCTAATAAAATTTTTAAGATATTAATTTTAAAAGTCCCAAGGGATATATCACTACTCCACAAAATAAAATTTTTATTCACAATGCTGGCAGCCAAATATTCGAAGGAACTCTCAAATTTTTTTGTTTTATGGTATGGAATTGACAACAAACAATTACTTCTAACATTTACATCATGACTATTATATCTATATTCCAAGAGTGAAAATAAATATAAGGGTAATTTAGTTTTAATAATATTGAACAACATAGTCGCAAATTGCTTGTAAAAGACATATACACATTTCAAAATATTTAACCTAATATAGTGTGGACCTACATGGTCTCTGAAGCTAACATTATAAGAATATCTTAAGCAGCAGTTTTGTACTTTTTGAAGTAAATTTTGAATTTTTTTATTTGCATAGTTAAAGTAGACAGCACCACAATAATTAAAATTACTCAAAATAACAGCCTGACATAAATTCCATTTTACATCACTACTTAATACCTTTTTAAACTTATATATTGATTTAAATTTCACATGTTCGAAGCTTTTACTTTTGAATTTATCCCCAAAAATACATTTTTTTATTGTAGTTTGATCAGTTCAAAAGTAATTGTTTCTATTGACATGTTTAAAGCTTTTACTTTTCAATTTATCCCCAAAAATACATTTTTTACCGTACCTTTATACTCTTTCAAAAGTAAAAATTAATGACATCCATGGAGGGTTCTTGAGGTTAATATGCAATTTTGATTTTTCTGAAAATTTTGGACCGAATTTTTTATTTATTTATACCCATAAATGCATTTTTTACCGTACTTTTATACTCTTTCAAAAGTAAAAATTAATGACATCCGTGGAGAGTTCTTAAGGTTAATTTGCAATTTTGATTTTTCGGAAAATTTTGGACTGAATTTTTTTTTGACAAATCATTTTTGGTTAGTTTTTGTTCATTTGTATTTTCTCAAAAGTAATTGTTTCTATTGGCATGTTCAAAACTTTTACTTTTGAATTTATTGCCAAAAATACATTTTTCATTGCACATTTTTTAGAAATATCAAAGTTTCAAATTAACCATGGAGTTTGAAATCAAGCAAAAACTTTTATTTGAAATAAAATTTTCTGAAAAATCTAAAATTTTTCAGTGTAATTTTTTTAGAAATATCAAAATTTCAAATTAACCGTGGAGTTTAAAATCAAGCAAAAATGAAAAAAAAATTCTGAAAAATTAAAATAATTTTATTTTCTCTTTCAAAAGTAAAAATTAATGACATCCATGGAGGGTTCTTGAGGTTAATATGCAATTTTGATTTTTCTGAAAATTTTGGACCGAATTTTTTATTTATTTATACCCATAAATGCATTTTTTACCGTACTTTTATACTCTTTCAAAAGTAAAAATTAATGACATCCGTGGAGAGTTCTTAAGGTTAATTTGCAATTTTGATTTTTCTGAAAATTTTGGACTGAATTTTTTTTTGACAAATCATTTTTGGTTAGTTTTTGTTCATTTGTATTTTCTCAAAAGTAATTGTTTCTATTGGCATGTTCAAAACTTTTACTTTTGAATTTATTGCCAAAAATACATTTTTCATTGCACATTTTTTAGAAATATCAAAGTTTCAAATTAACCATGGAGTTTGAAATCAAGCAAAAACTTTTATTTAAAATAAAATTTTCTGAAAAATCTAAAATTTTTCAGTGTAATTTTTTTAGAAATATCAAAATTTCAAATTAACCGTGGAGTTTAAAATCAAGCAAAAATGAAAAAAAAATTCTGAAAAATTAAAATAATTTTATTTTCTCTTTGTAACCCCACCTGTGGACATACTGTATATATAATTTTTAAATTCGATTTTTTGCGCAAAATAAACTTTATTAAAACTTTTTGTCAAGGCAAACCTAAATGTACCATTTTGATGATATACATTAACAATTCAAAATTTTACTGAACAACTTTTTAAAAAAGTCTTTAAAATCAGTTTTAATAGATTCAATATCATTCAAAAATTGTCAGGTGTTACATTACATTGAAAGTAAATAAGAAACAATATAAAATATTAATTTGTTATAAATTATAAGAATTAACATTAATGTTTAAAACTGTCATATTTTTGTGTTTCTTAAGTTGGCTGCACAAAATCTAAAATCTAAAATCTAAAAAAGTTAAAAAAAAATGTTTTTTGAGATTTTCATACAAAATATACTGAAATAATCAATTTCTAAGGCTATTAAAAAACATGATCCTCTTTTGTTGCTTGAGTTTTTTAAAAGAATCTAAAACTTGTGCAAAAGTGTCAATTTCCACAATTGATAGCCTACAAATTAAATATTATAGATATTTTTTTATGGAATCTATTAAATTTTGAAGACATTCTATGGAAACTCTTCAAATGGAGATATTACTTTAAGTAATTTTGTTAATATAACCAAGTCAGTTACAATTTGCTGCGCAAAATAAACTTTTTTAGAATTTTTCACCACATTTTCAAATCACCTAGTTAAGTATATAAAAAATCATTCAAATTAGGTATATTGTTAACTGCTCAATATTAACTAAAAATGCAATTTTACTATGCAAATTAAATTTTTGCTGCGAAATTTCTTTAAAAAAAATAGATCAGTTATATTATTGCTCAACTTTTTTTGGAAAATTGAAATTTATTTTTCAAAGTATTTTTATTTCAAATTTTTCAGACATAATGACGATAATGAAGGGCCTGACGGCGACCGAAAAATCGGACGAGTGCATTTCGTTCGCGTTAAAGGTGCGCAGCGCGTGGGGTCTCGGCAATTATCACCGGTTTTTCTCGCTGTACGCGGTAGCGCCCTCTATGGCCGGTTTTCTTATCGACTGGTTTATCGATAGAGAGCGAAAAGAATATTTAAAATGCGTCATCAAAAGGTACGTATCAAACATAATTTCCACTATGACAAAGATGGTGATTACTTAGTCATTAACTTTAATAGCTATGCTATACAGTATAGTCTATACTTATTTAATCTATAGTCGAAATAATCGTGTAGATGTTGTATGCAAACTAAAGGGGTTCTATACTGTTTAAGGCGAAAAATTAAACGATTTAGTTGATATTTTTTAGGTAAGTAATCATTTTTTTATTTAAACTAACTATACTGCATCAAATAGTGTATGGTTTGTCGTCTTCATAAAAAAAAATTATGAGAAAATTTGTGAAATTGTGGACATTACTGACATTGCCCCAAAACACATTTTTTACAGGAATGTTTTGAACATTAGTACAAAAATTAAGTTTTTCTGACAATTTTTTCATGAATATTTTTTTTATAGACCTTAAACCATACACCATTTGATGCTGTATTGCTTGTTTAATTAAAATTATGATTATATACCTCAAAAAAATCAACAAAATAGTTTAATTTTTTGTGTATGGGTATCTTTTTTATTTGCTACAAGGTCAGTTAAATTAGAAAAAAGTTGCGTGATTATAAGTCTATTAAAATGGAAAATACAAATTTTAAAAAACCAAAAATTGTTATAGCTTTCGTTATTCCTGGGAATTTTGAAGAAAATTTCACATGTAAACATAGACATTCATCCACATTTTTATCCAATTTGTATTTTTTTTCGCGTGCTAGATTCTGAGTTAACACCAACATCTTTTGTTTTTCCTATATTGGACCATTATAAAAACAAAAAATAGTGATGGTAACTCAAAATCTAGTATCAAAAATGTAGATTAATGTCTATTTTTTCATGTAAAACTTGCTTTTTTTAAATGTCCAGGAACACACAACGATGTTATAACGAATTTTGGTTTTAAAAGGTTTTTTTTGTAAATATTTTGAGAACCACTGGTTTTTTGCAGTTTTTTTAAACTTTATTTTGATTGGCTTGTAATTGCCCAACTTTTCTCTAATTTATCTGGGTTTGTAGCTCTTCAAATTTAAAAAAGTACCCATACAAGGGTACCAAGGATTCTTGGTGCACCCTGATAACCCCTTAAAATGCATACAATTTTATTTTACGTGATTTTTATACAAGATAGAGTAATATTTTAAAAAAGTATTATTGGTTTAGTTTTTTTACGATCAAACCATTTTGTCTTTATGAAATTACTAGATAAAAATTTATTTATTTTAATTTATATCTAATAACCAAGTCACAAATCAAAATTTATAAAAAAGTAAGTAGCGGTGTGTAAATGTATTTTTTCTTTCAGCACATTGTATTTATTTTATATTTTCAATTTGTCAATGTCGTTTTGGGGCTGTAAATAATATATTCTTAGCATAAGAAGACCCTAATGATTTAAAAATTAATATAATTTACTTATATTTTTGTATATTTTCCAGAAGATGAATAATACACATTTCTATATAAATTTCACTCACTTTAAACTTGTTTTTTACACAAAGTCTTAAGCTAAGAATAGTAATCACACTTGATTTTTTGTATTTTTCAATAATTTTAAAAAGTTCCACAAGGTGTCTGTTTAAAAACTACCACATATTAGTGCAAGCCAATTGGGTTGTATGGCTTAAAAATGTGGTGTTTCTTGTGTAAAGAAACTAGGGTTTTAAAGTGTCGGAAAAATGGGCTGTTTTGGGAAAAATTGATTTTTTTTTGGAAAATATACACATTTGAAAAAAGTAGCAATCAACAACTTAACATTATTTTAAAAAATATCCTTTATTACAAAAAAACTAAACATTGAATTAAATTAAATTGATTTAAGAAAATAAACGTAAACGTGAAATACTGAAAAACTGTCGGTTGGGTCGTTTTTTGCAAAAAGGAGTCTCTTAAAAATATCCAACTACAAAATAATGAATGATTTATAAAGTTACAAAATTATAATTTTATAATTATAATTTTATAAATCGAAGTGTTAAATAAAAGTTATGTTAATACAGCACCAAATATTTTTTTCTTGAGGCCCAGCAGAATATTATTACCGAGTTAAAATAAAAAGAATAATTATAATCATAATTTTATAATATAATAATATAATCAGCGTCGGAAATTCACTTTTTTTCTCAATATCAGTGTACGGATAGTATCCGTGAAAATTTGTACATTTTTAGAATAAAATTTTAAAAATGAAAATCAATTTTTCTGAAAGCTTCCCAATTTTCCGGTTCTTTTTCGAAAAAAAAATCGTTTTTTTTGCCGGCTCAATTTTTCCGAAAATTTTAAAACCCTAAAACAAACACCCTGCTTAATAGTTTACATGTACCCCAAATTTGACATTGCACTTGTATAATTAACCGTGTGATTTTTATGTTTAGCTATCGGCAAACAGTTAGTGTGAACTTTGTGCGTCAGCAGTTGGCTTTCAAATCGAGCGAGGAGTGTCAAGAGTTTCTTGAGCCGTTCTGTTTGAGTTTCGTCGACCCGTCGAGAGCGTCTATCGATTGCAAAAGCAGCATGGCCGCTTTGCCAAATATCCAATAACCCACCCACCTTCATCGTCTACACTAAATTTTATCTCCATGATTTTATTAGATAAGGACTATATTAGTTGTTAAGTGCTAAAATGGCTGTGCAGTTCGACTTGCTCTTTGGAGTCCTTCATTATTATTATTATTCTTTTACCCCCACATTTCCGAGGTTTTAAAGAATTTCTTCTTCTGCCATTGGGAATCCTGGTTGTTCCAAAAAAGTCAACTTTCTTCAACGTTTTTCCATGTTACTTATTGATGTCTACCTCAAGATGTTTCTATTTTTTGTCTGGTATATGATGCCACGTTGTAGTGGCGATTTATTGGGAGATCAACCATCAAACAAACACCATCACTGTTATTTTGTACATATTATTTAAATGATTTACTAGATTAATAATAAAACCATGATTAATTATGTTCTGTATTTTATTTAGAAAACCATTTAAAAATATGATGTTGCTAATATATTATATGATCATAAGGGGTACAGGTGGGTAATAGTTATTTTTCTACTCTTATTGCATATTTCGTATATAATGGTAACCTCGCCGCCTAACAACGGGAATAATGAACTTATTATTCACTGTGATTTGAACCAACCAGGTTTAAAATTGGAAAAAGTTTTTTTAATAAATTATAAATCGTTTGTGGCACATAGCCAAACAGACTCTTAAAATACTTAGTAATTTGGAGCATTGTCCAATGCGCTGTTGCTTAAAAAACCTCAACCATTTTTTTTTGAAAAATGGTTTTCTTTTTTTCCACTTCTGTGCTATTTTTTTAACAAAAATTAAAATTTTGAATCATAAAATTTCCAATTAAAACACTATTTAATAAATTGGTCCAGTGTAGGCTTTTTGGCATTATTTAAAAATATGTAGTGTCACACTAAAATTAAAGAGCTACAAAATTTCAAGAGATAATTTTCGACAAAAATATCGCAAAAGGGGTAATAAGGGAGAAAACTGATTTCCAAAAAAGTTGTTTTGTTTTATTGTTTATTATTCAAGCAACGCATTGGTGAGCAAAATAAGTTTTATAAAAAATGTAGCTAAAAAAATTGACAGTATTTTAAGTGTTCCTCTGTCGTTTTTTTCCATTCTTGGTTGTTTGGATCAATTATAAAACCAGAATGTATACTAAATGCTTTTTCGATTAAAAAAATAAAATTTTAACATGCATAACATACGTTTTTACTGGGCTAAGTAAAAAAAGCATAGTATTAGATTCGAGATAATCCTATTACCTAACTAGTGCAGAATGTGATACTTTTTCTTCAAGTAGTTTTCATTTATAGATGAAATCAAAATTTTTAGGTATAATTAATATATACAAGGTGTCCTCGGAAACCTTTTGTACGAAAAAGACAATTTTTAAAGGTTTTTTGGAAACTGTAAAAATGAGGATTAACTAAATAAAACAAAACAGTTTAAATATATTATTTATTTAACTAAAGTATTTATGGAAGATAAAATATTAAATATATACAATATATTTTTAATAGATAAATAATTGATGTGCAGCATCATCAAAAATAAAAAATGTTCACATTGTATCAATTCATTACTCAGATCTTAGGACGTGTAAAAAAAATAACAGAACTATTTAAGAGATACTGACACTGCACAATAAATAAATGTTAAACGATCAATTTTCAATCTAGGTAATAATAAAAATGAAGACTTGAAATTTGGCTGAAGAATCAGTACACAGAGGAATATCTTTTTCTTTTTTTTGTATGCCATCAATTGAAATGATTTGTAAAGTTAAGTTATACAGACAATGAAACAAAACTGTTATACTGAGTGATGTTTCTCTTCAAGATGTCTGCGCACAGGCCCAGGACACGCTCAAATCTGAAAAAAATGCATTTCGTGAAAATAAAGTTACTTGACTTAAAATATTATATGTGTAAACATCGCAACGCGCAATGTAAAGGAAATAATATTCGCATGTGTGTAAACAACGTAACGCGCAATGTAAAGTGGCTGTGCCAAGAAGACTAAATATAGGAGGGGTAACTTGCTAAGGAGGCATGCCAAAAAACGTACGTATACGTATAGGCGTACACGGGACTGATAGAAATATAGAAGGTTAATTTTCTGTCAAAAAGCTAATTTTATCCTATTTTCTAAAAATAATGCAATATATGTATTTTTTGCGTATAATATAATTTAGAACACAAATAATGTGTGGAGCATAGTACTTTAGTAGTTACCAACGGATGCGCAAAATGTTCGTGCGAACACTGTAATTATATGGGGCATTCCATACAAAATTGGCCACTTTTGACCCTGACCCCTTTCAATTTGGTTGAAACTTTTTGTTATCTTTCTACCCTATCAAAAACATTTTTCAGAATTTTTTCAATTTCAACCAAAAAATATTAGGAATTTAAAAAAAATGGCTCTTTATTTTTAAATATTACGTTTTCAAAAATTGACTTATCGGGACGTTTTTTTTTTAAATTTTGTTTTGAAATTTACTTTAGAAAAATATTCAGACCTTTTTTTTAATTTCATCATTTTTTATTTTCTTTTTCTTATTAGAAACTCACAATTTCTGCAAATTCTCTGAAATTTTCAGAGAGGCGGTTTTCGTTTTCTATTTTTTATTCAATTGAATTTTTTTCTAATAATACCACTATGAGGGTTTTTGAGGATGTAGAAAGAACCTCAAAGTTAAAAAAAACAAAATTGCATCAACAAAATTTCAATGTTTTTCAAAAATACATTTTTAAAACATTTTGTAAAAAAAGGCTTTTAAAAAAAATTAAGTGATTAATTTGTAAAGGAATTTGGTAAAATGTTTTTTTCAATACTCAAAAAACTTAGTTGTAAGGAACTTACAATGTTGGACTTCACTTCACTTTTCCTTTTAATTTTCTGTTGGTTTAGTTTATTTTTAAATTTATTAATTGCACACGTTTATACTACAAAAATTGACATTTCACAGCCTTCTTTTCTTTTTTCCAAAACAACAACCAGAGTAACTAACGTGTATTTCTGGTTGCAAACAATGGGCGTTACATATATAGTTTATTAAATAATTTTATATACAGTATGTATATTATGCCTTGTGTTCTCCTTTATTTAGTCTTTGGGCTGTACATATCAAGATGGATTGCTTATTTCTTCACAACCTCCTTGATCAAATTAAAGGGTTTGCAAGTAAAAAACAATAAGGTGCGTGAAGATTCAAAAATTAGGTAAATTTTTTAAATTTAAAAAATTTCCCATTTCCCACACTAAACCCGTACCAGCCAAGATGTTTACACATCTAATAAAGATCCTTACCTGGCTCTGTCGAGCTTGACGCACTTGAGCGGCCCCACAGCCACCACGGTGGCCGCGCGAGGCCTGTCCAATAGCAAAGCGATCTCGCCGAAATAGTCGCTCGGTCCGAGTCGGCCGACTTCGGTGGGCTCCTCCCCCTCGGCTCTGTTCTGCCTGACGCTCGCAGTGCCCTCTACGATGATGTAAAAGTCGTCGCCGGGCTCGCCTTGACGCACTATGGTCTCGTTATCCTCGAAGCCGACCGGCTCCAGGGCGTCGGCAACCGTGAGGCGTTCCCACTTGTCCAGATTCTCCAAAATAGACACCCTTGAAATTTACATTGTTTTAATTTGCGGCGCAATTTATAATAAGCTCGCACAGTTTTAATTTTGATGCGCAACTTAAAAATTTATGGCTCAAGAAAAAACTGCGCTGCATATTTACTGTGTCCTCCAGTATCGTGCAGGTCAAGCAAAAATGACGCAAAAATACATTTTAATATTTTGGATAGTAAAGTAAAAAACAAGTGAAATTAAAATCGTTCAAAACCATTTTAATAATTTTCAAAAGACAAGTATTATAAAGCAAACAAACAAAATGTTATTAGACTTTTACATTTTTATAGTTTTTAAATACACAAAATACCAGATTGTATTTTTGCTGCGCAAGCAAATAAATTGCAAAGCATAATTAATGGCACGCCGTTTCACTTTTTTTGGATAAGAAATATTAAGTTAAATATGAATACTAAATTGCACTGGAAAATAATACCTTCACAATTATTATTATAATACATTAATTAAAATTATACATGTCAAAGGAGTTATTCTTTTTTAAATATGTTTATCTACTCCTACATTGACGAGCTGTGACTTTATGGCATTTTAGTCACAGGCTGAAGTTAGCTTTATTATAAATTGGGGAAAAGTGAGGTTAAATCCGTTGACATTTGACAGATGTCAAATGTTTAACAAATAAAATTGGATTTAAATTCTTTTTGTGTTCGTCGTGGATAAAGTATAGTACTCGTTTTATAAACTTCTCTAGACACTCGTTTTTATTAAACACTCGCACGCAAGCTTTGCTCGTGCCCACGGTCTTATATACAGGTCTTTCAACTTCGCCCAATTTCAATAGGAAAAGTGACCTCTCTAATGAGACACCCACCAGATGGCGCATCGAGTTGTGGGTGAACCATAGATGTTTAAAGGTCGTTTTTACCTTCTTTATCTTTGGGTTTTACAATCGTTAGATAAGCTCTCTGATGGATAATTTTCTTAGATAGAAAGTTTCTATGAAAGTTATCCGCCAAATAAGCTAACTTAATCTAACGATTTTAAAACCGGCTCTAAGTCCTTAAAGTCTATGGGATAAAAGGTCAAACCTACTAATGTTCTGTGTTAAGAAACATAACCTACATTTTTATAAACAAGCTTGTGTATTTTGTTACAGGGAGTTTTTACTTATTAATTAGATTAAAATAGCTGACAGTTTGGCTAGTTTATAAACTACCCAGCTACTGTATAAACTATCCATGTTTACACATTAGCCGTAACATATATATGATATACGTATGTATTTTATACATTAACATGTTTTACTTACATTTTGTTTGGTTGGTCTGGGCATGTGACGGCCGAGGACTTTGTGCATAGAGTATAGACTTTGTTGTCCTATTTTGTAAATTATCCGAAACAAACTCACAAATATTAAATTTTTGAAAATTTAAACAAAACAGAAAAAGAATTTAAAAAGTTAGGTTATGGTTATGCAGTAGTTCCACATTTAACTAAGTAGTTCATTTAATTGACTACCCTTCGATCTTAGCGCCACCTAGCGGCTTGGCACGTTAAGGAAGCCACCTCGAAGCTTAAAGTTGCAAGACCTGTATATAAGACCGTGCTCGTGCCTAATAAAACTCATAAGCAAAATGGCGTTTATAAAATTAATTTGGCGCTGCGAAAGTGCGACCGAAAGTGGCAACTGCAGTAGTTCAAATGGTGGGTATTGACGTAGATAAATTACGCATAAATACCTAATATTCATTTGAACTACTTCAGTTGCCACTTCCTGCCGCATTCCCAAAGCGCCAAATTAATTTTGTAGGTTTTAACGTGTAGACATAAAATTAATTATATAATTTTATGTGTACAGATACAATTAATTCTATAATTTTTATTATGTAAAGTCATAATTTTAATTGTAACATAAAAATTCATTGCATTATTTTTATGTGTACACATAAAATTAATTAAAAAATATAAATGATTGTCTCGTTATAAATAAGAAATTGCAACCTAAAAAATAATAAAATAGTTAAAAAATCTGGTTTAAAAAAAAATTGTTCAACAATGTTTTTAGTCTCACAATAATTCCAATATAAATTTTTAAGTAAAAAAAATAAAGAACCCCATACGAAATAAAAATGGACCAAATTTAAATTACGCAAATATTAATTCAACTAACAAAATAATATGTAAAATGTTTAAATATATTCGTCGGGTAATAGTTATTTACGTGTCAAGCTTTGTAAATGAATCTTTACGGGCGAGCTGGAAGTTTGTGGGTAAGCGACGCAGGAGCGAACCCATAATCCAGTGAGACTAGTAAAGATTAATTGCAAAGCGTGACACGTACAAACTTTTATTTTCACCTTAAGATAACGATTTTTAAATTTAAATATTTCAATTAATGTGTCAAATGTGTCATTTCATTTCATAAATTGCTTTTTCTACAAGCCTGTAAAACTTTACAGGTCTTTTATACAAGCCCGTAAAATATTACAGGTCTGTTCTCATAATGTATCATTTACTTGGATACAAAAACAACAAAATTAACCTATAAAGTGTCATTTACTAAGAAGGTGGAAATAAAATATTTAAATGTTACAAAAAAATGCGAATCAAATTAAAATGTAGCATAAAGAATAATTAATATTATGCCAAGACCATTCCATTAAATTTAAATTAAATTTATGCTTGGCATAATTTTATTTAATTATTATTAAAATTATAAAAAAATATAAATTTCATAATATTAAAGAACCTACTGTAATTTTCTTTCACTTTTAAAACATTTACGATTAAAAAGTGAAATGGCGTGCCATAATAATTCAAAATTAAATTAAATTAAATGTATTTTTTTAAAGAGCAATTTACGACGAAGTTATTAAAAAAAATTCTAAATTCTCAGCATTTCTTGCTGCACATATTTGTGGAGCAAGATAATAAATGCGCAGCAAAAGTACTGTACATTTTTGATGCGCAATTTACTGAAGAATATTTTTTTTCTCGACACGCAATATTTATAAAATTAATTTACCTTGAAAGGAATTCCTCATACATCTTGCGCTTGCGAATGGTAGAACCCATAAGAATTCTGCGGTACGAATCCCTGTCAATACCCCACAGTTTAACGTCGGTTTTAGCTTTAACAGTGGCGGCACGAGGGGTGCCATAAATAAGGGCCAACTCCCCAAAACTGCCACCGTCACCGATTGTTGTCACCAGCTCATTATTAACGTATACCTTGAATAATAAAAGAAATGTAACGCATTTATGTATAATAAGGTATAGTAAGGTATAAGGTATGTTCTTGCGCATCTGTTTCCATCACTCCATCAGATTAGCAAAGAGGTGGGAGCACCCAGTCGCCGCCATATTGACTATTTACATTTTAATGTGAGTTGTTTTTTAAGCTATTTTAAAGTTTTGTAAGTGTAAAATATATCTACCTGTCAAGTGAAAATCTGTAAAAATAATACCAAAAGAAAAAACCTGCAAATCCTTACTATGGGCCTTTTGTATACACAATTATCTGTGACAAATTTGGGCATAAATAAAAAAATATCTTAGGTTAATGTTTTAGGTTAATATTTTTGTTTGTTTTGTAACTTGTATTTGTTCCATTTACTTCGAAGATTGTTGCTATACATTCCCATAAAAAAGTCTTTAAAAGTGGATACAGTTCCAACTTTACACTTAACTTTGTAAGAAATTAAAATAAAATTGGATAAAACAATATAAATCTTAGTTCTTACAGTGCACAAGAAATAGGACAAAACCAGGAAACATAATATGATATTTGAAGACAGCCTGTAATAGAAACTCAAACTGTAAGAAATCAAGTACTGCAGTGTAAGAAATTAAAATAAAATTTGAAAAACGAAATTAATCAAAATTAAATCTGCATTGTGCAGGAAATGTGGTAAGACAAGGAAGCTAATGATCTTCAAAGACAATTTATAATGGAAACTCAAACTGCAGCATGCTGCTTATAATACAATGGCCCGGGATTGAAACATCTCAGAAGCATTAGAAATCCAGCTTATACCATAACATAATATAATATTTTTTACAAGTTTAGTTTATTCAATGTTGGCTCCATGGTGGCCTATTTATAAAGTGACTACATCAAAAATGTCAAAATCCGGGACAAAGCCAAAAAAAATCTGCCAAAAGCGGAAATGTCCGCGGCAGGCGCATTTTGTCGATACGAAGGCGATGGGAGGGGAAGGTCGAGAAAACGGAAAATCCTTTACATTAATCATCATTCAAATAATATAATATTCATATCATTCCACCATGCAGAATTTTATAATTTTATATATAAAAATATATATTTGAAAATTACTCCTTTTCAAACAAATTTTCCGTCATAATTTTTTACACAATTATAAAAATCTTCACAAGAAGAATACTCTAAATTATATTTTACAAAATGCATACATTCATTTTAATGATTCCACGGACAGAAGTGGTTTCTAGCACATTATATTTATTCCAGAAAATACCTGTTCGGTGGGAGCATTAGTTCCTAGGAACCAGCTGGCAGGCATGCATAATTCTACAATTCTTTTAAGGGTTATGTAAGGGAACATTTTGGACGAAAAAATATTGAAAAATCACAACCCATCTTTTGTCAATGGAAACTTTTTGAGTCCATTGAGGCAATTTTTTTTCAGTATTTTTTTACTTGTGAGCAGCCGAAACTTTTTTTAAGTTTTACAAATTTGTTATTTTGTGTAAGAAATTATTCTCGTAAAAAGACATATTTGTCACTATAGAGATTAACCGCAAAATCCGGGACATTTCCGGGACGTTTACTCTTGCGGGACATGTTGATAAAATCCGGGACCGTCCCGCAAAATCCGGGACAAATGGTCACTTTACCTATTTAGGGTTTTTATTTGGCAACTAAACCTAAATTGCAATTATTTGTAAAAACAATTTTGTAATAAATAAATTTAGAAAAAATATGTTGTTTACATTTTTTTTGTAATGTTAATGTTGTAACTTGACACTTTTCATTAATTCCTTTATATTTGCTTTAAAACAGGTTATTTTATTTTATTAAAAACATTTGAAAACCTATTATTTAGAACATTTAACCTAAAAACTAAAATAAAATTTTTCTTAGCATTTTTTTCATATATTTTATTTAATTGAAAAACCATAAAAAATAGTATTTTTTTCTAGTAATATTTTCTTGAAATGTTAATACTGTAGTTTTTTACGTGTGATCTTTAAATTATTCGATAATTTAATCTAAAAATCGAATAATTTTAAAGAAATTTGGATGAATTTCAAGGCAGAATAATATTTAAATTAAAAATAACATTTAAATTCAAAGGCGGAAATGAACTAAGATGGCGGTAACTGGGTGGTGCGCAAAGTGAACCAAAATTTGTCCTACTGCAGAACATACCTGAGTAAAAAATAAAATGTATTTTTACCTCGACTTCTCCTTGATCGATGACATAAAAATTGTCCCCCTCGTCCCCTTGCTGAATGATCGGCTCCCCGGGCATGCAGGTGACGGGGAACATGGCGTCGAAGATGTCCGAACGCTCGTTCTCGTCGAGATGACTGAAAAGGACGTTTTTCGAGATGGCCTTGCTCAAGGCCGCCATAGTTTTGTAGTCCTTCGGCACGACTTTCTTCACGTAGCTGGTCGCGTCCTCCTCGGACACCGGCTCGGCGCTGATGCCGCCGCGGCGGCGCTGCGGCTGCTGCGCTTGCGCCGGCATCGGCGACAAGTCCTCCGTGTCTTCGGGCGAGGCCGCCTGGTTCTTTGCGTCCAGCGCCTGTTCCTACGAAAAAAAAAACATGGAAGAATTAGTTTTGCTAACTAAAAACATATGCGCAAATAATAATAATAATAAAAATATTGTATTGAGTGTAACAAATTACAAACAAAAGGCAAAGTTCAGTACCCTACAGTAGGTAGTTCACTGCTCTTCCACTATAAACCATTGCCCCATCTGGACGTTACTTAGAAATAGTGGTGCCGCACAGTAGGCTAGAGCGCGCTTCCAGCGCGAATAAATTCAAAATAAGTAAGTGTTTTATTTCGACCAAATTTAGGGAATTTTGAATTCTTTAATATCTGTAGATAATGAAACATCTTTAAATCACCTTCAAATCTGTTGAATTTTTATCAGGTAACCAGTCAAAGTTTAGGAATTATAATTACTTGCTTTGTGTTGATAAATTGCGCGTAAAGGTATTGCTTCTCTTACAATGTTTATTATTAATTTATTCTTACTTTTTGACTATAATTGTATTAAATACAGTCATACGTTATGGCTGGGACGAATAATGGTTAGTTTTTATTATTATTGTACTGTCACTACCTTAATAAAGTAACCGCTGCATACTTTTAATGTATGTATGGACATTATTATGGTTTTAAAAAATGTCACTCACTGTCACACTCTGTGTTTAGGTTTTTTTAATAGCTTACCGTTCTGTCTTTCATATAAATCTTAAATCAAGTGCTAGTAGGCGCAACAAATATGGTTTTTTTATTTTTTTCAGTTAATACATTATCCCTAACTCATACGGAGCTTTGTGAAAAGTGTTTTAGTTTGAAGCATTTCAATATAAAATTAGTTTTAAATTACTTAGTAGACTACGCATTTACAAAAATATATGTATTTTGAAAAAAACTTAATTCAATTTTTTTTTAATATAGAAAAACGCTGGAAGCCCAGAAGAAATATCATTGTATTAAATATTGTCAGGCGTTGGTGATGAAAACCATCAATTAAAAAGCTACTAATATCAATAAATAATTTTGAATTAATTACTGATAACTATTAGTGAAAATTAATAATTTTTGCCACCACCGCTGTATTCTAGAGAGCGCTTCCAGCGCGCGAAAATTTAAAATGAGTAAGTGTTTTATTTCGACAAAATTTAGTAAATATTGATTTTTTTAATATCTGTAGTAAATCAAATAATGTTATATAACCTTCAAATCTGTTGAATTGAAAAAAAAATTAAAAAATGATATTAAAAACTATAAGATAGTAGGCAGTGGCGGCTGGTCAGGTACGGCAAGTATCATATCATATCACATCTAACGTAGCGTATCCGCAGCTCGAATTCAGCCGAAATACATTTTATTAGCCACGTTACACAGTAGGCTAGAGCGCGCTTCCAGCGCGAAGAAATTCAAAATAAGTAAGTGTTTTATTTCGACCACATTTAGGGAATTTTGAATTCTTTAATATCTGTAGATAATGAAACATCTTTAAATCACCTTTAAATCTATTGAATTTTTATCAGGTAACCAGTCAAAGTTTAAGAATTATAATTACTTGCTTTGTGTTGTTAAATTGCGCCTAAAGGTTTTGCTTCTCTTACAATGTTAATTTCTAATTTATTTTTAATTTTTGACCATCATTGTATTCAATACTGTCATACGTTATAGCTGGAACAAATAATGGTAAGTTTTTATAATTATTGTAATGTCCCTACGTCAATAAAGAAAGCGCTGCATTGATATACAAAGGTTTTAAAAAATTTCACGCATTCTCACACTCTGTGTTAAGTGTTTTTATTAGCTTACTGTTCTGTCTTTTAAATAAATCTAAAATTAAGTGCTAGTAGGCGCCACAAATATATTTTGTTTAAAGCATTTTAATAGAAAGTTGGTTTTAAATTACTTAGTAAATTGCATTTACAAAAATAAATGTATCTCGGAAAAAAACTTAATTCAAAAATTTAATTTTTTTCAAAAAATATAGAAAACGCTGAAAGACCAGAAGTAATATTATTGTATAAAATACCTACGTAACGTAAAAATAATTCAGTTATATTTTTGTAATTTACTTATTAAAACTATAGATCTTAATTTTGCCATCACACAAATATACTTTTGTTGTGGATTTGCTTTTCTATTGGTAGTAAAAAGTAATTTTTATTAAAATTTCATCAATAAGACCAAAAAAATTAACATTACCTAAGAATTACTCAACCAAATAATTTCTTCGCGGTAAATTGGCTCTCTAGCCCACTGTGTGCCGTCTAGACAAGACAAGACAAGAGTTACTTACTTCTTGAAAAATTTCAAGACAAGAGTTGTGTGAGTCTAAGTCTTGATAAATGCGGTCTTGTCTAGACAAGACAGGACAAGAGTTACTTACTTCTTGTAAATTTCAAGACAAGAGTTGTGTGAGTCTAAGTCTTGATTAATGCGGTCTTGTCTAGACGAAATTATGCGCCTGCGCAATGTAACTCCCACACTTGTTTTAGAACCAGTCAAAACAAATCACTTCCGCCACGTGCAGACACAACCCTTGCGTTTTGTTTTTGCACTAAATGAAGCAGTAAATTTATTATTAAAATAGTTTTAAATATATGTAGAAAATAAGACCAAGATTTCAATAATAGTATATTCTGAAACAAGTTTGGAATACAGCATATTCCGCTCGAGTGAAGAGTTTGTCACACGAGCCGAAGGCGAGTTTGACGGTTTCACGAGAGCGGAATATGCAATTCCAAACGTGTTTCAGACTATACTTTTTCTACGTTTCCAAAAAATACCACAGAAAAATAATTTAATTGTAAGAAAGTGAGGTTGGAACGGTATAAAATTTGTTAGATATTAAAAACAGAGATGTCGCCACGAGTGTTTATTCTGTCATCAGATGATAGAATATTTCATTCTGTAACACTTTACGGAATATATGTCATTCCATAGATAAAAGTGATATAAGAAGGGTCAAATTCCGTAATAGGAGTAGAAAAAATATATTCCTTATATGTTAAAAAAAAATCATAAAAATTATGCAAAATACCTATTTCCCCCCTTAAAACATGTTAGTTCTTTTTAATAAAAAAATAATAATTAAATGAAGTGTTTTTAATATTTTTTAAAAAGTTAAATTTAATCTAGTCTTGAAAATAATCAAGAGATTCGGCTTAAAGTCTTGTCTTGTTTTGTCTTGATTATAATCAAGAGTTTTGGCTAAAGTCTTGTCTTGATTAACTTAGACAAGATATGTTGACGGTATTGTCTTGATATTCCAGACAAGACAAGACAAGAGTCTAGAATGTGTTAGTCTGGACGGCAACACTACTTAGAAAAGTGTAAAATGTTTGCTGCGCATGTAAAATATTTGCGGCACAGCTTATCGAGGAGAATAGTTTTATAAATTATGCGTAAATATAACCAGTGTTCTATAGTGTTTTATAGATAGGGTGTCGCAAAAAATCGACTATTTTTTTTGAGTCTCGAGTGAAAAAATGTTAGTTTTTGATGTTTTAAGAGCCCTCTCCAAAGGACAGCTCAAAAATTTTTTTTAACAAGTCGCTCCAAATTTTTTGAAATTTCAAAAATCGTCAAAATGTTGTCGTTGATTAATAGTTATTTACGATATAAGTGGGATAAGAGCTTTATTATCGTACGCATGCGAAATTTGCCCAACGAGTGCGTAGCACGAGTTGGGCAATCGCAAAAGTACGTTTGTTCAATCTGTGATTGAACATTATAAAATAAATAAAGCGTTATCACACGTATAATGTACAAATTTTTATCTACGCCTCCAAATGAAAAAATAAACGGTAATTATTTTTGTCTAAGACTTAATTTAGGGTTATTTTGACATTTTGACTTTTTTATTTGATTGGTTAAAAGCAGAGAAAAACGCGTGCGTTAATGAACTTCTTATCTCACTCAAAATGAGTGGGATAAAAAGTTCTTATCTCACTGGCGTAGATAAATAAAATTATTAAATTGAAAAAAAATATGTTTTCTATATTGTGCTTGATTTTTAGTTCATCTCGTAGTGTATTTTTATCGATTATTGTACTAAATAAAAAAAAATGTATGTAATTTTAATTTGAGTCGCTAGAAAAAATCTAAAGTAGGTAATGCACTAATAAATTTAAAAAAATTGTGAGCGACCTTTCGAAATTTAAATTTTGAACTGAAACTTTTAGAAACTTATTTTTTTTTGGTCTATAAAACTACCGTAACGAGAAAAAATATCGATTTTTGACGATTTTTGAAATTTAAAAAAATAACATTTTTTCACTCGAGAATCAAAAAAATATATAGTCGGTAGGGCGCCGCCCTATCTATAGGTATAAACGTTTCTTGCAAAAGTGTATACTTTTTTGGGCGCAATTAATAGAAAAGTGGTTATAACGATTATGGCTTCAAAAAACAACATGAAACCCTATTTCAATAATAATAATAATCTTTTTCTACTATCACCTTTAAAACGCCCATTATCGTACATGTTTCCATTAAACTAAGTGACCTTTTAAATCCAAATTGAAAATACGTTTAACCCAAAAGTGCGAAAACTTTTTTCTTCATTTTATGTTTCCAGAAGATCAATCAATCATTTTAGGCCCAAAATTAAAATAGGTCATATCATCCCTTCGAGTAAATTTGATTTAAAAAAAAATACCCTATTGTAGTATATTTTATTGTAGTGAAGCAATTTAATTTAAAATAGGTAATTAAAATCATAATAATTCCAAAACATTTAACTTTTTTTATAAAAAATTATTTGTAGAATAACTCATTTTTGATAATGCTCGAAAGATTGCTCATCATTTGGAACTTTTCTCAAAAGGATTAATAGTGTTCCCAAATCATTATTAATTTTGTTTACCCTAAACTAATTTCTTGGGGAATATAATTTGGGTTCTTTATAAATAAATATTTTTACCAAAATAAAATATACTAAAAAAAAGAGACAAAAGAAAAAAAAATATTCAAACATAACTAAAAAAAATTCAAATCAAATTTCCTTGAAGAGATGACCTACAACCCATTATAATTTTGGGCTCA